GGTCGACCAGTCCTCCTAGCCTAACCCTAACCCTAACCCTAACCCTAACCCTAACCCTAACCCTAACCCTGGCCGGCCTCGAACGCGGTCGAGCAGAACAGCTCGCGACTCGAGCGATCCGACTCGAGGCGACGAGGTGGCGACGCGGCCGAGCTGCTCTCGCAAGCTCGGCGGGCGAGTCGCCGGGTCCTCGAGGGACCGTCGAGGAAGCAGTCGTTGACGGTGTCGTCGCGAGGCAAGCTAGGCGAGTACTGTAAAAATCGACGCGAGAGGGCGAGGTCGGGAAGAGAAGAGGGAGCGCGCTATCGGAGCGTCGGTGTACGCCTTGCGGGTGATGTGCTGCCAGGGGACGATATGCGAGTCAGTGTCGGCTGCAGGGAAGCCGGGGAGGGCGTAGCTCGCTCAGGCAGACCGAGTCGAGGAGGAGAGGAGGAGGGGAGGAAAGGCAAGCTACCTTCTGGGGCTGCGGCGGGCTCTGTGTCGGCGGCGGTGGGCTGTATGTCGATGTATGTGCGGCTGCGGCTCTGCGCACGGCGGCTGGGCGAGGGGGAGGTGCTGCTGACGAGGTGAGGTGGGGCGAGGGCGATGAGGACGAGAACGCAGTGGCGGCAGGTTGCAGGGCGAGGAGAGCCGGGTCCGAGGGTCCCGAAAGCACGTCGGCCGAGCAGCACAGGCTCGACTGGCTCAGCAGGTGAGCGCGAGGGGTGCGCTGGAGGGAGAGGAGGGTCGTGGGCAGTTCGACAGCTGCCGAGAGGAGTCCGCCTCTCGTTGAGTCTCTCGCGCGGCAGAAAAAGATTTTGCGAGCTGTGCAGTACACGTCCGGGGCGGCTACGAGTACGCGGGACAACAAGGAACGCGAGTGTCTACGAGCAAGAGTGGAACAGGGAGGGAGGGACGACGGCGGCGGTAGGAACAACAGGCGGAGGAGGCCGTGCGACGGACACGAGTCCGACGACGCAAAGAGTGCGGGCGAGGGCTCTATGAGGGGCCGTCGGCCGGGTCGATCCAGGTCGAGTTGGCGAGGAAGGCGGTCGCGGCTTTGGTAAAGTCGCCCGAGGTGCCATCCTGCTGGTACGCGAGACTGTGGGCACGTCGAGAGATTCGTCAGGGTCGCAAGGAGGGAAAGACAGGGGAGGAAGAACGCGCAGGGACGGACCGGAAATAGTGGACGACGCCCGAGTCGAGCCCGGCGAGCGAGAAGTTGGTCGCTGCGCCGGTCTGCTTGAGGACGTCGTCGACGAGGAGCGCAAACCCGTTCCAGCCCTCGCTCGTGACACCGGCCTCGTCGACGCCCATCCACCGAACGACGTCGTCCGACAGGTCGAGGCGACGAGTCGAGTTGGTGAGGAAGACGGGGAGCGCTGTGCCGAGAGCGCCGTCGCCGACGAGCGACGAGGGCGACTGCAGGATCGAGTCCATGCCCCACCGCATGGCGCCGTCGAGAAACATGCCGAGGAGGAACCCCTGAAAGATGGCCGACGGGCGCGTGACAAAGGCGGTGCCTGGCATGAGGACGATGCTGCGGAACAAGTGCGCACAGCGTCAGGACCTCGTCAGGCCTCGCAGGCAGACAAAGAGAAAGTCGAGCGGGACGCACCCGACGATGTAGTGGTGCAGGCGAAACTCGAGCCCGGGCAGGGCGGCGAGAATACCGCAGATGACGCCGCCGACGGCGTACCTGCACGAGCGGAGCGGACCCGGTCAGGCCCATCCTGTCTTTGCCGAGAAAGGGAGAAGCGGACGCACCACTTGAGGTAGAAGAAGAACCAGCCGGTGCGCCGGATGACGCGCAGCTGGTTGACGATGACGGCGACCAGGACCAGGACGAGGACGATGACGGCGACGAGGCCGCCCGGGCGTTGCTGGATGTCGTGAGGCGTGAGGCGGTCGAGAGGAATCCAGTCGAGCGAGATCTGCGAGTGCGTGTCGTCAGTACCCGTCCTCGAAAAAGGGGGAGGGGGAGAAAGAGAGAGAGAGAGAGTGGGCGTACGTTGATCAAAAGGCCGAACCAGTAGCCGGCGAGGTACCACACGGTGCGCTCGATGACGTAGCCGGCATTTTCGAACGCGGGCGCGACCCACCTCCAGCAGTACCGCCAGAAGGCGTCGCCGACGAACAGGACGGGGAGGAAGTGCTCGAACGCCGTCTCGAGCGACGGCGGCATCGCGGACGGGTCGCTGACGAGGACGACGTGCCAGGCGCCCATGCAGAGGAGCACCCAGAAGAAGGTCGGGGGCGACGGCCTGCGCGTTGGACGAGAGCGAGGTCAGTGACTGCGCGACACGTCCGAGAGAGGCTCGCCGGCCTTGAAGCGCTCGGGAGGAGGAGGAGAGGATGCGCTCGAAAGACTCGCCTGATGAAGAACGAGAAGATGGTGCTCATGGCAACGTCGAAGCCGAGGATCTCGTCGCGCAGGTCCTGGCACCCGCCTTGGTCGACGCCCTCGACAAAGCGGTAGCTCCTCGGGAACGTCGACGGGAACCCGACGCTCTTGACGCCGTTGCGCTCGACGCCGACGAAGCCCGTGAACTCGCCGACGAGCTCGACCTCGCCGCAGCCGCCTTTGCGGTCGCCGAACAGGCCGTGGTGGATCGCCGCCGCGCAGATCCAGCTGTCGCCGCGGTACGTGCCGAGGTCGTCGCCGCCGCCGACGACGAGGGGCTCGTAGATGACCGACTCGATGCCGACCGTGCGCTGGTTGAGGAGCTGCGTGTCGAGGACCTGGGACGGGCACCGGAACACGTAGCTGTAGTCGGCAAAGGGCTCGCACTCGGTGCCGTTGATGCCGCAGCCGTCGTTGGCGTTCCAGTACGACGTGGTCGAGTCGGTCCAGGTCGGCGTGCCCTCGTTGGTCGACGACGTGAAGAAGGACGCGCGGACGAGGAAGGCGAACCCGAGGAGCCACGCGAGGAGGAAGACGGGGGTGACGACTTGGCGGCGACGCTGAATCGGCATGAGCCTGGCGGTGCAGTACAGCTCGAGGCGGCGGAGGAACGGGCCGAGGATCGGGAGGGGGAAGGGAGGGAGGGTCGTCTCGATGTGAGCCGGCGACGGGCCGCGCACCCACAGGAGGGCACGGCCGAGTCGAGGGCGGCGGGCCTTGAGGCGCACGAGGAGCGTGTCGACGAGGCGATCCGAGGGCGTGACGGCGGCGAGGCGGACGCCGTCGGGCAGCCTGGGCGAGGCGGCGGTGCTGCCGTCGCCGCTCGAGGCGTCGACGCTGCCGTGTGGGCTGCCCTTGCGCGTGCGCGACCACCTCCCGACCCTGCCGAGCCAACTCGAGCGCCTAGCCGCACCCGAACCGTCTCGCGCGTGCGTGTAGGCCGGCAGCTCGTCGACCCGGGCGCGAGCGCCGTGCTTGTCGTCGGCGTCGTCGGGGGTCTTTGGCGGGTCGTCGTCGGTCGAGTAGTCGGCGAGGAGGGTGTTGTGGGTCGAATGGTGGTCGCGTTGGTGCACGGCGGGGAGGACGTCGATCTCGTCGTCGTCGATGCCGAGGTGCGCAGGACGAGGTCGAACGAGGGTGCCGAGCTCGAGGTCTGGGTGGGCGGGAGAGCGTGGGCGCAAGGGCGAGTTGGTGCGGGCTGAAGGCATGGCCCTTGTGCGCGAAGGCTGCGCTCCAGGCGAAGCTTGCGGCGGTTCGTGAGCGCGAGGTGGAGCCGACTCGGACGAGGTCAAGCGGCTGCTCTGTTCGGGTTGCTCTCGTCACCACGCTCGCCTCGCGCGCCATGCCGCTACCGCCAGCCGCCTTCTACAGCACTGCTCCCGGCCGAGCAGCCCCGCCAGCTGCGTCCTGGGACGACGACGACGAGTGGAACGCGGTGCGCTGCGTCGTCCTCATCTCGTCGCACTCGCCGTCGCTCACCCTGCCTTCTTTGGCCGTGCATGCAGCCCTACGATCGTCCACAAGTACCTCGAACAGAGCAGGAGCACAACATTCGGCTCTGGCAAGACGCGTTCGTCGACCCTCCCCCTCCCTCCTCCCCGCACCTCCTCGCCACAAGCTGAGTCCGCCCTCCCTCCTGCTGCAGGAACACCGCTCGCCCGACCTACTCGATCCTTCCCTCCTCCTCCACCGCACGTGTCGTCCCTCCACCAGCAGCACTCGACGCCCGCACCACCAACGGCCCTCCCAAGCTCACCATCCTCAAGCGGCCGACTGCTGTTGCCCCGGCCGCGGCATCGAGCCGCACGAGCAGTGCCGAGGGCCGAGCGAGGACCGACAAGAGCCTCAAGGAGCGCGAGCGCGAGTACGCCGAGGCCCGGCGGCGGATCTACGGCGAGGAGTCGTCGGCCGGCTCGGGCGCGACAGCTGCGTCGTCGCGCTCTGCATCGCCTGCGGCGTCGTCGGCCGGCTCGAGGACGGCCGCCCTCGCTCGCAGTGTCGAGAGCCTGTCCCTCGGCACCTCGGCGGGCCCAGGGCGAGCGCGAGGGAGCGCCTCGTCCGGCGGCGCAGCATCGCCGAAGCGCACGCTTGGCGCGCCGAGTCCGTCGGCGGCTGCGTCTCGCTCGAGCGCGAGGTCACCGCAGCCTGGGACCGGCACGACGCGAGCGCCGAAAGGCCCGAGCGCCGACAGCGGCGGGTTCGGGTTCGATGTTGCGGCGGGCGAGGCGAGGAGGATGGGTGGTTCAGGAGCTCGAGGGCGAGGCAGGTGAGCGCGATGGATATGGGCTTGAGGGAGAAAGCCACGCAGGGCCTGAGGTTGCGTCGGGTGCGTCCCCTCGACGAGTTCTTCCTTCTCAGGATGTCACTGACCGCCCTCCCGTGCCCGCAGCCCGAGCACCACGTCCCTGGACGACCGCTCGACAACCTTCGGTCGACCGCCACGCCGAGTGCCACAAGCCTCAGCGTTGCACAGCAGGTCGTGCCGCCTGACGACGAGCAGCGAGATTCATCTTCAGCGAGTTTCTCCTCGAGGGCCGGACAGAGCAGAGCCACGTGCAACTCGTCATTTCTCACGGACGCTTTCTTCTCTGCCGAGAGTCTGTGACCGAGACCGAAAGGCCGAGAGCGAGAGAGAGATAGAGAGGGTCCGGGCGAGAAAAAGGTTTCGAGCCAGAGGAAGCGCGAGAGGCTCGCGTAGTTGCACCGCCGAGGCCGTCTATCCACCCTTGACATCTACTCAAACACCCACGCCGCGAACGTTCTCTCGGGCAGGCGCCACTCGCCCGCCTCGGCGCCGACGAACGCGCCCCGGGCGCTCAGGCCGAGCCCTTGCCGAGACGGGCTGCGTGACGGGCTCGACTCGGCGGCCGAGCTGTAGCCCTCGGCATGCGCGAGCGTCGCCGACGGGAGCGAGCGCCGACCTCGAGGGCGGTCAGCGGGTCGCGCGAGGGGCGTCGACGGGTCGGCGGCGCTCGAGTTGGGGGCTGGCACTGGCGAGAAGGGCGGTGCGAGAGCAGGAGCTCGAGGCGTGGCACTGCCGCCGGGGGACGGCGACGAGCCGTTGAGGCGGGCGAGCGGCGAAGCGAGGCGAGTAGGCGTCGAGGGCGCCTGCACGCCCAACCGCGCGAACCTTCTCGCGAGGGCGTCGCGCTGCGCCTCGTCGCCCGTGTCGACGCCCGTGTCCTCGGCGCTCGACTCGGTTGCGCTCGAATAGACCGCCTCGGCCTCGTCGTCCGTCCCGCCCGCTCCCGCCGGCGCCGGCACGCCGTGTCGCGCTCGTCCCTCCCAGTCCGAGCCCGACAGCAAGTCCTCGTCCTCCTCGAGCGGCGCCGAGAGGACCGACATGGCGTCCGTGTCCGTGTCGAGCTCGCCGTCGGCGTCGCTCGTCAACTCGTCGAGCTCGGTCGACAAGCCGATCTCCTCCTCCTCGGTGCCGCCGGCCGAGGTCCAGTCGGTGCCCGGCGGCGTCTCGGCGCCTGCTCCTCCTGCGACGCCCGGTGCGTCGCGAGCGGCGCGGGCGATTTGCGGGCGCAGGACGTGCGTGACGCGGATGGTGGGCTCGAGGGGCGAGAGAGGGCGAGAGAAGGACGTGAGGGAGTAGTACCGGGCGAGGGCGTGCAGGAGGAAGCGGTGGTGGGGTGAGGGGGCGAGCCAGACGAGGGCGTGAGGTTGCCGAGACAGCTCGGTGAGCGTCGGCGGGGCCGGCTCGAGGGCGGCGGATGAGGGGAACGAGCCGCTCGCGGGCAGGTCGGGGAGGGACGAGCCGTCGTGCGCCGAGGGCGACACCCAGTCCTCGAGCGGCGTCGAGTCGAGCGCCTTGCCTCCCGCACACGCCTGTGCGAGAGACGCGCCGGCGCCGGCGCCCGACTCGTGGAAGAAGCCCTCGGGGATGCGCCCGCTCAACGTGAGCCATGCGCACAGCTCGCGCTCCATGAGCTCGAGGACCTCGTCGCTGCGGCCGCCGCGGCGGGCGCCGAGGTTCGCGCGCAAGGTGCGGCGCAGGCCTCGGAGCGACATCGAGAAGTGCCCGTGGGTCGAGGCGGCGGCGAGGTCGGCGGCGGAGGGTGCGTCGGAGGGCGATGACGAGACGTAGGTCGAGCGGGAAAAGGTGGCGGGCGGCGGCGAGAAGGTCGTCGAGAGGTTCTTGAGTGACGGGCCGGGGTTGAAGTCGGAGCGAGAAGGACGGTGCAGGTGAGGGTTGTGGGCAAGTTGGGCTGCGCGAGGGACGAGGATGAGCGAGAGCTCGCCGATGCGGACGAGGTTCGCTCGTCCGCTTCTCGGCAGGTGTCGAGCGACAGTACAAGGAGGAAGATGGACGCACCGTTCTCCCACCTGCGTCGCCGCCGCTTGCCGCCCGGCGCGACCCCCGCCTTCCTCGAGCCGGCCGTCGTTCCCTCCTGACGCTCCTTCTTGTGCGCGAGCTGCGGCGCAAGCTTGGGGCCCTGGAGGCGGAGGATGGCCGGGATGCGCATGGGCAGCGCGCCCGGGACCGAGGGTGCAGGAGCGGCGACGGTGGCGGAGGGTCGACGAGCGGGGGCGGCGCCGCCTGGGCGAGGTGCGGCCTCGATCGGGCCCGAGGCGAGGTCGGCGGCAGCTCGAGCGTGCAGGTCGGACATGCTGCGCTGCGCTCTGGGCGAGAGTGTGGTCGTCGAGCGAGAGCGAGTCGTTCGCGATGAGCGCGAGCGAGCGACGACGAGCGAAAGTCAAACAGGCGAGGGCTCTCTCCTGTGCGCTCCCTGCAGCGCAAGGTACACTCTCGAAGGTGTCCTGCCAACGAGCGAACGCACGCCAAGGAGCTGCTGCACGAGGGCCGAATCTCGCGAGAGCGAGCAGCTCTCTCTCGACGAAGCACGGCCGACGGGCGGGTTCGTACAACAGGTTGCAGCAGGGTGATGCGCGCCAACTTGCCCTCCTCGTCGCCCTCGCCCTCGACCGACAAGTGCCTCGGCGTCGTCCTCGCACACTCGACGGAGCTCGCGCTCACGCGAAGCCCTCGACGAGCGTGTCGCGCATGCCGGCGATCCGGCCCGTGTCCTGGCCGCCGAGCTTGAACGCCGCCTCGATGACCGACACCTCGGTCGCCGTCGTGTCGAGGCCGGTGAAGGCCGTCCAGTCGTTGACGATCATGCCCGCGCCGATCACGTCCGAGCCGCGGTTGACCGTGCCCGCCTGCGTACGTGCGCGAGAGCGTCAGTCGAGAGAACGAGAGAGAGGAGGGAGGAGTGAGAGAGAAGGGGAGCGAGACGCACGACGAGGGGAACCTGGAGGAGCGACGAGAGCTCGTCCTGGTCCTGAATGCTCGTCTTGGGGTGCACGAGGGCGCCCTGGTTGCTTATCCGGCAGTACGAGCCGACGAGGACGTTGTCGGCGATGGTCTGGCGGAAGACCTCGACCTTGAGGACGTCGGCAATGATCTCCTCGGTCTCGCGGTCGATGTCGGGGTGGACGAGGGCGACGTAGTCGTTGGCGGCGATGATGTTGCCGAGGGCCGACAGGCGCTCCTCGATGCGCTGGATGGCGACCGTTTCCGGGAGCGAGTTGCGCAGGTGCTGCAGCTCCTGGTCGGTCGTGCCCTGCGGGACGAGGAGGCCGTGGCGGTTGCCCGTCACGAGGCGGCCGATGATGCGGGTGCCGCCGATCGACGTCTGGACGACGGGGACGACGTCGCCGAGCTCGGCCTCGAACGTCGAGTAGAAGTTGGTCGAGCCGCTCGAGATGCTCGTCAAGCAGTACGAGTTGGTGAGGGACGCGAAGACGCCGATCTGTTGAGCGACGGGTAAAGAGCGACGGGTGCAGACGAGGGAGTGCAGTAGGTTGCGGTAGAAGGGGGCAGAACGTAGGGAGAGAGCGGGTGGGGAGGAGGCGAGGTGAGCGATCAAGGTGCGGGACAAGAGGGACGAGGGAGAGGTGGGCGCACGTCGGACGAGTTCTCGAAACGAGCGCCTGTCGAGTTGAGGAGCGAGGTTGCAGGAGAGAGGGTGGCAAGGCGAACCAGGGCAGGGCGGGATGGCGAGGCGAGGGGACGAGAGACGTCAGCTAAGCTCGATGGCGGCGGGGACGAGGGAGGGGAGCTCGAGGAGGGGAGAGGCGCGAGGGGAGGGACGCACGGACGGCCATGATGGGCTTGAAGTAGAGAGTGCTGAGGCGGAAAGAGAGCTCGTAGCGGTGCGAGTGGGACGCTGTACGAGGGAGAGAGGGGAGCGTCTCGCTGGTCGACTCGTCTTCATCGCCTCGAGCCAGCGACCACGCTCGACTCCACCCACCGACTCGACTGCTCAGACATGGACGCATCCGGCATGAACGGCGCAACCGCACAGGCCTTCGAGGCCATGATGCAGCAGAAGCAGGTCCGTCCCTCTCCCTCTTCCTCCCCTCCTCCGACCTCCGACCTCCGCCCACTCGACAGCTCACCCTCTCGCCCGCCTGCCCCTGCGAACAGATGAAGGACTTCATGTCGCTGTACCAGAACCTCGTCGAGCGCTGCTTCACCAGCTGCTGCAACGACTTTACCTCCAAGGCCCTCTCGTCCAAGGAGGTCCGTCTCGGCCCTCGTCTCCTCCCCTACTCGCACCCTCGTCGGCTCACCTCGGCCTCTACGCGCAGGAGTTTTGCGTCAACACGTGCGCCGACAAGTTCCTCAAGCACTCGGAGCGGTCCGTCCCCTCCCTCTTGCCCCCTCTCGAGGTGCTTCCCCCCACTGACGCGCACCTCGCACCCACGCAGCGTCGGCCTCCGTTTCAGTGAGCAGGTACGTCACGACCACCCGTTCCCGCACACTCGGGCGAGCGCGCACACCCCGAGCGGCCCCTCTCGCTCTGTATGCCTCCTTGCGGTCGCTGACCTTTCTCCCTCGGTCCCGCCACGCAGAACGCCGAGATGATGGTGCGCCCCTCTCCCTCTCATTCTCCTCGTCAACCGACGACGCTCACGAAGCTCCTCCTGCACAGGCCCGCGCTCAGCAGCGCCGCTAGATCTACGTCTCCCATGCCCCCTCGCACCCGTCCGCCCTGTACACCCTCTCCCTCGCATCCGCACCCCTCTCTCTCCCCTCGCCCGTCCTCCCCTGCACGACGCACACGGAACACTCCCAGTCTTCCTTGTAACCTGATACCAAGTTGCTCTCGTGAGCGCGTGTGCGAAAGCGAAAGATCTCTCGAGAGCCTCCCTCGGGCGCTCGCCGAAACCCAGGTGCGAGAGTACAAGCAGTTGAGTGCAGATGGACAATGCGCGTGCGTGCGTGCGGGCTACACATGGTACAGCTGGAGGAAGGCGAGGGAGGGGTAACAGGATCGAGGCGTTTCTCGTCCTCCTCCTCGTCCGAGACGCGGCCGAGACGAGCCCGGCTTTTCGGCGGTAGGTGAGAGCGGATTCAGTGCGAATAGTCGTACCTGCAGGTCGCGAAAGAGAGTCAGTGAGTGCGAGGAAAAGGGCGTCGAGAGCGCTCGCGCGCGCCGCCCACGAGAGACCGAGTCGTCGACGGCCCGGCCCGAGCGAGGGCAGAGAAAGAAAAAGGAGAGAGAAAGAGGGCCGAGAGACGCACTTGCGGTAGAACGCCTCGCTGCTGATGTTGGCCTCCTGCGCGCCGCGCTTCTCGCGGCCAAGGTCGGCAATCTCCTTCTCGACGCGCTTCTTGCGGTCCTCGACGAGCCAGTGCAGGGCCACCTCGAGAAGCTTGCTCCCGCGCCGGTTCGGGTCGTCCATGCGGACGCGCACCGACTCGGGCAGGAGCGACTCGGCGTCGGCGGGCGACAAGGGCCACGCGAGGGGCGACGGCGGCAGGGTCGACCCGAGCTGGATGTGGCTCAGGTGCGTCGGCCACGAGTCGATCCCGTCAAAGATGTGGGTCGCGTACACGATCGTCGCCTGGCGCGTCTCGGTCTCTTCCCGCAGCCAGTCGAGCAGGCGCGAGCGCACGAGCACGTCGAGGTCGACCGTCACCTGCGCACGATGGGCGAGGCCGAGGTCAGATCGAGCGCCCGCAGCTGCCGTACTCTGGCGCCGGGAGAGAGAGACAGAGAGGCGAGACGCACCTCGTCGAGGAGGAGAAGGTCCCACGGCGCCATGAGGCCCGAGACGATCTGGACCCGGCGACGCTCGCCGTCCGAGACCTGATGCATGTGCCAGGACAGGTCGACGTCACTGCGGTGAGGTGTGTCAAGTGATGGTCAATGCGCGTGTCCTCGGGGGCATGGCGGGCAAGGGAGCGCGCAAAGGTAGAGTGGAGGGGTGAGGACGCACAGGATGTCGAGCAGCTTGTCGCGCCTCTCCTTGTAGCGGTACCCGCCGACCGAGTCACTGCGAGTGTATGGGCCCAGGTCAGCTAGGCGATCGAGCACGGCGAGAGAGAGAGAGAGAGAGAGAGAGAGAGGGACGGACAGGAAGTGCGACACCTCGAGGTCAGAGCGCACGACCGGGTTGGTGGCCCACTCGGTGCCTGTGTGTGCGTGCGCACAGGGTCAGTAAAGTTGCGACGGCCATCCACCGTGTCGAGCAGCTCCATCGGTGGGCAGGCAGCTCGTCGATGAGGCCGCAACAGGGCGACGCCCGGTCGAGGGGGGGAGGACGACAAGAGGGAGCGCGACGGACCGAGGTAAGTGACGCCCTTTGGGGTGTTGAAGAAGACTTCTGCGCCGAGGACCTTTGCGCTGCTGCGGGTGAGGCGCTTGCCGGCGAGGATCTGGAGGAGGGTCGACTTTCCTGCGGAGAGGAGCAAGATGTGGGGAGGTCAGTGAGTTGGTCGACGAGGGAGGGCACGGTGCGGGTTGCCGCTCGTCGAGGCTGTCCTCGTAGGGGCTAGAGCCCTGGATCGAGCTCGCGTGCGTCCTCGTGCGGCTGTCGGAGGCTGTGGCAGGACGAGGGCGATCGGACGACGAGGCGGTGCGCATCGAAGGTGCGCTGGCCCGCCGCACCGCTCGAGGGCTGGACGGGACAGTTGAGGATGGACGGTACGAAGAAGGTGGACGGACCTGCGCCGTTTGCGCCAATGATGAGGCAGCGGCTGCCGCGAGCGAGGGTGAGGTTGACGCCCTCGAGGACGGGGACCGGGTCGAGGCCGTGGAGCTTTGCGTAGCTAAAGTCGAGGTCGACGACGTCGACTGCGTTCGTGTCGGACATGGCTGGGGAGGCTCGTCCTGTTGTTGAGGAGAGCGACGAAGAGGGACAGAGAGAGGCGATCGCTCGTCTGAAGCTGACCCTCGCCATTCTCCCGACCACCGTGCTCTAGCGTGCTGTGCACCAGCCTGACCAGCTCAGCCGCCATGTCGATCCACGACCCCTCGGCCGGCCACCTCTCGTCCGCCTCGTCGAGTGCTCCTCCTCCCGCCGTCACCGTCCAGAGCGAGGTGCGCCGCCTGACCCACCTCCGCGCCAACCTCGACGCTCAGCTCGATGTCTACTTTGACGTCCTCAAGACGGTCCGCCCCTCTCTCCCTGTCCTCTCCCTGTGCCTCGCCTCACCTTCTCCTCGTCCTCCCCTCGCTCCCACTCGCAGAACAACGTCGACATGCACGCCCCACTCGTCGACAACGACGGCTTCCCTCGCTCCGACATCGACGTCGCAGGCGTCCGCACCGCCCGCGTCAGCATCATCCGCCTCCGCAACGACCTCAAGGACGTCCACCGCGACATGGAGCACGTCGTCCTGCGCGGCCTCCCTCGAGCCGACGACCCGCCGCACGACAACGAGACGAGTGCGCGAGACGGCACGCGCATGGGCGGCCTCGAGACTGTCGAGGGCGACAAGCCGTTCGCCAAGGTCGACGCCGTCGCTCCCAGCTCGCCAGCAGACTCGGCCGTGCGCTCCCTCTCTCCCTCCCTCTCTTTCCCTTCTTTGACACGCACACTGACCCTCGCTTTCGTACCTCGGCCGCAGGGCATGAAGCGCGACGACCTCCTCGTCTCGCTCGGCGCCGTCTCGACCTCGAACCCCGACACGTTGCGCGCCGTCGCTGCCCTCGTCGGCCGGTCCGAGGGGACGGCCCTCCCCGTCGTCGTCACGCGCAACGGCGGCAGGCTCAACCTCGTCTTGACGCCGAGGAGCGGCTGGGGCGGGAGGGGCCTGCTCGGGTGCGTCTTTGCTCGCTCCACGCTGGCACTTGTCGGCTCGGCGCTCAGTGGCCGAGCCAGGAGAAGCCTGCATCGTGGACTTTGGCCCCAGACTGACTTTCTCTCTCATCGTGCAGGTGCCACATCGTCCCTTACACGCCCTGACGGGCGCGTCTCGGCACTTTCCTCGTGAGCTCTCCCTCCCTCTCCTCCCCTTTCCCCTCCTTCCGCGACGACGACATCCTCCAGCCCCTAGTCCAGCCCGCCTTACTCTCGGACTGCCTCCTCGCGCGTCGACGGCCTCCTCGTTCGGGTGCCTCCTCGTCCTCGGGCGAGCAGGAACCGCTCGAGGAGGCGACGGCGCGCAGGGAACGACGGTGCGGGTGCGCCCGACCCTCGAGGTCGAGCGGGCGCTACTTGATCTAACCTGAGCGACGAACACGAGCTTGAGCGACCACTTGAACGAGCACTGACACGCCCCCTCGTTCTCGTGCCACGCAGAGCCGCCTCGCTTCGCCTCCCTCGTCCCGCCCTTTTTTGTCCGAGAACTCCCTCTGTTGCTACAGTAGCCCCTCCTGCCTGCCGCACTGCACTGCAGCCGCTTTCAGGTCGTCATCGCAGACCTTGCTTCTTGCGCTGGCGAGAGAGGCTCGAGGTCGCTCTCGGACCTCTCGAGAAACTGAGAGCCACGATCTTTGGACATTGTGCGACGGTGTCTATACTCAGGGAGAGAGAGAAAGGTATACAGCATGAGAGAGATGAGGCGTAGTCCTGTTCGGCGAGTCTCGAGACGAGGCGAGAGGGCGCGAGGAGGACGAGGCGAGTCGGGGACGATGCAGGGGGACGGGGAGACAACAAGGGGGCACTCGCAGCAGCTGAGGCGGCGGAAGAGAGAGAGAGAGAAGGGGACGACGTCGTGAAGGAGGGGGCGAGGTATCTAGAGGGAGGAGGAGGGGAGTGCAAGAAGAGGCCGACGAGCGAGAGAAGGGCCCGGCGACGACGCCGAGCGAGCCTCGTCGATCACGACTCGTCCGAGTCGCCGTCGTCGTGGTGCAGCTGGTCCTGCGCAAACAGGAACTTCTTGCTCGAGTCGTATACGGCGTCTGCGCGCGTTGAGGGTGGTCAGGCTCGTGCTCGCTCGCTCGTTCGCTCGAGAGAAAAGAGAGCTGAGAGGACGCACAGGAGATGGCGACGGCGGGAATGACCTTGACGAGCGTCGGCGTCAGACCCTTGTAGAAGCCCCGCCAGCCCTCGCGCTGGTAGCACTTGGTCGCCGCGTCGCGCACGCCGAGGTACGTCTGCGGATGCGCCGGCGTGCCCTGGGCCTGCAGGCGGGTGCGGACGAGGTTGCTGCGGGCGCGTGCAGGAACGAGTCAGTTGCGGGCCGAGAGAGAAGGACCGAGAGAAGCAGAGGGCGTACAGAGGGTACACGCTCGACGCGCCGACGCCGCCGCTGATGGCGCCGAAGCACAAGCTGCCGGCGATGCCCGGCTCCTCGCCCGCCCAGTTGATGTACGCGAGCTTGATGCCCTCGAACGTCGACATGTCGATGGCCGAGTACGGGAAGACGCCGATGAGGCCGGCCGGCAGGCCTCGGAAGAAGAAGCGGAACCCGCCCTTGGCCCACATGTCGCGCGCCGTCTGCAGGATGAGCGCGTTGCCCTTGGTGCCGCCGCCCGACGACGACATGACGCGAGTCTGTGAGAGGGAGGGGGAAGAGGGCGACAGTCAGTGCCCGTCCTTGGCCGAGACGGAAAGGAAGGGAAGGGGGCTCACCTTGAGCGACTCGATCGGGTAGATGCCTGCGAATGAAAGCCCGAGTCAGCGACTGCAAGAGGAGGGAGAGACCAGTCTGACGCACAGAACTGGCTGACGACGCCGCCGATGCCGCCGGCGACGAACCGGCTCGAGTTGGAGATGAGCGTCTGGTCGGGCACACGGTCCCAGTACTGCGCAAAGACGCGCTTGGCCGACTCGTACGACAGGAACTTGATGGCCGACTCCTGCAAGGGTGGGCGACAGCTGCGTCAGGGACATGTGCCGAGCGAGGGAGGGGCGAGAGCGAGAGGCGGGACGCACAGGGAAGATCTTGATGATGTTGAGCCCGTTGCCAGTCCAGAAGGCCTTGATGCCGCCGCCCTGGTTGTACACGGTCCGGATCGCCTTGGTGAGGCTGCCCGCACCCGGTCGAGGCGGCTTCTTGCCCGCCTTTGCCGCCGCGGCCGTCAAGTCGGGACAAGGAGGACCGGTCGCCGACGTGATGAGGTACACCTTGAGGCGGTCGAAAGGCGCTGTCGCTGTTCGAGACACTGCGAGAGAGCGAGAGTGACCGGGTCAGTACCGGGTCGAGCGAGGGCGAGGCGAGGGAGAGAAAGAGAGGACGCACCTGCGCCCGCCATGCCGCCCGCGAGGAGGAACTTGCCCGCGCCCGCGAACATGTCGTCCATCGGCCCATGCTCGTCCTCGTCCTCGTCATGCACGTTCTCGTGAGCGGACGAAGGCGCCGCCGCAGCCGCTTGAGGCGCCGGCACAGGTGCCGCGGTCGCCGGTCCTGCCGACTTGCCGCCCTCGGTGGCCGCGCCGCCGCTCGTGGCACGCGTGCTCGCGCTCGGGACGTCCGACTCGGTCGCGGCGACGCCGCTCTCCTCGAACTCGAGCGAGGTCGAGATGGCCGACGCGCGGGCGAGCGCCTCGGCGCTCGTGCGCTGCTTCTTGCTGCGCTCGGCTCGGCGCTGCGCCCGCAGCTTGGCGCACTCGGCCGAGTAGCACTGCTCGGCGTTGGGCGGGTCGACCTGGCGCAGGTTGGTCGAGTCGGCGAGGCGCACGGCGGCGTCGGCCTTGACGGACGGCGACGACGACAACGAGCCCGAAGCTGACGAGGTCGACTTGCTGCGCAGGCGGTTCCAGCCCGTCTTGCCGCGACCGACGACGACTGCAACTTTGCGAAAGCGGAGGAGGGGGCAGGAGGAGCTTGTCAGGGGGAACGTCCACGATAAGGGAGGGGCCGAGAGGGAGGAAGAGGGAGCTCACCATCGCCGTCCTGCGTGAGCCGGCTCATCGACGGGCGAGCGAGAGGCCTCGCCTGCCAGTAGCGCCACACCTCCTTCATCGAGATGGGCCGAGGGAGGAGGAGGAGGAAGTCCCTCCACTCGTCGAACGAGATGAAGCCGTCGCCGTTGCGGTCGACGGCGCGCACAAAGTCGTCGATCGCCTGCTCCTTGACCTCGATGCCGGCGCGCCTGCACGCCTCGCGGACCTCGCCGGCGCGTAGGCGCATGTCGCCGTCGCGGTCGAGGTCGACGAACGCGCGCCACAGCTCGCGCTCCTTGTCGTCGGCGTACTGCTCGAACGCCTTCCACCGGACGGCGGCGAGGGCGGCCTGGCGCTGGCGCTCGAGGGCCGGCGAGCCGACCTGCGGCGCGGTGGACGAGCCGGCGGGGACGGCGACGGGCGCGACCGACGCGGCGACCGACGCGCCGCACTTGCGCCACAGCTCGCGCGTGTAGTTGCGGCGGTCCTGGGCGCACCGCTGCTCGTGCGTCGACGGCTCGGGCGCCGGCGGCTCGGACGGCTGCGGCGGCTCGGGCGACGGCAGGGCCGACAAGGTCGCGGCGGGGGACGAAGGAGGCGAGGGTGCGGGGAGCGAGTCGAAGAGGGAGCGCAGGCGCGACAGGCGTTTTGCCGGGCCCTCGTGGTCGCGGAACTCGGTCAAGGTGGCCGGTTCTGGGTCGTGGTCGACGGCGGTGCGGGTCGAGAGCGGGCAGTAGGGGGGAGGAGGAGGGAGGGGCGCCCGGAGCGAGACGCGCGGGTCGTCCTCGGGCGGTCGGTGCGTGATCGGGCTTGTCGCCTCGAGGTCGAACAGGAGCGAGTTGGTCGGCGGCTCGGCGAGGTGCGGGAGCGCAGGAGGGACCGGGTAGTCGGGGAGAGGGGGCGGCAGTTGAGCCGCGAAGGGATGGTCGGGGTCGTCTGGCGGCGCGGGATCGGACGGCGCTTGTGCTGGGTCGTTCATGGCGGTCGTCGTGGCGCTCATGGAGGCTTGGGTCGTGCGAGGTTGGGCTCGAGTGTCGGGTCGGGTCCGAGGGCGACGAGCTGCGGGGCAAGTGCGACGACCGTCGGCGAACGAGGTCAGGACAGGTCTAGAGTGGCGATACGGGTGCTCGTAAGGCGGTCTGAGGCTCGTCGACCGAGTGGGCGACTCGGGTGCCGCGGTTGGCGAGCACATGATGGCCGCCCTCGCGCTCACCGCCTCGGACGGACGCGTGGCTCGCCTGGTCGACTCGATGGAGTAGACGGAGACGACTCGAGAGGTGCCCTCGACTCACCAGAGGGTGCGCAACGCTCGAGAGTGAGGCTGAGCGTCACTCGAGGTCAAGACGGCTCGTGGTGGACGGCGCTCGACCTGGTGGGCCGAGTTCGAGGGTCGAGGTGGGTAAAGTCGCTGCTGCGCGTCGAGTGCGGGCACTGGCGAGCGCTCTCGAGCTGGTCGTGTCGGGGAGTTGTCGTCAAATCCTCGCGCCTCGATCTCCCTTGGCCTCGGTCGTCGGCTCTCCCTCTCGACCACTCGCCCCGGCCGTCGAGCTGCACTGCTGCACGTCTCTCGCGGCCTGCCGTCTTCCGACTCGCCCGCCCCAGCCACCACGCCTTTGTCCCGCTCAAAAGCGCGTCCTCGTCGACGCCTGCGCCAAGCTCCTCGCCCACACCAACCAAGATCACGTGAGCTACCCCCCTCCGGCTACTCTACCAGAGCTTGGCAGGAGGGCAGACCGAGCGAGCGCAACCCGCAGGTCGGGCCGCTCTCGCAGTCACACCCCGCCGGCCTGCATTCGACCGTCACCCTGTCGTCGCCTCCCAGCGTCCTCGTCCTGACTATCCGCGGCCCGCAGATGATCCCGACCACCATGAGCACCGTGCCGCTGCGGCGTGCGCTCCTCGGTGCTCCTCGACCGCGCCTCGCCTCGCCAGCACCGCGCGCCTTCACGCCCGTCGTCGCCCAGCACCGCAGCTTCTCCCTGTGGCCGTCGTCTACGCCGCCACCCGCACCTCAAGATACGTCGCCGCCAGCTCCCGTCAAGCCCTCGCTCATGGACCTGTCGGCGCCGACCTCGCTCCCCGACCCGACCATGTTCGAGCCCCTGTCGGCCGCCTTCTTGTCCCTCCCGCCCTCCCTCTCCCTCTCGTACGCCGCCTTCATCCCCCTCTTCACCCTCTTCTACCGCTCGACCACGACCCTCCCGATCGTCATGTGGCAACGGCGGCGCACGCGCCGCTTTGCCGACGTCGTCATGCCCCTCCTGCGCCGCGAGCAAGGCCGCCTCGCGCTCGAGACGCGCGACGAGTGCCGACGTGCCGGCAAGACGTACGAGGAGTACCAGGCCGTGTTCAAGAAAAAGGTGCGTCCTCTCGCTCGACGTCTTTCGCGCCCGGGCTGGTCTGCACACCCCGACTGACTCGTCCTCCCCCCTCGTTCGCCCCTTTTGCAGGCCAAGAAGGCGGCGTACGCCCTCGCGCGACAGTACCGGTGCTCGCCTCGCCTCACCCTCATCCTGCCGCCCGTCACCCACATCCCCATCTTCATCTGCGCGACCCTCGTCCTGCGTGACGCGTGCGCGCGTGCCACCTCGGCGCTCGCCGTCACGCCGTCGTCGCTGTCGAGCCTGCTCGACGCGTCGCCGGCCTCGAGTCTGACGTCGACGGCGCTCGCGCACCTGCACGAGCTCGCGTCGACGCCGTTCCTGTGGTGCCCGAGCCTCGTCCTTCCCGACCCGACCATGTCGCTCCCGCTCGCGGTCGGCCTCGCGGCCCTCCTCAACGTCGAGGTGACGGCCAAGACCCGGCGCGCCGCGACGGCCGCCGCAGAAGTCGTCGACCGCCCGAGCGACGCCGTCCTCCCCGCCGGCGCCGGCGCAGGAGGTGCTGCGGGAGAACCCGGCGCAGGTCCGCCGCCGCAGCCCGTCAGCGCGAGCGAGCGCCGACGACGCCTCGCGCAGCGTGCCCGCGCGGGCGCGTCGACGGCGAGGGTGCGCGGGCTCGCGACGGCGTCGAGCCCTGCCCCGCCGCCCGCGTCCTCGGCACTCGAGCTCCCGCGCAAGCCGTCGAACGAGCGTCGCGTGACCAACATTCTGCGCGGCGCGAGCATCGCCTTTATCCCGCTCGCCGCCATGGCTCCCTCGGTGCGCCCTCTCTTCCTCTCGCTCTCGCTCTCGAGCCTCGACCGGCCTCGGCGCACTCGAACCTGACGTCGTCGCCCTTTGCAGGCCGTGTGCGTCTACTGGGTCACGTCCAACCTGTTCACGCTCGTGCAGAACCTGGCGTTCTGGTGGATGGACCGTGGGCGCGAGCGTGAGAGGAGGATGCGCGACATTATCAGCGGGCGGGCCGTCGGCGTCTGAGTTGTATGTAGCTCGGCCGTCGCGGGAAGCAGTGAGCGCAAAGGCTCCTCAGTCCGTGAGAGCATCGAGAGAGCTCAGCGAGGCGCTTGACAGGGCTGCCGACAACTTGTGAACCGCGAGGTGCGGCCGATGCTCCGAGTCCGACGCGAGCTTCGCTCTCGCCTCGCTCCTCGCCAAGCTCGACTCTCGACCGCCCCAGCTCCCGACATGGACGGTGCAGCCACGATCCCCGACCACAGCCTCGCGAGCGTGTCCTCGCTCGAGGGCCAGCTCGTCCCCACCCGCCTCCACCCCGAGTCGGCTCAATCAGCAACCTCGACCCGCCGTGCGCTCCTCGCAGGCGACGCACGCCCAGATGCAGTCGACCTGAGCCACCACCTGAGCGACATGGCGAAGAGCCGCCTCACGTCGCCGCTCAAGGTGCGCTCCACTCCCTCCGACTGGTCCTCATCAGCGAACTCCCGCGACCCGGTCCCTGACCTCCCCTGTCGCCCCTGCAGTCGTTGTACGGCTACATGCAGCAGCCTGGCATGCTCCTGCTCGCCGGCGGCCTCCCTCCCGCCGAGCTGTTCCCCTTCGTGCGTCCGCCCCTCTCCTCCCTTCCTTCGTCGAGGCGGCCGTACTGACCCGCCCTCTTCCTCCTTCCTCTCGCACAGGAGTCGATCTCGGCCGAGACGCTCGCCAAGAACTCGTTCAAGACGACCGAGGTCGGGTTCGGCGCCTGGCTCTGGAGCTGGATCGCCGGCACCAAGAAGACGGACCTGTGGACCCTCAACAAGTTCGACGCCGACAAGACCAAGATCCAGCTCTCGTCGGCCCTCCAGTACGGTGCGTCGCCCCTTTCTCTTGGCGAACGAGCGAGGCCAAGTTTCGCTCCTCGCGGCGCGGCGGCGGCAGGTCGAAGCAGCCGCGCTCCCGGGCCTCGGACTGACCTTGCCCTCGTCCCTCGCACAGGCACCGCTGCCGGCCTTGCGCCCCTCGCCAAGTTTATCCACGAGTTCACCGAGCGCGTGTACCAGCCCGGCACGGCCGACTTTCGCACCGTCATCAACGCGGGCTCGACCGACGCGTGGGGCAAGATCGCGACGACGCTCAGCAACCCGGGCGACGGCATCCTGTGCGAGGAGTGGACCTACCCGTCAGCATTGGCGTGCGTCCCTGCGTTTCTCTTTCTACCCTTGTCGACCTTGGGCGGCGGCGGCTGACCCTCGCGTGAACGCGCGCAGGTCCGTCTGGCCGTCGGGGCTCAAGCCCGTCACGCTCCTGATGGACAACGAGGGCATGACGCCCGAGGGCATGGACGACCTCCTGAGCGCCTGGAACCCTGACGAGCGCGGCGGCATGAAGCGGTGCGTCCCACAGCCCTCGTCTCTGCCTCGTCGAGCGACCGGTCCTGCCCGGCCGGTCTCGAGCGCCGTAGCGTCAGCTCACCAAGACGCATGTCTGCAGCCCTCGCATCTTGTACACCATCCCTGTCTGCCAGGTGCGCACGCTCCGCCTCCTCGTCGCCCACAGCGAGAGATTTGACCCTTCGAGCGCCCGCAGAACCCGACGGGCGCCACCATGAGCCTCGAGCGCAAGAAGGCCATCTACGCCCTCGCCGTCAAGTACGACGTCATCATCGTCGAGGACGACCGTGAGTCTGCTGTCCCGCCGACGAGCGAGCGCGAGAGGCTCTCGTCGCGCCCTTGGTGCATCATGGACAAGCCGACTGACCCTGTGTCTTGCGTTCATCCCTCCCGAACAGCCTACTACTTCCTCCAGGCCGGCGAGTACGAACCGGTCCCCAAGATGCGCGCCGCCAAGCAGCCCAAGAAGACTGAGACGGACGAGGAGTTTCTCGCGAGCCTCGTCCCGTCGTACCTCAAGCTCGACTACCAGGGCCGCGTCGTGCGCATCGACACCTTCTCGAGTGCGTCCCTGTTTCCTCCTCGTCTAGTTACGAGCCGACACTCACGTCGCCGCCTTCCTCCTCTTTTCCCCCTCGCGCAGAGACCATCTGCCCTGGCTCTCGCCTCGGCTGGACGACCTGCAACCCGCTCTTCGCCGAGCGTCTCGAACGCGCCAACGAGTCGTCGACTCAGGCGGCGTCCGGCTTCGCGCAAGCGCTCGTCGGCGGCCTGCTCGCCGAGCAGTGGGGCTTCGAGGGTTACTTGCGCTGGCTCAAGGGTGCGTTCGACTGTCCTCCTCCTCTCCTACCGCATGTCGGGTCGTCATGTCGAGCGTGTACGACATCGAGAGAGAGTCGAGTCCTCGATTCACAAGGCCTGACGCTCTCCTCGGCCTCCCCTGGCAGGCATCAAGGCGCAGTACCGCGACCGCCGCAACACGCTCGTCGACGCCCTCCTCGACAGCGCCCACGCCTCGCTCGACACGCGCCAAGCCGGCGCCGCGTTCGAGTACTGGACCCGGGACGAGCGTGACGAGAAGGGCTTGCTCGTGCGCGAGAAGGGCGGCGCCGGTGCGGGCCGCAAGATCCTGTCGTTCGTCAGTCCCGAGGGCGGCATGTTCGGTGCGTCGCAGTGTTTCTCTCTGTCACTGTCGACGACGATCCTCGGTTACGGGCGCGACCCTCGTCGACGCCTTGCTCGAGCCCGACGACTCGGTCCCTGCCCTCGTCCTTCAGCATTTCCCTATCGCAGTCGAGTCCCTTTACTGACTGTCCCTGTCATCGTCGCAGTCTGGCTTCGCGTCCACTTTGCCGAGCACCCGTCGTTCCAGCGCCGAGCGACCTCGGACCTTCTCATGGAGCTCTGGACCGACCTCGCCGAGCACAACGTCCTCGTCGCACCGGGCACCATGTTCGACGCGTCCGAGTTCCCTCCGGCACCGCCAAAGGCCGACGAGCTCGCCCTCACCGACGCCGGCGACGGCTTCTTCCGCATCGCCTTCTCGACGGCGACGCCCGAGCAGATGAAGGAGGCAGCCAAGGTCATCGGGCAGCGCGTCGAGAAGTTCTTCCGGGCTTAGTAGCACTTTCTGTGGATAGTTCACTGTGTAACTTTGGCTCCCTTTGTTGCTCCTCGCTCGATGGGCGCCGTCGCGAGAACGGCCTTCTCAATCCGCGAAAGAGACTCTCGGACCTCTCTCAGTGCGCTCACCCGCCTCTCGAACGACTCGCAGAGCGTTGCACAGAGAGCTCTCGTCGTACTTGGTCATGCTGTTAGACGTGGCGAGAGTCTTTGCCGCTCGAAGGACCGCTACACCGCTACAAGTGAGAGAAAGCGGCGCAGGAGAGAATCTGTCGCGAGCATCTGCGGCTGTACGCTTTTGTGCATCTCATACTGTGTGGAAGCAGGAGCGAAGGGCCGAGGCATCGCAGCGTCAGAATTCGAGCGTGCGCTCAGGCCGCGACTCGCTTGACGTTGCACAGAATCGAAGGGCAGAGGCGAAAGGCTCGCAGGCTGCGGAGATTTGTACTTGATAGGCGGTCGAGAGATGCGAATCGAGCCATAGCAGACGTGTCGTGGCGACGCTGGCTCTGCGAGAACGGGCGCAAGTCAGCGCGCTCTCGACCTTGCTCGCACGCTCAGGCCGCTTCCGCTGCAGACCTCTCGCTCGAGCAGCTCTGCCCGTGCGCTCCACAGACACATGGCGACGCTGAAGCGGGTCAGCTCACGTAGAGTGGCTGCCGAGATGAACGCGCAAAGGAGAGGTACGAGCGGCGCTTTGCCAGCTCGCCTTGAGAGGTGCAGGCGGCGAGGCGAAGGACAAAGGGCTGCTCGAGGAGGGCTGCCCGAACGTCGAGCGCCTGACGACAAGCAACAACCTGTACGCTCCTGCAGACGCGAGGGTGGCTCAAGCGGAGGCGAACCGAGGCAAGCTTCCGTAGAGACAGGCTGGTTTGCTTCGCTCTCAGCTCTCGACGACGGCGATGCAGCTCGACGCTCGGGAACGACGCAAAGGGCTCGAAATACGAAGGTATAGGACAAAGGGAGGGCACAGTAAAGTAAAGGTACTGGGCGGGAGCGGTTCAACCGCGCATGTACCACGCGCTGTCGGTCCTCCTCGCCGACGACGACGACGGCATCTCGCTCGCTCCGTCCCGCTCGACAATGCTCCCTGCGTCGTCGTCTGCAGCGTCCACCTTGTCGCTCTTGACCTCGGTGCCGACCTCGCTCAGGGGTGCGCGACGTCGCAGTTGCGACTGCTGGCCGACCTGGCGACGAGCGAACAGCTTGCGCTGCACGAAGGTGCCGATGAGCCGCACGTAGCCGTCGATGACGTAGGCCGTCGAGCCGACAAAGCGGATGAGGGACAGGATGGCGACGAAGACGAGGACGATGACGAGGTCTGTGCGAGGGGCCAGGAGTCAGTGCACGCCGAGACCTTCTTGCTGCGCGAGAGAGAAAAGAGGACGGACAGATCTGAGTCCTGCCATTTCCCCCTCCCGAGCTGAACGTAGAGGCATAGTCGCCCTCGAGGATGACGGCGATGAGAAGAGCCTGCGGACGAGAGGCATCGTGAGCGCTCTTGCTCGACCGGAAAGGGCCCGAGGTGACGAGGCTCACGTTGGTCAAGACCCAGGACAGAAGGACGTTGGTCCTGATGCTCTGGTAGTGGTCGCGCACGGCCTCCTCCTTCTGCTTGTTCGAGAGCGGCGGCGGGACGATCATCGGCCGCGTCTTGAGGTTGTGCAGCGAGCGGTCGTACACGACGTCTGCGGGCGCTCGATCGAGTAAGCCTCCACGACCTGGTCGTCGGGAGGAGGCGCGAGAAGCTCACCGATGTCGGTCTGGTCGGCGGGCAACGCCATGTCGACCTCGTTCTGCCCGACCTTGCGCGTGATGCCGAGGTCGATGAGCGACTCGTTCTGCTCCTTGGTGCCCCTGCGAGTCGCACACAGAGTCAGTGATGGACTGCGAGCGTCGAGTCGGGCGACAAAGCGCAGGATCGCGTATCGAAGAACGAGGAAGGGGGGAGGCGACGAGGACGCACCAGGAAAAGTCGTGCAGGTTGCTGAACGAGTAGATGTTGAGCAAGTTGATGTAGATCGGTGCGGCGAGCATGTACTGGGCCATAGACGTGACGAGGTGCTGCCGGGGCACGCAGGGTCAGTGCGACGACGAGGCACGAGGAAGCGAGGGACGCACCCAGGGGTCGAGCGCGATGAGGCTTGCGAGGACGTAGACGCCGTCTGCGTCGCAAGGTTCGTGTGTCAGTGTGCCACTCAGAAGAAGACTGAGAGGAGGACTTGGGACGCACAAGTCGAGACGAGCGAGATGACGATCTGGGCCATGAGGAGGCTCTCGCCGGAGCGCTGTATCGCCTTGTACACGCAAAAGCCTGCAGCGCCAAACATGTACGCCGTCGTAGTCGAGAAGATGATGATCTGGTGCGCGAGAGAGGGACGGCGAGTCAGTCGCGCGGGCCTCCGAGACCGAGAAGGACGAGGTGGACGTACGACGATCAGGTACTTGAGCTGAGCCGCTTTCGGCCTGTTGCCCATCGACAGGAGGAAGGACGCGATGACGGCGCCGACTGCGACGAGGAAAGGGAGATGCGAGGTCAGGAAGAGGACGGCGGGGAGAGGTCGAGCTGAAGAGGACGGGCTCGACGCACTGTAGGCGTACTGCATGATGCGGTTGGCGACGGCAATATGCGGGATGTTGAAGGTCGGGTCCTCGAGCGAGGTCGTGAGCACCTGTGGCGGAAGAGGAAGGAAAATGAGCCGGCGAGGTCGAAAGGCGACCTCGAGACGGACGGGGCGCAAAGAGGTACCATGAAGAAGATCCAGTAAGACCTGTGCAAGGTCGAGAGCGTGAGGACGACGTAGATTACAGAGGCCGAGAGGAACAGAAGGTGGAAGGCGGACGCACGAGAGGCCGATCCACGCGAAGAGGACGTTCACCAGATTGTACACGGCCTGGAGGAACAGGAAGCAGACCTTGCGCTTCGAGTGCTGCGTGTCGAGGAGCTGGAGCGTGTGCATGAGGGCGTACACGCCGGCGAAGAACGAGCCGTTGAGCCACCGCCGGCGCTGCGAGGCAAGGGGAGCTCGTGAGTCCTCGGCGCCGACCGACACTGGGTGGCTCGAGAAAGGCGGGACGCACCTGCCCGATGAACTCGGCGATCGTGTCCGGCACGTCCGTCTCGCCCTTGGCCGCCTTGACGTACTTGAGGACCCACGCGTGGCCGCGCTTGGCGACGAGCTCCCAGCAGAGGATGCGGTCCTCGGCGAGGTACATATTGCTCGTCTGCAGGTCGGCGTCGTGGCCCGCCAGCGTCTCGCCCTTGAAGTAGCTCGCGAGAGGTCCATGGCCGAGCTCGTCGTTCTGCGTGTCGAGAGGGGTCAGTCGCGGCGCAAGGGGAGGGAAAGGGATCGGCGAGCTCACCTTGAGCGCGATGTAGCGGTCTGCGAGCGTGAGAGAGGAGCATCAGTACACGGTCGGGATGCGGAGAGAAGGACGGGGAGGACGGACAGGCCGAGAAGGCGCCTGGGAGGACCGAGATGTAGCCGAAAATCGACTCGAGCGGCTTGTCAAGGATGTCTGCGCGCGCAAAGACGACGTCAGGGGCATCGAGGAGTGCAAGGAACTGTCAAGGACGTACTCGAGATCTTGTACTCAAAGTTCTGCGCGGCGACGAGAGGGCTGAAGATCGGGGAGGAGAGGGTCAGTGCGCCCGCGAGAGGGGCAAAGTCGAGAGTGGGACGCACTTGAGCAGGCCGGTCCAGAACTTGCCCTTCATCGTGACGATCTCGCCGCACGCGCCGCCGACGTTCGAGTTGAGCTGCGGGCGAAAAGGAAGGGTCAGTCAAGGCAAAGAGGCGCGCGAGGGAGGAGGACGACGTGGACGCACGTCGAACGCCTTCCACAGCTCGTAGATCGAGCCCTTCTCGGGCGTGGTGCCGACGTCGATGAGGATGACGACACGCGGGTCGAGTTGCGGCGCGAACGCCTGGAGCGCCCACCGGTGACTGTTGATCTTCTTGGCGCTGCAGGTGGACGAAGGCGAGTCAGCGACGGCGTCTCGGCAACCGAGTCGCGTCGACGAGAAGGATGCGAGCCACTTCTTCTCCTTGAGGGCGAACATGATCTGGCAGGGCACGATGCCCTTCTCGAGGCCGCGGAACGTCATGTCGGGCGCGATCGACATTGCGTCGTGTGCTCGTACAAGTGGCACTGGACGGGTTGCGAGTCGATCTGGTTGGTCGCGACGTTGGGCTGGTAGACGCCGAGAGCGGCAAGGCTGCGTGCGGCCGGGGTGAGGGAGGTTCGGGAGGACGAGGGAGAGGAAGGAGGAGAGCGTACCAGTCGAGGACGCGAGGGTGGATCGCCTTACGCCCATCGGCGACGATGCAGACGACGACCTCTGTGCAGAACTAGCGTCAGTCGGCGCAACAGAGAGGGCAAGGAGGGTGCGACGAGCGAGGACGTGCTCTTCCACCCGTCAGGCCCCCAGGTCGCCGACTTCTTGCGCTTGCAGAGCTGCGAGATGTTCTCTGCGGACGTCGAGACCGAGATCAGTGTACGTTCGTCGAGAATGGGTGCTCGAGAGCGCACTCATGACGCCGTGCATCGTCCGGCAAAAGAGCTGCTCGTCCTCGTTGTACCTGCGAGAGGGACAGTATCAGGCTCGGCTTGTCCGGGTCGAGGACGAGGGAGAGGAGAGGACGCACATGGTGACGACGATGAAGAGCTCGGTCTGGCGGTCGTACATCGACGGCCGCAGCGTGTAGTTGCGCGCGTCAAAGTCCTCGGGCGCGCACGTGACGGCCGTGTACCGCGTCTGGACGAACTCGTCGCCGTCCTTGCGGGGCAAAAAGCCGAGCAGGCGAGTCGGGACGGCACAGGGGATGACGAGGTTGCCCTCGGTGAGCTTGATGCGGCGGTTCTGCAGGTTCTTGCGGCGCAAGTGCGCGGTCTGCGGCAGGTGTCGAGGGTGAGCGCCTCGCCCCACGCACATAGACCGATGAATAGAGAGTGGGACGCACCGTTGGCGGTGCTCCAAAGCCTCCCGCAAAGCTGAGCGCCGGGCTGTTGGCGTCGTCGTGCTCGTCGCCATCGGCGTCGCCCTCCCTGCCCGCCTCGAAGCTGTCCTCGAACTCGCCGGGGTCCTTGACGTCCTCGTCCCACTCTGCCCTCGCGCCCTCGCTCGCCTCGCCGTCTGCTCGCCGCCTCGCGCTCGTGTACAGCGGCGCAGGCGGTTCGAGCCGGAGCTCGAGGTCCGGGTCGTAGATCTCGTGGTGCGACTCGTACGCGCGCGTGAGGCGCGTCGACTGCTCGAACGACATCGAGGCGTCGCGGTCGCCGAGGTACTGGCCTGCGCCGTGCGAGGCGGCGCCGCCGGCGAGGGGCGAGTGGTCGTCGTGGGTGCGGAAGCTCGGCGGGCGGCGCGCGCTCTGGCCGCCGATGAAGGCGGCCTCGTCGTCGTTGTCGTAGGGCACAGCGCGAATGCCGGCCGAGTCGTGCGCGGCAGAGGGCGGGTCGTAGGCAGGGTACGCGGGCGTTGAATGATGAGGTGGGTCGGGGTCGCCCTCGGCAAAGTCGAGCGGTCGGTAGGGCATGTCGGCGGCTCTGCGGAGCTGGAAGTCGAGTCTGGCAAGGCTCGCAGCAGTGCGGCAGCTGCTGAGGCGTTGTGGGAGAAGAGGGAGCGAGTCTGCGTCGTCTCTTCCGTCTCGGCAAATCGCGATCGGCGGCGCGGTCATTTCTCAGTCGACACTGCTCTCGCCCGTGCTCTGCCTGTGCTCCGACGATACACAAGTCTATTATGCTGCACTGCAGGTGAATGCCGAGAAGCGCGAGAGGACCGAGAAAACCCAAAACCTCCCGCCTCGAAGGCCGACGACAACGGCGAAGCTCCCTCGACCAACTCAGAGCGTGTACCGGAACGCCATGTTCTCCTTGTCGGTCAAATCCTCGCGCTCGATACGCTCGTACTCCTTGTCGCGCTCCTCGGCCGACGGCGTGACCGAGTCGCCGTCGTGCTTCTCCAAGTTGTCGGCGCTCGAGGCGTCACGAGCGTCCCGCCGGGCGTTCTCGCGAGCGAGGATGAAGCGCAAGGCGAGTGACGCGACTGCGGGAAGGAAAGAGAGTGAGTCAGACGGCCAAATCGGTCGGCGAGGATGGCGGGAGGAAAGGGCAGGAGGACGCACGAGAAGCGGCGCCGAGCGAGGCGTAAAGGGCGATCCAGGTCGAGCGATACTTGACGGCCTTCTCGTCGATGAACACGGTGTACGGCGCGATGATGCTGGGCAGACGGACAGATGCGAGGGTGAGGACGAGAGGCTCGAGCAGGCCGCGCGAAAGGCTGAGCGAGACACCGACGCACTTGCCGACGCAGTACGAGACAAAGATGGCGCCCGCAGAGATGGACTTTTTGGTCGAGCCCGCGACGTTGGCCGTCGAGAGGGCGAGGAGGAGGACGTAAGCTGCGGACGGGTTGAGAAAGTCAGGCAGGGTCGGCGACGACGTTCTCGAGGGTCCTCCCGGCGACGAGATAGGATGTACGGCTGCCGAACGTCGCCAGCAGGTAGTTGCCGAAGAGCGGGACGCCCCGTCGCTCCCACGACGCGCCCCAGATGAGGGCGGCCCCGATCCAAACGGGGATGCACGAGATCGGGATGAGGAGGGTGAGGCCGTTCTTCCACTTGGTCGAGACCCATGTGAAGAAGTAGATGAAGACGGCGGTGAACTGCAGAGAAGGGCGGGCGGAAGGAGGCAGACGAGGTGAGCGAGATGGCCCGAGGGGAGGAGGCGCCGACCGGCACGACGCGACGACCTCGACGCCGCGGGCCGCACGCTCTCCTGAACCAGTCGAACGAGTCCCGAGAGAGGAGAGGAGGACGTACGATGCCGCCAGGACTGCAGGAGGAGAGCTTGGGAGTCAGTGGCGGCGCGAGGAGGAGGCGACGAGGGAGGACGCACATCGAGATGGCGATGGTCGTCAGGGACGAGTAGCCGAAGCTCTTGACGATCTGGGACGAGAAGGCGGTGACGGCGCCGTTGCAGACCTGCGAGGGAGAGACAAAGTCAGTCGAGGCGCAAGAGGAGGTCCGGGCGTCGAGTCGTCGGGCTCACGCTGCCGAAGAAGCAAGTCAGTCGTGCTCGCTCGCTCGCAAGGACGGGGCAAGGTGAGGGACGCACTAGATGCCGGCGCCCATGACCATGAAGAGGTAGATCTTGATGTCGCACGCCGCCTCCCTCGCCTGGCGCCACTGGAAGCCGCCGAGCTCGATGCGGCCGCTCATGTTCTCCCTCGAGCGCCGGATAAGGATCTGCCGCTCATCGTCGTTGAACCACCGGTGCGACGTGCGCGGCGAGTCGGGCACGACGAACAGGACGACGAAGGCAAAGGCGATCGTGAGGCCGCCGGCGAGACCTGGGTGAGGAGAAACGACCTCGTCAGCCCGAGGCACCTCGTCTTGACTCGCCGAGGTGCACGAGAAAGAGAGCAGGGGAAGAGAGGGCGTACAATACATGCGCTTCCAAGGCGCGAACGACCCGTCGGCGCTCCCGAGGCCGTAGTTGACGATGCCGGAGAAGGCCGAGAAGATGCCCGTCGCGCTGTACCACACGCCGAGGCGAGCGGCCTGCTCCGACTTCTTGTACCACTGGCTCGTGATGAGGACGAATCCTGGCGAGATGGACGACTCGAGCACACCGAGAAAGACACGCTGCACGACGAGGCCCTCGTACGACGTGCAGACGATGGTGAGGAGCGCCGTGACGCCCCACAAGAAGCTGCGAGGGGTTCAAGATCAGCTCAGGTTGCTGTCGAGAGCGCTCGAGGCGAAGGACGGGAGTGAGAGGACGAGAAAGAGGGGACGCACATGCAGATGCTCAAGGTCTTGGCGAGCGGAAACCGCTGCAGGAGGAGCGCGAACGGCAAGACCGCGATGATGTAGCCCCAGTCTGCGAAGGGTACGCGAGAAGGTGAGCTCTCGTCGTGGCCGTCGTCGAGCGGGAAGGGAGGAGGACGCACAGAAAGCCGACGAGGCGGTCGAGTACCGCAGGGTCGACACGACGGCCTTGCCCGTCTCGGGGTTGACGTGCGTCGTCGACAGGCCGAGGTCCTTGATGACGCCGAAGATGGCGGCCGAACCGAGTACTGCTTCTGCGCGGTCAGGCAAGAGTGCGCCGCGAAGAGGACGGGGCGAGGGACGAGGTGTGAGTCCCGCTCGACACGAAGTGGACGCGAGAGAGGGGGGTGACGCACTGTCGTAGTACTGCAGTCCTGCCGAGCAGAGCAGGACGGGCATCAGGAGGAGGTCGACCTTGCGGACGAGGCGACGCTCTGGCTGCGTCTGCCGTGCGAGCTCGTCGGCTCCCTCGCCCGGCTTGGTCGCCGAGGGATCGTTGGTCTGGGCCTCGAGCGGCAACATGGCCGTCGACAGTCGGGAGCTGGGTGGCGGCACGGGCGATTGGCGCCGCTGGACGAAGGAAAGTCGACGAGGAGGAGGTGCGGGCGCGACGCGGTGAACCGGGCCGAGGCTGACGGTGTGGTGGGAGCGTGTGACCTTGCGCTGCACAGGATGGCAGTGCACAGCGAACAAGCGAAAGAGTCAAGCGCAGAGAGAGCTGTGAGCTGGCACGAGAGATCGAGCGCTGCGTTTGTGCGGGGAATTTCGAGCGGCCGCCGGCTCGTCGAGGGGGAGGCGCAGGCTGGACTGGTTCAACGGGGTAGCTCTCGAAAGGATTATCCAGGGCAGAAGCACTGCAGCTGAGCGAGGGAAGCGAGAGAGGTCGAGGCGGCCAAGTTCCCCCTCGCGACGACCGAGCCACACGGCGAGATGAGGACGAGCAGCAACCTCTCGCCCGCTACAGCACACAAGACCACGCTGAGGATGGCCGCACTCTTCTCGAGGTGAGCACCCACTCCAGCCCTCGCCGCGCAGTACACCCGCTCACCCCCTCCTCCTCGAGCAGCCTCCCCGCGCCACTTCACTCGGCTCCCGTCGACGACACGCCCTCGGCGTCCGCCCAGCCGCAGCAGGCCTCGTCTGCTCTCGCCGTCCAAGGCGCCAACATCCCGTCGTACGGCCACCGCAAGGGCTGGAAGCCAAAGAGCCAGCACGACTTTGGCGACGGCGGCGCCTACCCCGAGTGTCACGTCGCCCAGTACCCGCTCGAGCTCGGCAGGAAGAAGGCGAGTCCCTCCTCTTTCGAGCGAGCGCGCTCCTGCGTCCCCATCCACCCCCATCGTCCGCCTCGTGAGCTGACCCTCGTCCTCATCTCCCCCCGCCCCTTGCAGACCTCGTCGGGCAACACGTTGGCGCTCCAGGTCGACGCAGACGGTAACGTCAACTACGGCGCAATCGGTCCGTCCCAGCTCTCTTTCCTCTCGCCGCCGCCCACGCGTGACTCGCGAGCTGACTCTCCACCTCCCCTCCTCCGCAAACAGCCCAGCAAGGTCAGCGCAACGGCGTGCACGTCCAGTCGTCGTTCAAGGACCTCGTCCCCCTGTCGCAGCGCACCGATGTCGACAAGGACGTCATGGCCATGGAGCGGCCCTCGGAGGAGGAGGTCCAGTCGACCACCGACCGCACCAAGGCCGCCCTCGAGCGCCTCGTCCAGGGCAAGATCAAGGCCGCCCAGCCCAAGAACGTGCAGCAGGTCGGTGGCGACGTCACCTACATGCGCTACACCCCGCAGAACGGCGGCGTCGACAAGCAGAAGATCATCAAGATGGTGCGTCCCGCCTCTCGACCTCTCCCTCCCTGTCACTCGCGCTGTCGAGCGCAAATCGACTCACGTTCGTCCTCGTCTCGCAGATGGACGTCGTCGAGGACCCGCTCGAGCCGCCCCGGTTCAAGGGCAAGAAGATCCCGCGCGGCCCGCCGTCGCCTCCACCGCCCATCCTCCGCTCGCCGCCGCGCAAGGTGACGGCGCAGGAGCAGAAGGAGTGGATGATCCCGCCGTGTGTGTCCAACTGGAAGAACAACAAGGGTTACACGATCCCGCTCGACAAGCGCTTGGCGGCCGACGGCCGTGGCCTGCAGGACGTGCGTCCCCTCTTTCCTTCTCTGCCTGTCCCCTCCTTCGCGCCCACCGTGCGCCGTCGAGCTCACACTCTCCCTCTCCTCCCGTCCTCCTCGCTCGCAGGTCCAGATCAACGACCGCTTCGCCCAGTTCTCCGAGGCGCTGTACGTCGCCGACCGACACGCGCGCGAAGAGGTCCGCCAGCGCGCCCTCATGCAGCAGAAGATCGCCTCGAAGGAGAAGGAGGCCAAGGAGGAGAACCTGCGCATGATGGCGCAGCGCGCACGCGAGGAGCGCTCGGGCGTCGTCGTCCAGCCGGCGGCGGCCGCGCCGTCTGCCATGAGCTCGGCAGGCCTCGGCGCCGCCATGGCCGGCTACGGCTCGGAGAGCGAGGACGAGGAGGAGGCGGCCATCGCTCGCGGCGCGCAGGGTCAGCGTGCGCCGAGCACGGCCGGCGCCCCGAGCGACGACGAGAGCGCGGCGGGCGACGAGGACGACGGCGAGACGGAGGAGGACCGCAAGGCGGCGCGCGAGCGCGACGAGATGCGCCGCGAGCGCAAGAAGGAGCGCGAGCGCGAGTTGCGCATGAGCCACATGGGCACCGAGCAGCGGGCCAAGGTCCTCGCCAAGTGCGTCTCCCCTCTCCCTCCCTCCCTCCCACTTCCTCGTTCCACATTCAGGAGCTCACCCTCCTCTCCTCCTACAGGGCGACCGGTCGCGACATTTCGGAGAAGATTGCGCTCGGGCTCGCCAAGCCGACCTTGTCCAAGGACTCGATGCTCGACGCGCGCCTGTTCAACCGCGAGCAGTACTCGGCCTCGTTCGGCTCGTCCGACTCGTACAACCTGTACGACAAGCCTTTGTTCTCGGGCTCGTCGGCGGCGGCCGCCATCTACAAGCCTCGCGGGCGGGACGTCGACGACGAGGGCTTCGAGGTCAACGCCGAGGAGGTCGACAAGGCGATGCGCAACGACCGCTTCGGCCTCGGCGTCGCCGGCAAGGGCCGTGGCTTCGAGGGTACCGACACGAGCGAGATCCGCGACGGGTGCGTCCCCTCTCTCTCCTCGTTTGGCAGATCGAGTTCTCGCGCTCACTCTGCGCCGTCGTCGACAGCCCGGTCGCCTTCGAGCGCGACACGGCCGACCCGTTCGGCGTCGACGCGTTCCTCGAGTCGGCCAAGGCGGGCGCAGGAGCGGGCGAGAAGAAGCGCGGGCTCGACACGCTCGAGGACGACAAGCGCAAGCGCCAGCGGGACGACTGAAGAGCGGCGCCTCTCTATCCTCGTGGGTCGATGGGCCCTGTCTGTATTCTTTCCTCTCCTCGTACACTCCCCCTCTCTGTCTGTGTGTGCAACTGCGGCCCTGTTTCCTCGCGCTCTGTCGTCGAGAGCGTCCCGCTCGACCCTCTCCCTCGAGCGTTGGCCTCGTCTGCGCGCGCTCGCCTGTCTGCGCCCAGCTTTCCCCGTCGGCGTTCTTGTGCGCAAGCGCGGCTCGCACCCCGTCGACGGATGCTGCGAAACCGGCGAGACAACCCCGCACTTCGTCGCGGCCTCAAGAGCTCGCTGGTTCCGACCTCCGCCCTCTCTTTCTCCCTGACTACCGTCGACCCTTGCCCGTCTGGCACCATGTCCTGTGAGTCCAGCCGCTCACCGTCCCCCTGGCACGCCGGCATGAGCGAGCGGGAGCAGCGTCGGCGCGCTGAGCACCGCCTCGTTCGGCCGGGTCCTCCGCTCACCTCTCGCCGCTCCCAACGCAGACCCTCAAGCTCCTCCGCACGCGTACGGCGGCCAGGGCTACTATGGCCCGCCGCAGGGCATGCCGCCGATGGGTTACCAGCAGGTGCGCCCCTCGTCCTCTCCTCCTCTCGGCAACTCGGACTCGCTCCAGGGCTCGGCGAGCTGACCTCTCGTCCGTGCGTTGTCTTGCAGGGCTACGGTGGACCGCCGATGGTAGGTCCAGGCGCTTCTGAAGGAGAATCGGGGCCAGGGAGCTGACCGTCCGCCCTGTCCACCGGCGTGCAGGGATACGCGCCTCAACAGCAAATGATGATGGTGCCGCAGCAGCAGAAGAAGGACGACGGCGGGTGCTGCAGCTGCTGCGGTAGCTGCTGCAAAGGTGCGTCCCCCCCTTCTCTCTCGACGTCGTCGGGCGCGATTTGACGCAGGTCCAGGAAGCGGGAGCACGACTGACAAGCTTCCTCCCACACAGGGTGCTGCTGCTGCTGCACGGCCTGCCTTGCGTGCTGCGCGTTGGAGGAGATCCTCGACTGAGCGAGCGCGCTGGACGTTGCTTCTCTCGTCGTCAGGCGCCTCGGTTCGGCGGACGTGGCAGACCTGTCGAAGCGGACAACAGCCGTAGTATTCCTCACTGTGTCACTGTAACACTGTCGCACTCATCCGTCTTCGTCGAGAGAGCCGAGCTGCACGACCCCCTTGCTCGACGAGAGCCGCGCCGAGAAGTCGAGAGCAAAGCGAGCGGCTCGTCCCTCGTTCGAGATCTGACGACGGTCGCGTCTTCTTCCGGTGGGTCTGACAGCCCAAGTCGGTACGACGCATTGGCCTGCAGTATCAAGCGAGCGAGAGAACGCAGAGAAAGGTGGGCGCGTCGGCGACGGCCCGTGCGAGCTAGCGACGTCGACCTTCCCAAGTGCGAGCTTTCGTTGCGTGCCGAGTCGGAGCGGACGGTTCTGGTCTTGTCGACGCGTCCGTCCTCATAGATGTGTGCTCGTCGCAAGCGCGCCGCACAGGCGAGATGCACATGTCGCCAGCTCACCGTCTCAGGATTTCGACGAGGAAAGCGTGGTTCGACCGCGGCCGCTTTACTTTCCACTGCGTCCCATCAGTCTGATCGAGCTTCTGAGTGTCTCTAGGGAGCTGGTCGAGCGACTTGCTGGCGTTGCGCAGTCGGAATGCAGTCGGCCTCATCGACCTCGCTGTCACGGTGCCTCTGACCTCGGGCCTCGAATCCTCCTCGTCTACCGTCTCGCCAAAGGCCAGCTGTGCCCTGCTCTCGCCTGCGCCCTTCTACAACCCGCCGCCGGCTCAGCAACATCGGCCCGGTGCATCGCGCGTCTCTCCTCGGACCCCTCCCACTCGCTCTCATCGGAGACGCGGATCTCTCGCGCCAGATCGCTCGAAGAGCTCGGGCAGAGGGGCATCGGGCTGGGCATGGGCCCATGAGTCGCTGCGAGTGCTTGCAGGTGGACGCAGGTGGTCTGCGCGGGTGGACGACGGCGAGTTCGGCGAGTGGGGAGCGGCGGGCGGAGCAGGCTCGCTGTGGGCGGTCCCGGCACTGAGGGCAGGGCTACAGGCGTGGACACGGACCCAGACGACCTTTCCGACGAGGTTCCCGTACTGACTCGCTCACCTCCTGCAGACCTCGACCCGTTCGTCCTCCTCGTCCCGCCCGGCCGCCGCCATGGCCTCACCCGGCTCATCCTCGGGCCAGCAACGGCCCAGAGTCGACGCCCGGTCGTCGTCCCTCCTTGTTCCCATCTCCGACTCGCCCCCGACGAGGCGCACCCCCTTGCGCACGACCAGCCTCGCCTCGGACCTCGGCCTCCTCCCGTCGCCCACGGTCGCCTCGTCCCTCGCGCCGCCACCCGAAAACCCGCATCTCCTCACGCCCCTCCGCGCCCACTACCTCAAGCGCGAGCTCGTCACCCTCGAGTTCGTGCGCGAGCTCGCCCAACTCGACTCGCCCGGGTCGCTCTCGATCCTCGGCCCGCCCTTCCTCCCCAAGTCGCGGTTCATCGACGGCGTCCCGCAGCCGCCCCCTGCGCCTGGGTCCGAGGCCGCCCTGCGCGAGCAGCGAGACTGGGAGGCCAACGTCGACCTGCCCTTCCTCCGCTTCGTCTTCCACCACTTCATCCTGTCCTTCCCGTTCCTCATCGCGTGCCCGCCCACCTTCTTCTCGCACAAGCTCCAGCCGTTCGTCTACTCGTTCGTGTCGCGCAACATCTCGACCTCGGACGACCGCGACGTCGACACCAAGCGGCGCCGCATCGCCGGCAAGGTCGAGAAGCACCTCGGCCTCGTCATGAGCGCCGCCGTCAAGCTCACCGAGAACGGCGGCAAGGAGGAGGTCGTCCGCATCGACGAGCACGGCGAGTTCCACTCGGGCGCGCCGGCGACCCAGGCGAGCGCGGCGACGGTCGGCATGAAGAAGCGCGGCGCGCTCACGACCGTCGAGGGCAAGGACGACGACTTCTCGCTCAACATCGTGTCGGTCCGGACGCAGGCCAAGAAGAGCCGCATGCGCATCAAGACGCACGAGGAGTTCCTCGTCCGCACGAGGCGCAAGGGCCAGTCGGACGTGTACGTCGCGAGGCGGTACGGCGACTTTGTTCGGCTCGCAGAAACGGTGCGTCCTGCCGCCCTCTCCTCTCTTCTGCCATGCAGCGTGAACTGACTTGTCGACCGTCCGCAGCTCCGCAAAGAGTGCATCGAGGAGGCGGTGCCGAGCCCGCCCGCCAAGGACCGCCGGTCGGTCGAGCGCAAGCCCGGCTCGTCCGATACGTCTACCCCGACCGCGCCCTCGCCCCGGCCCTCGACCTCGAGCGACCCGACCCTGCCACCGACGCCGGCCTTCGACATGAACCACGTCCCGACGCTCGCGCGCGAGCGCAACCGCCTCACGCTGCGCGCGTACCTGCGCTCGCTCCTCACCAACCCGATCCTCGCGAGCGCCGACGCGTTCCGCTCGTTCCTCCTCGAGTCGCCGATCGCCCTGTCGCCGAGCGAGGAGCACGACATCGTCATCCGCGAGGAGATGGACCGCATCCGCGAGCAGGAGATGAAGAGCTTTCGGGCCGAGGTCGAGGAGCGCGTCGAGGAGCTCGAGGGTTACCTGCGCACGTTCCGCGAGGAGCTCGTCAAGCATGACGGCCTGTCGAGGGTGTTTGCGACGATCCGCAACACGGAGAAGGCGCAGGACCTGCCCGTCGAGTACCGCAAGGTCATGGAGTGGGCCCGCATCTCGTGCGTCGCCTCGTTTTCTTCCCTCCTCCTTCCCCAAAAGCTCTCTCTGGGCGACGAAGGACACCCTCCTGACCCCTTTCTTCCCCGACCGACAGGCTCGCGTCGACCATCTACCAGCTGTTCCTCGGGTCCGACAACTCGTCGTCGGTCTTCTCACAGATGAAGCGCATGCACGGCATCATGCCCTACTTCATGCTGCGCGGCATCTTGCGCATCTCGAACCCGGTCGCCATGATCCGCGCCGTCCTGGACCTGTTCCTCGCGCGGCCGTTCGGCTCGACGTCGCTCCTCCAGAAGATGTTCACGAGCGGCCTCGACACCGAGGTGCGCGACCTGCGCGCCGACGCCGACCTCGTCGCGCGCAAGATCGGCGACGACCGCCTGACGACCAAGGTGCGGCAGTACGTCGACGCGGCCAAGGACGAGCAGGACGCGATCCGCCTCGACGCGAGCGCCGAGAACATCGACCTCATGACGGTCATCCTGCGCTCGCCGAGTGCGCCGAGGGTCGACGCGCGCACGATGCAGTACCTCGCTCGGTGCGCCGTCCGGTACGACGAGTACAAGCGGTGGAGGAGCACGCTGCACGACCCGGACGACGACGAGGGCCCCGACAACGACGAGGCGTGGCTGTACGAGGACCTGCACGTGTACCGTCGGCTCATCACCAAGGCGCGCGACAAGGAGCAGCTCATCGAGCTCATCTTCGAGGTGCGTCCCCTCCCCTCGCTCGAGCCTGTCAGCGACCGACCGACCGTCGACCCGATCTGACCTTTGTTCCCTTCCCTCGCATACAGGGCAGCACCTCCGAGGTGCTCAAGGACATCGTCACGATCTTCTACGAGCCACTCGCAAAAGTGTACAAGGCCGCCAACATCGCCGATTCCCTGTCGGACCTCCAGGCGTTCGTCGACGACCTCATCAAGACGGTCGAGTTCGCCGAGCAGGGTTCGTCCTCTCTCTCTCCCGCTCTCGTGATCCCCTGCGTCTTGCGGCGCTCGCGCACGGACCAACAAGCTCACTGTTCGCCCTTCGTCGCCCGCAGCCAACCTCACCGAGCCGCAGCGCACGGTGCAGCTCTTTGTCGACCTCGTCGCCCGACACGAAGAGCGCTTCTACCACTTCGTCCACCAGGTGCACTCGAAGGGTGAGGGCCTGTTCGACAACCTCATGTCGTGGATCGAGCTCTTCATCAATTTTGTGCGCGACGGCCTGCCCTCGCCCGTCTCGCTCGACTTCCTCCTGCCCGTCGGCGGCAAAGAGCGCGAGGACGTCCTCGCCGAGGTCGACGCCCTCGTCGAGTACCACCGCAAGCTCAAGCTCGCGCACCACGAGCGCATGAAGAAGCGGCTCGTCAAGGGCCGCCAGGACCTCGACAAGGACGCCGACGCAGCGTTCGTCGCCGGCGTCATGGACAACCTGCATATCAGCGGCGTCATGGACGACGTGCACGACATCGAGCACGAGGAGAGCGACGACGAGGCGAGCGAGGACGACTACTCGGCGAGCGGCGACAGCAGCGAGGCCGAGCTGCCGCCGCCGCCTCTGCCGTCCAAGGACGCACCGCTCGTGCCACCGCGTCCGCCTCGCCGCAAGAAGGATCGCGAGGTCATCGATCCGCCCGTCCTCAAGCTTATCCCGCGCCTTGTGCCACTGTTCGTCGAGCTCGTGCGTCCACCCTTCTCTCCCTCGCCCACTTCTTCGTCTTTGGCCAACTGTCGACTGACTCTCTCTCTCTCCCAACGCAGGTCCGCGAGCAGCTCGACGAGGCGAGGAGGCAGAAGCGGGCCCCGCGCAGCCAGTGAGAAGGCCGTGCAGGTCGCTCGAGCCCTCGACGGACACCTCGGCTTTCCTCCCTCTTTGCCGTTCGTAGCGCCTCGTCTCTTCTGCCTTGTCATGCGAGCTAGATCTAGAACTGTCCGCACTCTGCGAGAGCGACAAAGGTCAGAATCGGGAGAGCCGACGACTCGGCCGCGCGGTCACCTCGCTCGTCGTCCGCTGCTCCACTCTCGCGACGATGGACGCAGCAGACGTCGCGTGGGTGCTGCGCGGCACCGTCGTCAGCTCTCGGCCCGACCGCACGCTCAGCATCCGCCCAGACCAGCTCGTCGGTGCGTCCCCCGTTTCCTCATCATTCAGTGCTCTCGTATCTCCCGAGCCGACTGTCGCCCTGCCGGCGCTCTCGCCTGCACGCAGTCGTCAACCAGCGTGGCTACATCTCGCATCTCGAAGCGGCCGACACGGCGCAGTCCAAGGCGCTCCTGAGCCTTGTCGAGGCGGGTCAAGTGGGGCGAGAGCGAGTCGTCGACTTGGGCGAGGACGGCTGGGTCCTGCCGGGCTTCGTCGACACGCACAGTGAGTCCAGTCACTCTCTTGCGGCCACCTATCGAGCGGCTCGAGCTCCCGTCGTCCTTGCCCGCCTCGCTGACCTCCTCCTCCTCCTTCTCCCTCGCGCAGTCCACGCGCCGCAGTACATCAACTCGGGCATGGCTCTCGACAAGCCGCTCATGGAATGGGTCCGTCAACCTCTCCCGTCGCGAGCGTACACAGTCGTCGCGGCCCTCTCTGACCCTCCTCTGCGCCCGACAGCTCGAGGCGTACACGTTAAGAGCCGAATCGCGCATCGACCGCGATCCGCACGGCCTCGGTGCCCGGGTCTACGCCAAGCTCGTGCAGCGCATGCTCGAGAACGGCACGACGGCGGCGAGCGTCTTTGGCACCATCTCGGTCGAGGCCAAGTGCGTCCCGCTTGCACCTTTCGGCCCTTCTCGTCCTCCCGACTGACGTTTCGCCACTGCGCAGCCTCGTCCTCGCCAAGGCGTTTCTTGACGCCGGCTTACGCGGTCAGATCGGCAAGGTCGCCATGGACCAGCACTCGATTCCGACCTACGTCGAGACGACCTCGTCCTCGCTCTCGTCCACCCGGTCGTTCATCTCGGCCGTGCGCGAGCTCGTCGCGCCCCTAGCGCCCGAGCAGCAGATCGTCGAGCCAGTCGTGACGCCGCGCTTCGTGCCGACGTGCAGCATGGACCTGTTGCGAGGCCTGAGCGACCTCGCGCGCGAGACGGGCGCCCGGATCCAGAGCCACATGTGCGAGAGCGAGGGCATGGTGCGCGTCTGCAAGGACATGCTCGGTGGCAAAAGCGACGTCGCGGTCCTCAACGAGGTGCGTCTCCTCCTCTCTCTCTCTCGGGGCCTGATTCGAGAGAAGACGAGCCTGACGACCCTCTCGTGCGCAGCTCGGCCTCCTCAACGAGCGGTCCCTCATGGCGCACTGCACGCACACGACCGCTCCCGACCTCGCTCTCCTCGCCAGCACGGGAACCGCGATCGCGAGCTGCCCGCTGTCCAACGTCTACTTCAGCAGCGAGCGCCAGCTCCCGTTGCGCGAGGCGTGGACGGCCGGCGTCAAGGTCGGCCTCGGGAGCGACATCAGCGGCGGGTACCGCCTCGGGCTCGACGACAACATGCGGTGGGCCGTCGGCATCTCGCGCATGCGCGAGGGGCAGCGCGACGCTGTCCGAGTCGCGCCCGAGGACGGCGAGGCCGACGAGGGCTCGCTCGCCATTACGTGGCAGGAGTCACTGTTCCTCGCGACGCTCGGCGGCGCACAGGCGCTCGGACTCGACGGCGACGAGCGCCGCGTCGGCGTGCTCGAGGTCGGCTCGGCGTTCGACGCGCAGTTTATCGCGCTCGGCGACAGGCGCAGCCGGGTCGACTGGTTCGACCTCGCCGACGAAGCGGTCGACGGGCAGCGTGACGGCGAGGAGGGAGCAACAGCAGCAGCAGGGCACAAGGTGACGCTCGAAGAGAAGGTCGAGAAATGGTGGAGCAACGGGAGCGAGGTGGACCGCCGAGCAGTGTGGGTACAAGGGCGACGGGTCTATGAGCGAGACGAGTCGTAGCTCGGGTCGAGTCGAAGCAACGACGAGGCTGTATTTCAGGCTCCACGTACGAGAGGCTATCCACGAGAGAGGCCCTCCCTCGGCGACGCTACTCCTCCTCGCTCGAGTCGGGAATGTCGTTCTCGCGCTCGGCCTGCAGCGGATTGACAGAACCTGCGAGCGCGCCTCAGTGCAGCGTCAGTCTATATTCGTGTGCAGAGACGTGGACGGCGAGAAAGGGAAAGAGAGACGCACTCGGGAGCCCTTTGCCGGCCGTCGTCCTCCTCGCGGCGAGCGCCCTCTCCCTCTCACGCTCTCTCGCCTGCGCCTGCGCTTGCGCCTGCAGCTCGGCCTGGTGCTTGGCCTCGAGCAAGAGCTTGTGCCGCGCATGCGCCTGCGCCTGCTGCTGCACCGCCGCCGCCGTCTTGATGCTCGGGTACTCGGTCGACGATGACGACGAGGCCGCCGGCGCGCCGGCGACAGCCGCACCGGGCCCAGGCGACGCCGACGCCGTGCTCGTAGGCGCACTCGCGCCGCCCGACGAGCGGACCTTGGCCATCTGGGCGTTGACGGCGTGCGACACGCCGCTCGGGAGCAGCTTGGGGCCCGTGCGCCGGCTCGCCCTTGCGCCTCCCGCTCTGCCGCCAGCGTCCGACTCGTCGCTCTCGTCGTCGTCGTCGTCGTCGTCATCGTCAGACCCGGACGACGACGAGTCCGAGATGTTGGGCGCGACCCGCTGGATGCTCTTAGCGCCTTTGGCGCCGGGCGCCGGACCTGGACCTGGAGCGGGTTTTGCCGACGTCGACGAGGAGGTGGTGGTGGAGGTGGTCGCGGCGGCGGCAGGAGGAAGATGCGCAGCGTCGGGCGGGCGCTTGCCGCCGATCATGCCCGGTGCGGGCGGACGAGAACGAGCGGCGGCGGCGGCGGATGACGGTGCGGCGGCGGCGGTCGAAGGAGGTGCTCGTCGCTGTGGCGGTGGCGGTTGAGGAACATGCGCCGACGATGCTGCTGCAGGTGCGGGCTGTGCCCGGAGCGGCGCGCCGCCCGGCCCGCCCTTGCCGCCGCCCTTGCCCGCTCCAGGCCTCGGCAGCGCGCCCGTCGAGGCCGCGACGAGGACAGGGTGAGGCACGACCGGCTCCGTCTCGACATCATCGCTGTCGCTCGCCGCCTCGTCGTCGTCGTCCCGGTCCTCGTCCTCGCTGCTCGCCGAGTCGGGCGGTCCTGCCGGACCGGCGCCCGCACCTTGCGCCGCGAGCTGGCGCGAGTAAGACGCCGGGATCTTGCTCCCGAAGCGCGGGTGCGCACCGGGCGGCGGACCCTGCGACAGGTTGGGCGACGGCGGCGCGCCGCTGAGGGCGCGCGTGGTCGAGGCTGGCACCTTGCCGGCGTAGCGAGGATGCAGCTGCGGGTGCGGGTGGGTAGACGAGGAGGGTTGCGGCTGTCGAGGCGAGGGAGGAAGGCGAGGCGAGGTCGGCAGGAGAGGGCGCGCCGCCGAGGACGCCGCGACAGCGGGCTGAGGAGGAGCGGCGGCGGTGGCGGCGACATGGGGCGCGCGTGAGGTCGACGGCGGCGAGCGCTTGACGGCAGGTTGCTCTTGCCGAGAGCCGGGAGGCGGGCTTGGGCGCTTGGCGGCGCGAGCGGGTGTGGGCGCAGGCGCAGTCGAGGTCGAGGTCGAGGACGAGGGGCGAGCGAGGGTTGGCCGACTGCTGTCGCCGTCGCCGCCGCCGAGGTCGCCGAGGTCGCCAAAGTCCTCGACGTCGACGCGGGTGGCGGGCTTGTTGCGCAGGTAGCTCGGGACCGAGGGCACGGCGGGGAGCGCGACCTCGTCAAAGTCGCTCTCGTCGTCGTCGTCGTCGTTGTCGTTGTCGGACGTGGCCGTGCTCGCCATGTGGGCTCGCTGCGCCATGGACGGCGACGTCGCCGGGTTGAGCAGGCTCGCGAGGCCGCCGCTGCTCGACGGGCGCGAGTGGGCCGAGGTCGAGACGGGCGGCGGCGAGACGGCGCTCGGTGCGGGTGCGGATGCGGCCGACGGGGCGGCGGTCGCTGCGCGAAAGGCGGCGAACGGGTCCGGGGCGGCCGAGGTGAAGAACGAGGCGTGCGACGAGTGGAGCTCGGCCGAGGTCGGGACGGGAGGCGTCGCGGGAGGACGAGAGGTGCGGTCTGGCTTGAGCGAGAGGTGGGCCGTCAAAGGTTCGAGGGACCAGCTCTGCGGGTCAAAGGGGGTGTCAGAGATCGGATCGTCGTCGTCGTTCAAGAAAGGCGAGAGAGAGAGCGGGCGCACCTGGCGGTCGTCGTCCCACACGAGGGCGACCTCGACCTCCTTGGCGGGGGTCTCGGTGGCGGTGAAGCGGGCCTCGACGGGCTTGGCCTTGTGCTTGCCGATGCCGTGCTTGGTGGTCGGGAAGGCGGCCCAGATCTGGTCGGGTGCGGCGGCGGCGGCGGCGGCAGAGGGAGGTGCGGTGAAGAGGGTGCCGTTTGCGGCCGGGTCGATCGAGGCGGGTTTGCTCGAGTCTGGGGACGGGCACGAGAGAGTGAGTTGTGCGGCTCTAGTCGAGGCAAGAGACGAGGTGGACGCACACTTGAGTTGGAAGAGCGACGAGTCGGTCGAGGGATGGTCGCGGCGTTGAGCGAGGTGGATGAAGGCCTGGCTGAGGTGGACGGCGGTGGTGAGGTCGGCCATGGCCGCGTGCGCTGGCAGGCAGGCTGGTGCGGGGGAGCGTTGACGAGGGGCCCAAGGTGCACTGCCGATGAGGAGGCGAGGTGGGGAGGCGCGGGCAGCACGCGGCAACACCGGGACCTGGTCGGTGAGCGTGTCGGTGCGTGTGTCGACAGTGACTGAGCAGGTCTAGCCCAAGCTGGCCCTCTGGCTGAGCGACAGTAGCGAGGTTCGGCCGGACAAGGGGGAGCTTCGCGTCGTCGTCTCTGTCCTCCTCCCCGTCCCTCTCTCTCTCTCTCTCGCTCTCGCTCTAGAGTGCACGGGACCCGACTGCCCACCATGGCCTACCACGTCGACCCCTCGCGCCAGCACCCGCCACCGCCCGCATCCTCGTCCTCGTCGTCGTCGTCCCACCCCGCGCCGCACCCGCAGCAGCAGCACGCGCCCCCTCCACCGCACCACCACCACCAGCAGCAGCAGCAACAGCAGCCCGCTCAAGCCCAGCCGTACGGCCGCGGCACCGTCCCTTCCTTCATCGCCCAGAACCAGCGCACCTACGAGGAGCAGGAGCACCTCCGCCGACAGCGCCAGCAGTACGAGCACCAGCAGCACCTCCAGCAGCAGCACCACCAGCAGCAGCAGCGCGACCACGCCCTCTTTGGCCCCAAGCCCCCGCAGGCCCCGCCCTCGGACGCCTACGTCTACTTCAACCGCCGCCCCCACTTTCGCAAGGACACGCTCGAAAAGGCCCAGGCCGCCAAACTCAAGCTCGAGCACTACTACCAGAAGGCCGTCCAAGAGGCCATCGACCGCAACACGCGCCGCACCGACCTCGAAAAGCGCCTCGTCGCCGGCCAACCCCCAGCCGCCGCCGCCTCGTCGTCGTCGTCCGACCCGGCCGACCAGGACCGCAAGCAGCGTCAGCTCGCCCAGCTCGGCCGCACCGAGTCGAGCTTCCTGCGCCTCCGACGCACCCGGCTCGGCCTCGACGACTTCCGCACCGTAAAGGTCATCGGCAAGGGCGCGTTCGGAGAGGTCCGCCTCGTGCAAAAGGTCGACACGGGCAAGATCTACGCCATGAAGTCGCTCAAGAAGGCCGAGATGTTCAAGAAGGACCAGGTGCGTCCCCGCCCCCTCACTCCCTCTCTCCCCTCCCTCGGTCGCGCCCTTCTCTCGTGACTGACCTTGGCGAACCTTGCGCGCCGCCCCTCGCAGCTCGCCCACGTCCGCGCCGAGCGCGACGTCCTCGCCGAGTCCAACTCGCCCTGGGTCGTCCAGCTGTACTACTCGTTCCAGGACGCCAACTACCTGTACCTCTTGATGGAGTTCCTCCCCGGCGGCGACCTCATGACCATGCTCATCAAGTACGACACGTTCTCCGAGGACGTCACGCGCTTCTACATGGCCGAGTGCGTCCTCGCCATCGAGGCCGTCCACAAGCTCGGCTTCATCCACCGGTCCGTCCCCTCTTCGCGCCGCTTCCCCACCCGCACTCGTAACTGACCACCTCTCGCGCCCTCCCCCTACAGCGACATCAAGCCCGACAACATCTTGATCGACAAGGACGGCCACGTCAAGCTGTCCGACTTTGGCCTGTCGACCGGCTTCCACAAGCAGCACGACTCGGCCTACTACCAGCGCCTCCTCGAGGGCGGCGACGGCGGCGCGCCCGCCGCAGCCGGCGCCAACGGTCAGCGTGCGGCCTCCAACGGCGGGCGCAACTCGGTCGCGCTCAACTCGATCAACCTGACCGTGTCGAGCAAGGACGCGATCGCGACGTGGAAGGCCAACCGCCGCAAGCTCGTGCGTCCTGCTCTCCCTCTTTTTCTCTTGCGCCTCATGCGCTCGTCCCTGACTCTCTCTCTCTCACACTGTCACAGGCCTACTCGACGGTCGGCACGCCTGACTACATCGCGCCCGAGATCTTCCTTCAGCAAGGCTACGGCCAGGAGTGCGACTGGTGGTCGCTCGGGGCCATCATGTTCGAGTGCCTCGTCGGGTACCCGCCGTTCTGCAGCGAGAACGCGCACGACACGTACCGCAAGATCATCGACTGGAAGCAGCAGCTGTACTTCCCCGACGACGTGCGCCTCAGTCGCGAGGCCGAGGACCTCATCCGCAGGTGCGCCGCTCGTCCTCTCTCTCTCCTGCGGCGAGGGTCGCTCTCGACAGTGGCCCTCGTCGCTTAGCCGTGACGTTCGAGCGGTACTCACGCTTGTGTCGCGCGTGCGCAGATGATCACGTCGGCGGACCAGCGCCTCGGGTCGCACTCGGCCGACGAGATCAAGAGCCACCCGTTCTTCGCCGGCGTCGACTGGGCCACAATCCGCAACATCGAGAGCCCGTTCATCCCTCAGCTGCGGTACGTCCTCCCCTTCTTCTCTCCCTCTCGAGGCCAACTCGTCGTCGGGACCGGCACTGACCCCTCGCCTTCCCTTGCCGCGCACAGCTCGCTCACCGACACGTCCTACTTCCCGACCGAGGACCTCAACGACGTGCCCGAGCAGCCGTCGCCGTCGGCCGGCGGCGACGGGACGGCCCAGGGCGCCAACGACCTCATCTGGCTCGGGTACACCTTCCGGCGGTACGAGGGCGCGCCGAGCCACTCGGCCTGGTGAGCGCGTCTCGCGGATCACTCTGTGCGTCTGCCTCTCTCTCTCTCTCTCTCCTGCGGCTACGAGGCGCCGAGTCGATCTGACTCTCGCCGTCGCCGTCGTCGTCGTTCACAGCAGCACCGCTCCTTTCCTTGCCCCACCCTGTCTCGCGCCCTCTCCTCCTTGCCCGCAACGCCCTCGCCTGTCCCTCGTCACGTCTCGCCATCCTGTACGCCCCCTCGTTCGTCTCCTCACCCACTGCAGCATCCTCGCCGTCCATCATTCTCCAACCTGCTCCGGTAGCACCCTTTCCCTCTGCGTCTCGCGCACCGTCGCCTGCAATCGAGTGCGCGTGGCCTCCTCTCGTAGACAGAGCGATCCCGAGAGTGTGAAAGCGAGCGCCTGAGCCCGATCCGTGAGACAGCGGCAACCAAACGCCCGGATGGCGCGCCGCCTCGGCGACTTCCTCTTTCTCCCCCTCTCTCTCTCCAACGCTGTACTCGAGCCTCTAGCACTGCTCATCGCAAGCACAGCAACTCCAAGCCCCGACTCGCTCAAGCCGCCAGTACCTCGCCCGCGCTCGTCGACCTCGACTTCCTCCTCATCGCCGACCTTCCGCCGGCTCACCTCGCTCTTCACGCGCAACCCGCCCCGTCTTCTCCGCCCGGTCTCGCACCAGCACCACCACCGCCGCCTCGAACACGCACCATGCCGACCCCTGTCGACGCCCAGGCTCGCCCGCCCGCGCCGCGCGAGACGATGAGCCGCGAGCGCGAGCGCGCCCAGGGGACGTTCGATCTCGAGCGGTTGACGTACGCCATGGGTGGCGGAGAGTCTGGTGAGTCGCCCGAGCCCTGGCTCTACGGTGGGCGGTCGTGCGGGTCGGGACCGGCGAGGAGAGCTCGAGATCGAGCCGAGGAGGGCCGGCGAGGCGACCTGGCGTCGAGGAGTGGGACACTCAGCGTGGCGGCGCTCTCGTCCTGGTGCTGTGGAGCACGTGCATCCCTCGGCGCAGCGGCGGCGGCCTGCGAGCGTGCGGCGGCCTCGTACGGCTCATCGTCGTCGTCGGGCCCCACTTGCCGCGGGCGGCCATCCACGGGCGCGCCCTTTGTTAAGCAACCATGCGCACCGCCTCAGGAGCATCACTGACACTGTACCTCCCCCGCCCGTCCCGTCCCCGCAGACGTCAAGCTCAAGCGCAAGTTCATGTTCGAGCTCGAGCGCGACCCGCTCTTCAAGCTGTCCGACATCCACGACCTCACCAAGGCCGAGATCCGCGAGCGCACCATGTCCAAGTTGTGCGTCTCCTCTCTCTCTATCAGGGTCTGGTCGGCGAGACGGCGAGACGGTCGGTCGGCTCGAGCCTTCCTGTCGTCCTCGTCCTCGTTCGCCTTTGGCCTTGCCGGTTTCCTTTGGGTCGCCCTCTCGAGGTCAGGCACTGACATGATTCCGCCCTACAGCGCGTCTATGGCCTACTACGTCACCAACGAGCCGGTCGCGCAGTTCCAGCAGGTCCGTCGCCGCCTCCTTCCCCCTGCCCTCTCTCTTGACGGTCCATGGGCGCCTTTACTGACGCCGTCTCTCTCCTTCACGTCCACCTACAGCGCATGAACGTCGTCTCGGTCGCCGACCCGGCTTTCTGGACCCGGTGCGCTTCGACCGTCCCCTCGACGACCCACAAACGTCCACTGACCCGCCTGAGCCCTCCCCAACCCTCCCTCCCCTTTGCTCTTCCCGAACCTCTCTGCAGATTTGGCGTGCACTATGGTTCGCTCGCTCCCGCTTCGCGTATCCTTGAGGGCCCGAACTGACTTCTCTCGATCCGCCCGCAGGCCTCTTGTTCGTCTCGCCCTCTCCTTCAACGACGTCGTCCCGCCCGCCCCGACTGACGCTTAGACCGCCTCTTACAGCCTCGGCGCCCTTCGTTCGGGCGCCACCGCCAACCAGATGAGCTACTGGATGTCGCGCGGCGTCATCACCCTGCAGGGCATGGTCGGCTGTTTCGCAATGACCGGTGCGCCCCGCTCTCTCTCTCCCTCTCCCATCGCGACGAGATCCTGACGTCTCTTCTCCCTCAGAGCTCGCACACGGCTCGAACGTCGCCGGGCTCGAGACGACCGCGACCTTCGACGACCGCTCGGACGAGTTCGTCATCCACACGCCGTCCGTCTCTGCGACCAAGTGGTGGATCGGCGGCGCCGCCCACTCTGCGACGCACGCCGCCGTGTTCGCTCGCCTCATCGTCAAGGGCATGGACTACGGCACCAAGACGTTCGTCGTGCCGCTGCGCAACCCCAAGACGTACCAGCTCCTGCCCGGCATCGCGATTGGCGACATCGGGTGCGTCCCTCTCTCCCTCTCTCTTCCTCTCCTGCACGTCATGAGTCTCTTCCTGACTCTCCTCGGCCCGCCTCGCAGCAAGAAGATGGGCCGCGACGGCATCGACAACGGCTGGATGTGCGCCCGGACCTCTTCCCTCTCTTCCCGGCGCACGTCCTGACCTTGCTTCTCCTCATCGTCGACAGCCAGTTCACCGGCGTCCGCATCCCGCGTGCCTACATGCTCATGAAGCACGCGCAGGTCACGCGCGAGGGCGAGGTGCGTGAGCCGGCGCTCGCCCAGCTCACCTACGGCGCCCTCCTCCAGGGCCGCGTCTCGATGGTCGCCGACGCCGCCGTCACGGCCAAGAAGGCGCTCACGATCGCGCTGCGGTACGCCGCCGTGCGGCGCCAATTCAAGACGGGCGACAACCCGCTCGAGACGCAGCTCCTCGACTACCCGATCCACCAGCGCCGCCTCTTGCCGCTCCTCGCCCAGGCCGTCGCCATGGGCTTCACGTCGTACCGCATGACTGCCCTGTTCGAGGAGATGAGCGAGGAGCTCGAGTCGTTCGGGAGCGACTCGGACGAGGAGGAGACCAAGGCCGTCCTCGAGAAGCTTAAGGAGACGCACGCCACGAGTGCAGGACTCAAGGTGCGCCCTCTCTCGCCCTCTCTCTTCTCTCCCTCTCTTCCCTCCTTGCCGTTCCGAACCTGACGAGCCCTCGCCTCCCCTCATCGCGCAGGCCTTCTGCACCTGGAACGCGCTCGAGACGATCGAGAAGTGCCGCGCCAGTCTCGGCGGCCACGGCTACTCGGCGTACTCGGGCCTGCCGAGCATGTACAACGACCAGGCCGTGCAGTGCACCTGGGTGCGTCCCGCTCTCTCCCTCTCTCGTCCTCTTCCTCGTCGGCGCCAAAACTGACGCCGTCCTTCTCCTCTTCTCCCTGCGCAGGAGGGCGACAACGTGAGCCCTCTCTCGTCCCTCGCAGCAGCTCGAGAAGGCCTACTGACCATGCCTGCCAATGTGTGCAGACCATCCTCACGCTCCAGTCGGGCCGGTCGCTCGTCTCGTCGTACGCCGACGCCATCAAGGGCGCGACGCTCCCCGGCGGCCTGTCGTACCTCAACTCGCTCCCCGAGGTGCTCACGACGGCGTGCCCGACCGACGCTGCCGCACTCGAGCTCGACACGCTCCAGGCCGGGTGGGACTGCGTGTCGGCCAACGTCGTCAAGCAGGCGCACGAGAAGTTCGAGCAGGCGCTCAAGAGCAACGGCGGCATCACCCGCGAGGAGGCGCTCGAGCTGTGCTCCCAGGAGCGGTTCGTCGCGGCCAAGGTCCACGCGTCGGGCTACCTGTTCCGGTGCGCCCTCGCTCCTCCTCTCCCCTGTTCCTCGAGTCGCGCCGGATTCTGACTTTGCCCCTCTCTGCCACCTGCAGCATGTTCCGCGAGGCCCTCATCGAGCTCGCGAGCAACGAGCCGGCCGACAACGGCGTCGTCGCGACGCTCGAGAAGATCTGCACCCTGTACGGCTGCTGGGCGATCGAGGAGAACGCGCAGCACTTCCTCAAGTACCGGTTCTTCTCGCCGTCGCAGATGGACGCCATCACGGCCGAGGTGACGCGCCTGTGCGCCGAGCTGCGCAACTGCGCCGTCCTCCTCACCGACAGCTTCGACCTGTCGGACCACATCGTGCGTCCCTCGTTCTCTCTCTCTCTTTCTCCTTCCCGAACGAGTCACTGAGGCTCTCGACGACGACGATGACGGTGCCACAGCTCAACTCGCCGCTCGGACGGTACGACGGCGACATCTACAACCACTACTTTGCGCACGTCCAGGCGGCCAACCCGCACGAGCCGGTCGCGCCCTACTTTGAGCGCGTCATCAAGCCCCTCATCGAGCGCGAGGACCTCGGGTTCGACGACGCCGACGAGATCGACCTCGACGAGGAACTCAAGGAGATCCAGGAGGAGCGCGAGGGCGATGGCGAGGACGACAAGGAGGAGGAGGCCGAGAAGGTGGACAAGGTCAAGAAGACGGTCGACGAGCCGCCCAAGTAGACGAGGTCCTCTCCCTTTCCCCTCACTGTATAGTCGCACTCGCTCTCTCTCGTCGTCCCTCGTCGTCCCCGTGTCGTCCTCTGTGCAATCTCATGTTCTCGCGGCGTCGCGAGCGGTCCGAGAGTCGGCCTTCGCAAGTGAGTTCTCTCGTTCCCGCGAGCTCGGAGCGGCGGTGCTCCTCGTGGCTGGGCTGGACCGCAAGCAAGCCGTGACTGTGCGCTGTGACTGCGCGCTGCAGAGAGGCTGTGGCGCGAGGTGGCCTGCACCGCCTCGCCGACCTCGGCTCCTCGGCTCGCTCGTCTGAGTCTCGCGCTCCTCCTTCCGCTCTCACCCCTCGCCCGCCTGTCGACACACTCTTGGCCCCTCCAGCATGGCCTACAACAACCAATGTGCGTCCTCTCCCTCGCCTCAGGCCCTCTCGCGCCCCCTGTGGACCGCCAAGAGGATCGCCGCTGCCCCGCCATCATCATCTCTCGAGTTCGGCGGCCACTCGTCGCGAGCGAGTGGGAGTGGATGCGACGAGCCGGCAGTCAGGGTGGATGTCTGTGCGAGGGAGCTACGCGGGCGCAGTTGGCAGCATCTCGTCCCCCTTCCCCTCGTCGGCCGCCGTGCAACCTCCTCCGGCCAGCGGCCACTGCCGCCCGCCGCCTCTCAGCCTCGTCCGAGCCGCCTATGTGGCAGGCAAGAGGCCGATGGCGCTCTCGGAGGCGAGCGAGCGGCTGCGCGAGCGCTTCGCCGTCGTCCTTCGCCACCAGCACCTCCCTCGCCCAACCCTTCACTGACTCCCTCCCTCGCACCGCGCAGATCCTCAGCAGCCGCAAGCAGCATACGGCAACGACGGCAAGGGCCCGCAGCAGTACGGGTACGGAGGTGGCGGGTACGCTCAGCAGCAGGGCGGGTACCCGCAGCAGGGCGGTGCCGCGCAGGGCTACTACGGCCCGCCGCAGGGCCAGCCGGGCTACGGCCAGCCTCCTTACGGTCAGCAGGTGCGTCCGAGCTTTTCTCTCTCGGTCAGGCGAGCGAGCAGGCGAGTGGACGCCCTGGACGAGTACTGACGTCGTCTCGTCCTCCTCGCGCAGCCGTACGGCCAGGCGCCTTATGGCCAGCAGCCGCAGATGGTCATGGTGCAGCAGCGACCTCAGGGTGGAGGAGGCGGTGGCGGCTCGGGCTGCTGCCTGGGATGCTGCGCGGCCATTGCAGCTTGCTGTGCGTCTCTCTCTCTCCTTCTCTCTTTCTTCCCTCCCCCTCGTCCTTTCCGCCTCTCTCTTCTCTCTGCCTCCTCCTCCCTCCTTGCCCCTCGATCCACCCCCGTTGACATGTACGCCTGCGCGAGACGAGCCCCATTCACTGACCGCTCCTCGACCTCGTGTGCAGGCTGCCTCGACGCCATCTTCTAAGGCGCACACAGACCCTCGACCTCTCTCTGTATACCCCTTTTGTCGTCTCCACATCTCTCGTCCTGTCGATGTCTCGCGCCCGCTCTCGTAATTTTCCGGTTTCCCTCGCCCACTCGAACCCCTCGCGAGAGACGGAGAGAGACCGCGAGAGCTCGACGCGGGACAGATGATATTGCACGCCGAGCTGTTGCCGCGTCTTTATGCTCATGCTGGGCCCTGTTGCGCTGCGAGGGCGTCGATCTCGGCCTGCGAGAGTCCGTCGAGGCGGTGGAGGAGGTACTCGACCTGTCGTCGATAGGCGAGGAAGGTCAGACGTCGCTCGACGTGACGAAGAGAGAGAGAGAGAGAGGAAGAGAAAAGGGGGGGAGCGCACCTCGACGTCCTTGGTGAGCGGGATGATGTACTCGCGGTAGAGGCGCACGACCTCCTCGGCGCTGACTTTTTCCTTGCCGCTGTCGCGCACGGGCTCGCCGTCGGGCCCGAGTTCGGCGCCGTACCACCGCGCCTTGTTCTCGAGGCGGACGAGGAGCGCCGCCTCGACGGCGGGCTTGGTGATGAGGGCGAGGAGCTCGTCCGGGTTCGGGTTGAGGATGTGCGGCACGAACGCGGCCGGGTGCGACAGGAACTTGCTCTCCGAGACAAACATGCCTGCGAGGGGGCGCAGCGTTCGAGTCAGTCACGGGAGCTCGAGAGAGAGAAAGGGGGGCGGGGAGCGCACCGCAGTGGATGCGGCGCGAGATGGCCTGGAGGCACTCGATGTCGCGCGTGCCGGCGCTGCCATAGTTGCCGTCGTCGTTGGCCTTGCCGAGGTGGTCGGTCACGGTGCGGGTGATCGAGGGCACGATCGAGTCGAGGTAGAAGGTGACGATGGCCGGGTTGACGTTGATCCCGGTCGGGTCGACGAGGAGAGGAGGGTAGTTGAGCGGGGGCAGGATCGGGGCAGGGAGGTCGGCGCGGGGCGTGAACGGGTGCTCGTCGGGGCTGTGGGTCGCGTGCGGGTTCGCCGGGTGAGCAGGGGTACGTCTGGCGAGGCGAGGGCTCGAGGAGGAGCGAGTCGAGAAGGTCGAGCGGGGGGCGCACCTGTCGTAGCGGCGGATCTTGGCTGCGCGCGTTCGAGAAGACTGTCAGTGACGTTCAGGAGACGGTAGAGGGAGAGGGAGGGACGGACCGTGGCTCGTCTCGGTCTCACGCAAGAGCCACTCGAGCCAGCTGCCGGTGAAGCCGTCGCGGTGGAGGACGTCGGCAAAGCCGTCCTTTGTGTACATGCGCGGGTTGTGGGCGAACTGGGCGCGCTCGATGAGGACTGGGTGACGCAAGGTCAGCTTTCGAGTGCGCGAGAGAGAGAGAGAAAGAGGTTCGGAGTTGACGGACGGAAGATGATGGTGTCCTCGAGGCGAGTGAGGGTGCGGCGGATCTGTGGGGGTGCAAGGGTTGGTCAGTGTGGGAGTAGGGAGAGCGCAGGGCGGCCCGATCAGAGGCGAAAGGGAGCTGACATTCTCGAGGTCGAGTGGGGAGCTGGACGGGTCCGAGGCAGAGGTCATGAAACTGGCACGGGGCGGTGCGGTACGACGAGTGAGAGTCAGTGCCGTGTTCAGGAGGGGATTGACCGAGGCAGACTCACTTCATGATGACGAGGGAGGTGCGTCGACTGAGGTGAGAGTTGGACTTGGCCGTGAGCAGGCGGCGACGAGGAAGACGAGACCACCTCCTCCTCGCCCCCTCCTCGCTCCTCACACCATCCCTCTGTCGCCCAGGATGCTCGCCAGGAACCTCCTCCGCTCGGCACACCGTGCACCCGTGAGCTCGCCTTCCTCCCTCACCTCTCGCCCGCACCTCGGCCACCCGTTTCCCTCGTCGCCTCGTCGGGCCCAATCGGCGCTCCCTCGATCCTCGCCTCGCACACTCGCCGCCTGGACCTGCTCGACCCACCAGCCACCCCGTCTCCCGCCTCACTCGCCGCCGAGCAACCCCTCGACCGCACCGCGACAGCGCGCCGTGGCCCACTCGTGCCACACCCCGGGCTCGTTTACCGCGGCCGCCCGCACTCGCCATCCTCACCCCTGGGCCGCACCACACCCGGCCAATCTGTGCCAGCACCGTCAAGCTCGCTCTCAAGGAGCCGAGCGCGGCCGCACAACGCGACGGCGAGCGACCGGCGCATCCGGCCACCCGGACCATCATCTCGTCCTCCTCTCCCTTCGGTTCACGGCACTGACTCTCGCTCTCTCTCCCGCCCCCTTTTGTCCCTCGTCCTACAGGCGGCGTTCCGCACCCGTTCGCTCGCCACCGCCGTCGCGTCCCCGGCCACCCAGATCTCGACCCTGCCCAACGGCCTCACGGTCGCGACCGAGGCCTCGTCGGCCTCGTCGACGGCCACCGTCGGCGTGTGGATCGACGCCGGCTCGCGCGCCGAGACCGACAAGACGTCGGGCACGGCCCACTTCCTCGAGCACATGGCGTTCAAGGGCACGGGCAAGCGCTCGCAGCACCAGCTCGAGCTCGAGGTCGAGAACCTCGGCGCCCACCTCAACGCCTACACCTCGCGCGAGCAGACCGTCTACTACGCCAAGTCGTTCGCGTCCGACGTGCCCAAGAGCGTCGAGATCATCTCGGACATCCTCACGGGCTCCAAGCTCGAGGCGGGCGCCATCGAGCGCGAGCGCGACGTCATCCTCCGCGAGCAGCAGGAGGTCGACAAGCAGGTCGAGGAGGTCGTGTTCGACCACCTGCACGCCGTCGCGTTCCAGCACCAGCCCCTCGGCCGCACCATCCTCGGCCCCAAGGACAACATCCTCTCGATCCAGCGCGACGACCTCGTCAACTACATCAAGACCAACTACACGGCCGACCGCATGGTCCTCGTCGGCACCGGTGGCGTCGAGCACCAGTCGCTCGTCGACCTCGCGACCAAGCACTTTGGCCAGCTCCCGACCTCGAGCCAGCCCATCAAGCTCGGCGACGCACAGCACAAGACCAAGCCCGACTTTGTCGGCGCCGAGGTCCGCGTCCGCGACGACACGATGCCGACCTGCAACATCGCCATCGCCGTCGAGGGCGTCGGCTGGAACTCGCCCGACTACTACCCGATGCTCGTCATGCAGTCGATCATGGGCAACTGGGACCGGTCCCTCGGCGCCCAGTCGCTCCTGTCGAGCCGCCTGTCGCACATCATCTCGTCCAACAACCTCGCCAACTCGTTCATGTCGTTCTCGACGTCGTACTCGGACACGGGCCTCTGGGGCATCTACCTCGTGTCCGAGAACGTCATGAACCTCGACGACCTGACCCACTTTACCTTCAAGGAGTGGGCCAGGTTGTCGACTCACCCGACCGAGGGCGAGGTGGGCCTTCCCTCTCTCTCTCTTTCCTCGTCTCGGGCTCCTCTTTGAGCGCGTCACTGACTCGCCCTCTCCCTTTCCCTCCTTGTCCCTCGCGCCCCACAGGTCTCGCGCGCCAAGGCCCAGCTCAAGGCGTCGCTCCTTCTCGGCCTCGACGGCTCGACCGCCGTCGCCGAGGACATTGGTCGCCAGATCGTCACGGGCGGCCGCCGCCTCGCGCCCAAGGAGATCGAGGCCGCCGTCGACGCCGTCTCGGTTGGGGACGTGCAGCGCTGCGCCAAGAAGTACCTGTGGGACAAGGAGTGCGTCCTCTCTCTCTCTCTGTTGTCGCGCCTCGACAAGCTCGGCGGGAACCTGACGTTCTCCTCCTCTCCCTCTCTCTCTCTTTCCCTCTCGCGCCCTCTCGCAGCATCGCGGTTGCGGCGGTCGGTCGCACCGAGGGCTTGATGGACTACAGCCGCATGCGGTCTGGCATGACGTCGCTGCTGTGGTAAGGCGGAGGAGGAGGGACTCGGAGCAGGAGGAGCGAGGAGGAGAGGAGGAGCTTCTCGCCATGTGTAGGGGCCGTCTAGAAAACGGGTGCAGTTCTTTAAACCCTACTTGCCATCGCTCGTCGTCGTCTCGTCGGATAGCGAGAGCGTGCGGCGCGTCCGAGCGAGAGAGAACCGCCTTTGAGAGGCCCGAGCGCTCACAGCCTCGCGCATCGTCGACCGCCGGCCCTGCGTCGAATGAGCGGGTGCCGTCGCTTGCCCGTCGTCGTCGAGGACTGTACGGCCCCGCTGCCTTGCGGCCACAGCGCAGGAGAGAGAGAGAGAGAGAGCGGGGCGCAGGAAACGAGGTTTCGGAGGCGACGACGAGCACGAGGTGGAGCAGGATCGGCGAGTGCGCTCCGTCACTCTCTCACTCTCTGTACGTCCCTCGCGTATGTGCCCGAGTCGGCCGCACAGACGTGCTCTCGCGGTGGCGGCTCGACGACCGCGTGGCCCTCGTCCTCGTCCTGCTTGTCCTTCCCACACAAGCGTCGACCTCTCGCTCTCGGTGCGCTTCAGTGCGTGTACTCTCATCAGTCCCTGAGACGGCCCACGACGTCTCGGGCGTCGAGAGGCTGTCGCTCGAGCGGGAACGTCCGCTCGAACGATTTGAGAAGGTCCCGCGCACGCTCGTCCTCGACGACGCACAGACCCTCTCTCTCTCTCTTTCTTTCTGCGCCGCATCGACGGCTCGACACGGGCGGGAACCAGCGTGTGCAGCAGATCGTCTCGCACTCGCTCCTCGACTCGAAGGACAACGCAGAAAGGCACTGAAACGACCGTTGCGGCGAGAGAGAACGAGAGAGAGTCGCGGACCGCGCTAGACGAGAGAGGGGAGAGACGAGAGAGTGTACTACCCAAGAAGAAGAAGAAGAGAGAGAGAGAGAGGAGCGTCGCCGTCTAAACCAGGAGACCGGACCAGAGAGGGGGACGAGGAAAAGGGAGCACGACGAGCCGGACCCTACTTGCGCTCGGTGGCTAGGATGCGAGGGTTGAACGGCTCGATGTGGATGTCGTCGGCCGGGTGGCGGTACAGCGGCTGCTTGAGCCTCTTCTGGTCGCTGCAGGGTGAGGCGAGGCGGCGAGGTCAGTTTCGCTCCTTCTGCCGGCTCGACGACGACGAGGGACTCGAAAGAGAGAGTGACAGGGGACGCACAGGTAGTGACCGCAGAAGCCGATCGAGCGACCGAGGACGAAGAGACCGTTGAGCGTGCCGATCTGCGAGACGAGGCAAAAGTCAGGAACTGGGTCTCTTCCTCCCCGACGACGACGACGACGACGACAGGGTTCGTTCCCGAGAATACAGAGAGACGGAAGACGCACCTTGGCGTACTCGTTGGCCTCCTCGGCCGTGAACGCGCCCGAGTTCTTGAGCAGGTCGACGAAGCAGACGGCGATGCCTGCGATTCGACGAGCACGAGGTCAGTTTCTCTTCCTCGAGGTCTGCGGAAAGCGCCACTCACAGCCATCGACGTTGAGAATGGCGTGTCCTTCGCAAGGCGCTCGAGCACCAGTGCAGATACGCCGGACTCGGCGAGAAGGCGAGACTGCCTCGAGCGTTCTCGCGCTCAGGCCTCGCTCTTTCCTGGGCACTCTGGGCTCGATCGACCTGTCAAGACAAGTACTCGACGATGGGCCCGAATCTGCAGACAATTACCGGTACCGCTCGCACGACTCTGCGCGAAAAGGGAGGTCGAGGAGGCGGCGGTCGCTTGCGCGCTTGCGACAATCGGGTGCTCGAACCGGTACCGCACTCTGAGCACGGTGTGACGACGATCGAGCCACGAGTCGAGCCGAGAGAGCAGGACGAGGCGGCCCCTGGAAAGGGTCCGAGCGAGCCTTCTCAAGTGGACAGCTGCCAAGGACCAACCCGCTTCCGCGCTACTCTTGCGCGTGCGGCTCTAAGCAGACCTGTCGAGTAGCACTCGGAGCTTGGCCCGAGCAGCTCAGGCGAGAGCTAGGAGCGCAAAAAGGAGCGAGGACGAGTACGGCGCGAACGCGAAACGCAACAAAAGAGGAGGGTTGGCGCGCGGCGCGGCCGGGGTGCGACTGGTAATCCGAGTAGCATGCCGGCGGCGTGGCGACGCTCAAGCCTGATCTTTATCAGCCCGGTGTCTGCCCCAATTCCTCGAGGTAATCCCGCAGCTTGATGTTGGGAGGAGAGCTAATGAACCTGGGTGGTTCGACAAAGGAAAGTACTACTTTGCTGGCGCACGCCACACGCATTCGGTTCACCTCCCGATCGTTCTCCTTCTCGCACCTCGACTCGCTTCGACTTGGGAAGGTCGCCATCGTCTCGAGCATTTTCTGTAGCACGTCTGGGTACCCTACAACACCCCCCTTGCGCGGGATGGCGAGCGAGGAGCGAGGAAAAACGTCGGACGAGGAGGGCGCGCGCGCCGGCTCGGCTCGCCTCTTCCCCACATGCTCGCCCCTCTGCCCTCTCCTCCTGCTGCCACAGAGCTCGGGTTGGGGTGTGAGGCAGCTCTGGGACGGTTTTTGCCCAGTATCGAGGCCTCGCGAGGCTTCGCGAGCAGAGAGCGAGCGAACAGAGGGCCGAATCGAGCTCGAGAGGACGAGAGGCGAGCTGCTTCGTCGAGCTGTGCTCCCGAGTCTGCTCCTGCACCTTCGAGACTCGCTCAAGGGCTCGGCAGAGTGTAGCTCGAGAGGTCCGGCGACCGTGCGCTGCCCTTTGCGAGCGGTCCGAGCGTCGAGTCGAGGTCAAAGCGCCGCAGCTCGACTGCCTTCGGCGCGTTCGCTCTCGCTCCATCGCTCTCGAGACACGCTGTACAGCAGCGTGCAGCATCAGCGGATAGAGGCGCGAGGTGGCCATGAACGACGAGCGCTCAGGAGTTGCCGCCTGACTCTGAGCTGAGGAGGATGTTCAGCAGGAGAAGGTCGGTCACGAGCTCGCCATACTGTGCCTCCTCGACCGGCGTATCTCTCGGTCGACGGCTTGAGGCGGCTCCTCGAGCATGGCGCCTGGCGCGATACCGCCTCGCGACGTGACTCGCTCGACTCTGCGTCGAGGAGGGAGTCGAGGAGGAGGGACTTGCTTTTTTCGCGGGTGGACCTCTTGCTTTCTCGGTCCAGCATCGCTCAACGGACGTATCGAGACGTGCACTAGACGCTTGGCCCAGTTCTGCAAGCCCCTGCGAGATGGTAGACGAAGAAAAGCGTCCCTCGGGCTTCCCGACTGACTCTTCCTCGGCGCGTGCTGCTCTCTCGGTGACCGTAACGAACGTTCGGCGAGCTCGATGCCCGCTGTACATAAGCTCAACGTGAGCGAAAGAGAGGGCCCGAGCACCTCGGCCAGGGCGCGCGACTCGAGGGTTGGACCTCGTCCTGCTCGAGCTCGCCACTTGCTCGCTCCTCTCGCCGCGACAGGGCTCGAGTACGCTTCCTGACGCACAATCACAGAGTCACAGAAGGGTCCATTGCGCGTCGCCCAACTCTACTCCCTCGGCCCGAGCTTGTCCAACGCGCGCACGCCCTGCTCCTCCCACTCCTCCTTGGTGACCCAGAAGCTCGTGTTGTCCTTGAGCACGTCGGCGAGGACGGCGCCGCCGAGGTAGACCATGTGCTTGCGCCGGGGCGGGTCCTCGATGCGGATCTTGAACTTCTGCGGGCGCTCGAAGAGGGCAAAGGTCAGGGAGGGCGATTCTCGCGAGAGGCTCGTGCGCACGACGACGAGACAGAGAGATGGACGATGCGACGCACAGAGAGACGCTCCGGGTTGCCGTTGAGGACGCGCGTGAGGTAGAGCTGCTTCATCTCCTTCTCGACGCGCGACGGCAGGCCCGGGTACATGGACGAGCCGCCCGAGAGCACGACGTGCTTGTACAGCTCCTGACGGACGTCGACCGGCGCAGCCTGGATCGTGTTGAAGAGAAGCTCTGCGACGTCGAGAAGCGTCAGATCGGGCTTTGAGGAGCGCTAGAAGAGACGAAAGAGGAGGACGGACCGGCGACACCGGGCTGCTCGACGTCGACGAGGTGCGGCTGGAACATGCACTCGGGTGCCTCGAAGCGCTCAGAGCCGACCTTGATGACGCGACCGTCCGGAAGCTGCGAGGGGCGCGGAAGAGGGAGGCAGGAAGGGAGAGAAGGCGGGGAGAGGAAGAGTCAGTCGGGGGACGGCGAGAGAGCGCGACGACGGTGAGCGTACCTCGTAGTTCTCGACGAGGGTCGTCGTCTCCTCACTCAACCGCTTGTCGAGGTCGAGGTCGTAGCTGCGGACGAGGAAGGCGTGAGCGATCGAGATCCATAAGTGCGACGAGCTCGCGAGTTGATCAACTCGACGACCTCGATAAAGGGAAACCGCCGACGCACCTCGTGTAGCACAGCTTCTCCTTGATCTGCCGAACCGTCTCAAAGTCGGCCGTGCGGTTGAAGGCGTAGCCCCGCATGAGGAGGAGCTTGATGAGGTACCGAGTCACGTCGCGACCGGCGACGTCGAGGCGCTTGGTGAGGTGCGGGAGCGCAAAGCCCTCGTACACGGGGACGATGTGCGTCACACCGTCACCTGAGTCGACGACGACGCCCGACTGGAGGCCTGCGGGAGCGGGAGGAAAGGTCGGGTGAGTCGGCCTGCGAGGACGGGCGAGGTGGAACAAGGGAGGGAGGAGGACGCACCCTGGGCGTAGAGCGTGAGGACGGCCTGGATGGCGACGTAGATGCCGCCGAAGCCGTACTCCTCGAACATGACCTCGGCCATCTTCTCGCGGTTCTTGAGCGGGTTCATCGGCGGCTCGGTGAGGAGAATCTTGCGGCCCTGCGTGTCGACCTTGAGCTTTTCCTGGAACGTGTAGTCCCACAGGATCTTCATGTCGTCCCAGTTCTTGACAATGCCGTGGTCCATCGGCTGCGACAGCTGGAGGTACGAGCGGTACTCGGACGCCTCGTCGCCGACCATGATGTCCTTGATCGCCGCCGTCGTGGCGCTCTGGCCGCGCTCCTCGGCGCGCAAGATGGGACGGCCGATCAGGGAGGGAAAGGTATGGGCCGGGAAGTCTGCGCGGAGGAAGGAGAGGTCAGGTCGGTGCGAAAGATCGACCCGAGGCGTTCCAGCGGCAGCCACCCGGTGAGGAGCTGGTGGACACTGCTGAGAGAAGGTGAAGCGACTCACTGGATCCAGCATAGCCGCACTTGACGAACTGCAGGCGGCAAGCGGGTCAGCGCCTGTGCTCCTCGGCACGTAGGGCAGGGGGGAGGGGAGCGGGCGAGAGACGCACGCCGGTACCGTTGTCGACCACGAGCGGGGTGTCGTACTCGGCCATGACGATTCTGCGGACGAGCTGGACGTGTCAGTGCCGGGCGTGAGGAGAGATCGCTCGCGGGCGGCGTGGTGCGTGGGCCGAAGAAGCGGTGCGCCGTGCGGGCCGATGAGACGGCTGCGCTGGCCCGCTACCGAGCTTTGAGAGCTCCCCGACAGCACTAAGGCCCACCCGCTCCACTCGCACGTCGCAGCCGGCGTGCGCGCCCCGCTCCATCTGGCCGAACACCTCGCGTGGTCCCCTCTTGCGCCCTCCCACCGACTCTGGCTCCCGCCCAGCAGGCTCGATCTGCTCAAGGGGTGTTGGAAAGAGGACTCACCTGGTTGTGCGGGTGCTAGTGCCGTGTGTGAGAAGCGAGTCGGGGGGAGGTGTGGGGAGGTGATGACGAGGACGAAGGCAGCGACGGCGGGCGCACGCGGTGCGGTTTCGTGCTTCGGGGCGAGTGCTGGTGCGAGCGAGTGTGCCAAGCTGTCTCGACGTCGAGCGAGAGAGCGTGAGCGGGTGATGGCAGAGTCTCCTTGCTGCGACCGACCGCCGGCGAGAACGAGGTCGGGCAGCGGCCACTCTCGCTTTCGAAGCGGACCAGCAATGTAGCACCGCTCGTACGACACTATCACAGCTCCGATGCCTGCCCGACAAGCGCCCGCAACAAGTTCCTTTTCTCCTCGTCGACCTCGCCTCGTTCCGACTTGAGCTCTCGCCAACCCTGCCGTCTCTCAGAACGGGAACGGCGACCAGGACGAATACGAGTGTCTGTTGCACACGACGGGTACGGCACAGCCGTGGCGAGAGATACGACAACGAACGAGAAGAGGAGGACGGCGTCCAGCGCGCGTCTCGAAAACGCCCACCGGCGGCACGCCTCAGCGATCTGCGTCGAGCTCAGCATCAGTACAAGTGTCGCTCATGATCGGACGAGAGGAGAGAGAGAAAGGGACGCACCGCCGACCGCCCACCACGCTCCCTCTCCTCCTCCCTCGACCGCCGCCGCCGCTCGCCCCGCAGCGCGCCCTCCTGCCCGCCCACTCTCCCTCACCTCCTCGCCCTCCTCCTCGTCGAGCCCGTGCCCGAGCCCGTGTCCCGCGCTCGCGACCAGGCTTTCCCCGCCGTCGCCGCTCAGGCTCCCGAGCGCGCTCGAGCCCATCCGCGCCGGCGACGCCGCACCCGAGCCCGAGCCCGCGCCGTCCTGCACGAGTCGCCGCCGGCGCTCCTCGGCGCGTGCGACGCTCATCGTGCTGCGGCGACGCAAGAGGGAGGACGAGCCGGCGGGCGAGTCGGGCGAGGACGCTGCGGCTGAGGCGGCGGGCGCGCCGTGCTTGCGCGACCGGGAGCGAGTACGAGAGGATTGAGGCGTCGACCGTGAAGAAGGCGTGGGCGTCGAGATGGTCGAGTCGTCCAAGGCGAGGAGGCGAGCGGCCTGTCGGACCATCCTCGAGTCAGTCGAGGTTCGCGGCGGCGAGAACGAGGGGAACAGTACTGGCGCACCTCGTCGAAGAAATCTGCAGCCCGCACCTCGTCCCTGACCTGCTCCCCTCCCGCCTTGCCGCCGACGGCCCCGCTCAGGATCTCGGCGATCCGCAGGCAGCAGCTCCCCTCGGCGTGGCGCTCGTCGCTCGGCGCCTCGGCGAAGAGCTGCCGTGCGTCCGACAGGTACGAGATGGCGAGCGACGCCGAGCGAACCTTGAGCATGACGAGCGCGAGGCGGTACGACGCCCACGCCTCGTCGACGGGGAGGTGCGCCGAGTGGAAGAGGGACGAGGCCTGCAATGCGCGACATCCAGGTACGTCAGTACAGCTCTGGGACAGGGTTACAGACGCAGGAGGACGAGAGAAGGAGCGCGACGCACCTCCTCAAAATACTTGACGGCCTGCTCGAACGCGCCGCTCCTGACGCACGACTTGCCGAGGGCGTAGCACGCGTCGCCCTCGTCGGCCGTGTCGCCTCGCCGCCGAAAAATGACGCGCGCCTGCGCGAGGTAGTTGTAGCCCGTGCGGCGGTCGTCGAGCGCGGCAGACGAGGCGAGGAGGCCGATCGTGTACAGGACCTTGCCCTCGCGGTGCGAGTCGCCGAGCTTGAGGTACAGGAGGAGGCACTGCGGACGTAGGGAGCGTGAGCTTCTGGACGAGACGGGAGCGAGGGCGAGGGAGCGAGGACGCACCTGCTTGAGGAAGAAGACGGCTGTGTCGGGATCCGACGCCGAGAAGAGGTGGCCCAACTCGGCGTAGCACATGGCCTCGCGCGCCTCGTCGCCGAGGTCGGCGTACATGACGGCCGCCGCCTTGAGCTGCTCAGTCGCCTGGCTCAGGTCGGGGAGCGCGAGGAGCGCGAGCTGGAACATGGCCATGGCCTCCTTGGCGCGCTCGTTGATGAAGTGGAAGCACGACCGAGCCTGCGGGCGTGGGCGTACTCGTGAGCCTGGTCAGATGCCTCAACGACAGAGACAGGACCAGGACGTGGCGGAACCGGGCGACGCACCTGCTCGAGCGCACCCCTCGCCGTCTCCTTCTCGCCGCGCTTCTTGGCTCGCATGCCGAGGCTCGCGTAGCACATGCCCGCCTGCCACATGCTCTTGTCCCGCCGCTTCTCCTGCCCGTCCATGTCGCCGAACACGACGGCCGCCTGCCGGAAGTGCCGCGTCGCCGCGAGAGGGTTGCCATCGCGCGACAGGGCGACGCCCGAGTCGTACAGGGCGCGCGCCTCGTTGAAGGCGGCGCGGTCGGCCGAGCGGGAGCGTGCTGCTGCTGCCGAAGTGGTGGTGGCGCTTGGGCCGGCGGCCGGAGTGGGTGACGAGCGAGGCGAGAGGTCGTCCGGGGTCGAGGGGAGCGAGAGAGGCGGCGACGAGTACGGGACGGGCTTGCGCGCGCTGGCCGGCAGCGTGCGCGTGTACAGGGGCTCGTCGGCTTCTGCTATAGGTGCGAGGAGCGACATGCCCGCATCGAGGCGAGGTCGGAGGACGGCGAGGGAGACAGAGCGACCGAGGGCGGAGCGAGCAGCGAGGCGGTGCAACGGCTCGATGGGTGCGCTTCGCTCGAGCGTGCGAGGGGTGCACAGGTGGCTTCTGCTCGTGAACGAGACGCGACGCAGCCCTTCCGAGGCGAGTGCGAGAGCACAAGACGACGTTGCGCGTGCTCGACCTCGTCGCGACCGGTTCTCTCCTTCTCTCACACGGCAGCGAGCACTGAAAGACCTTCAATTGCATCACAGAGGATACCGACACTGATCACGGAAGCCGAGAAGCCCGCACGAGAGCTTCCTCACATGTTCTGGCCCGGCACGACCGGGAGCGAGCTGCTCAGGCCGCCGTCGACCGGGAGGTGAATGCCGTTGACCTGCAGGCAGATGACAGGGTCAGTATGCCGTCGTGCGTCCGGCGCAAGGAGAGAGCCTCGCCGTCGCCGGCTCGGGGCGACGGCGGGCGCGCAAGTCGACGAGAGGCTCTGAGCGGGCGAAGGACGCACGTAGGACGAATCGTCTGCGGGCGAGAGAGCTCGGCGTCAGTCTCGCAACGCCGTGAGAGAGGGTAGAGAGGCGCAAGACGCACCGGAAGCGAGCCAGAGCGCCGCCTGCGCGATCTCCTCGGCGATGCCGAACCTGTGAAGAGGACGAATACGTGGGTCAGCGCCGTCACCTCCAGCTTTGACGTCCTACCCGAGGCACAAAGAGGGTCCGACCGGAAGGAGGGGAGTGAAAGAGCGCCGACGCACCTCCTGAGCGGGTTGAGCTGACCGACCTTGCCGAGCGTGCCGCGCTCGCGTGCCCGGTCGAACGTGAACGTCGTCATGCCCGTCTCGATCAGGCCAGGGCAGATGGCGTTCTGTGTGCATGCGACAAGGGGTCAGTGAGGGGTTCGCCGAGGAGGGTCGGCGGCGAGAAGCTGCCAACGGCAGAGTCCGAGGGAGAGGAACGAGACGACGCACGACGCGGATACCAGTGCCGGACAGCATGTTGGCCGACGTGTTGGCGAGGTTGATGACGCCGGCCTTGGACGCGCTGCGAGGGCGCAGATGACCGATAGGGTCAGTGCGGCTCACGGGTTTGAGAAGGTCGACGAACGGGCTCGGCGCACCTGTAGTCCATCGGCCCTGCGCCCGAGCGGATACCGGCGACTGCGAAACGCTCAGAGCGTCAGGAAAGATCGTGCGAGGGACGAGAGGGAGGGAAGGTGACGGACCCGAAGCCGTGAGGACGATGCTGCCGCCTGCCGCTTCGGCCGGGTTCTCCTTCATGGCGTTCGACGCGTGCTTGACGGCGAGAAAGCAGCTGCGGAAAGAAGCCGTCAGCGTGTCACTCGCGCGCCTCTACTCGAACCTGCGGCTGTCCAAGACGCCAGCGCCGAGGTCTGAACGACGAACGAGAGAACCAGTCGACGCACCTGAGGAGGTTTACGCGCATGACCTCCATAATGCCCTCCTCGTCCATGGTCGGCAGGTGGAAGTTGGCGCCCGTGATGCCGGCGTTGGCGTAGAAGAAGTCGAGGCGGCCGTGCTCCTTGAGGGCGCGCTTGCACAGCGACTCGACGAGGCCCGAGTCGGCGGCGTCGCCCGTCGCGGCGGTCACCTGCAAAGGTGGACGCCATCAAAGAATGTCAGTGAGCGTCTCGGGGGGTACTAGGTTGCGCGCCGACGCTCGTGGCGAGGCAAGGGACGGACCGTGAGGCCCTTGTGCTTCTTCTCGAGCTCGTCGGCGAACTCCTGGAGGGTCGAGCCGTCAAAGTCGAGGACGTAGAGGGCCTTTGCGCCTGCGTGGATCGGTAGACCGAGGGTCAGAGGGTCGAACGGGGCGTGGGTGCGAGGGAGAGGGGCGGTTGACGGACCCTCGCGAGCGAGGAGGCGGGCGGTGGCACGGCTGCGGGACGCGGTCGACTCGGGTCAGGGCTGTCGGGAGGGAGCAAGGGGACTAGAGGACGGACCCGATGCCCTTCTGCGAGCCGGTGCCCGTGACGATGGCGACCTTGCGGTTGAACCGACCCGAGCCCGGCTGCGAGTCGAAGTGGGTCTTGACCTGGTTGAGGCGGGCGATGGTGCGCTCCTGGGCGTGCTTGAGCTGCTCTGCGGAAGGGCGGGACATGGTGTAGGGAGCTGGGCGAGGCGTGTGGGAGCGAGCAAAGGAGGAGAAGACGAACCCGGTCGGACGAGGAGCCGAAGCGGGGCAGCCGGCGTCGCTCACCTCGAGCAGGTGTGTGGCGCTTCTGAGCTGCATGTGAAGCTAGTGCAAGCATGCCTGCATGGCGCAAACAGCTCCCTGCGCGCTGCGTCGAGACGAGGTTCTCTTGGCCGCACCTCGCTCGGCGCTCGCTCGCAGCTCTCGTCCTCACGCGCCAGCCCCGCTGCTGCAGGACAGCGCGCACAGGCCTGCACCTCAGCCTTCTGTCGGTACCGCACCTCCAGACCGCCCGCACTCGCAGCCCGCCATCGTTGCCGGCTCCCTCTCCCCGCTCGTCCTCCTCGTCATCAGCCCGAGCACCCGCCTCGAGCGACAACAACACCGCCAGCCGCCATGGACTCGAGCCTGCTCGCTCAGATCCAGCAGGGCAAAGGCCTCAAGAAGGCCGTCACCGTCGACAAGTCCAAGCCCGTCGGCGCAGGTCCGTCCCCCGTCCTCCTCGCGCCTCCTCCCCAAGCCGTCTCACTCGCCCCTCGGCCCCTGCGATCTCCATCACTGACTCGCACTCGCCTCTGACAGGTGCCGTACTCGACGAGAGCGGCGGCGCACCCAGTCGAGGTGCTCCCGCCGTCCCTCGCGCTCCTCCCGTCCCTGGCGGTGGTGGGGCTTCGGCGCCCGACGACACCGACAGGCCGCCTCAGCTCGCCGGCATCTTTGCCGGCGTCGGCATGCCCACCCTAAAGAAGACGGGCGCCCCCGTCGCGAGCTCGCTTGGCGGAGGTGCGCCCCCTCTTCCTCTTCTCTCAATTCCGCCTTCGTCGCGACCCTGACACTGCGTCTCGCCCGTCACAGCTCCTCCGCCTCCCGGGCGTGCATCGCCGGCGCCGCCCACTCGACCCCCTGTCGCTCCCCCGAGCAGGCCGCCTGTCGCACCGCCGAGTCGTCCTCCCGTCGCTCCGCCTGGTCGACCTCCCGCAGCTCCGCCGAGCAGGCCGCCAGTCGCTCCTCCCCGAGCACCGCCTAGCGCGCCTCCTCGCCCGCCAGTCGCTCCTCCCCCGCGACCCGCCGCTGCGCCACCGAGCCGTCCCCCTGTCGCACCGCCGCCTCCTCCTGTCGGCCGCCCTTCGCCAGGCGGCGGACCCCCACCTCCTCCCCCTCCTCCCCCTCCGCCTGCACCCGGGAGTCGCGCACCGCCCGCCGCACCGCCGCCTCCTCCTCCTCCGCCAATGGGCGGGCAGAGCGCGCCGCGACCGCCGCCGCCGCCTCCCGCTCGGGCGAGCCCTGCGCTCCCCGGCCGCCCTGTGCCGGCGCCGCCGCCGCCGAGGGCTGTCCCTGCACCGCCGGCTCGTCCGTCGCCGGCTGTGCCGCCCGCGCCGCCGACGCCGAGTCGGCCCACGCCCGCACCGCCGACTCGCAAGGCGCCGCCGGCCGTCCCCGACTCGCTCCTGAGCAACTCGTCGCCGGCCGGATCGTCGCCGCCTCCCCCTCCTCCTCCCCCGCCTCCTCCTCCCGCACCTCCCGCACCTTCGCGACCGCCAGTCGCACCGCCTGCACCGCCGTCGGCCGCTCCTCAGCGAGCGGTCCCGGCGCCCCCTCCGAGCCGCGTCCCTCCCCCGCCCAGGCCCGCCTCGCCGCCTGCCGCTCCGGCGCCACCTCCTCCTCGTGCACCACCTCCCCCTCCCGGTCCTTCTCCTGCGGCCGCCGCGTCGAGCGCGCCGCCTCGCGCACCGCCGCCCCCTCCCGGTCGCGCGAGCCCGGCCGCTCCGCCGCCTCCTCCTCCGCCCGGGCGCGCCCCGCCGCCGCCGGTCGGCATGGCCCACTCGCGAACGAGCAGCACGGCGTCGGCTGCGCTCGGCCAGGCGCCTCCTGCGCCCGCCGCCCCTGCACCGGCTCGCGCGCCACCGGCTCCGAGCATGAACGGCGGCTCGGCCCTCTCGCGCAGTGCGTCACCCTCTCTCTCTCTCTCTCGCCCCTTCTTCCTCGAGCCTCGCACTGAATCTGCCTGCCGAGCGCCCCCACAGTCCCCTCGCCCCCGTCGGTCCTCGCCCTCCCCAACGCCCCGACGCGCACGTTCCCGCCGTCGGCCCAATTCCCGGCCCCGAGGCCGTTCGACGCCGGGCAGGTCATGGGCCGCAAGAAGCTCAGTGGGTGGGACTACCGGGCGCACATTGGCTGAGGGCGGTGCGCCGGAGTGGACGAGCGAGGTGGTCGAGGAGGTGGACGAGGAGGAAGGAGCGAGGGTGGAATTGAACGGCCGTTTCTCTGTCTCTCGGTGCGCGCCGTACTCGGGACATTTGAGAGCTGTACGCGAGTGACGAGCGACAGGACGAGGACGAGCTGTGACGAGAGCGCGTCGAGGCGACCCTTGAGCTGCTCCGTCCCGACCTTTGGCCCGCTCTCTCGTTCCTCGCGCTCGCGATGAACTCTCTTGCGCGTCCTCCTCGCCGGCAACGGCGCACAGGCTCTCTAGAGAGGCAAGGAGCAACGTTGCGACAGGCTACGCGAGGCGGCTGGACTCGGGCTCGTCGAGCGCGCTCGGCCGGTCGAGAGTTCGTGGGCGAGGCGGCGGCGGCGCGTGCGGCCCGGGCTTTGATGTCGCCAGCGGACGTGGACGATGAGGTGCAGGTCGCCTCGTGCGGGTCGGGCGCGCGAGGCGCATCGGGGGCCGAGCTGGCGGTGGCGAAGGAGCGCACGGACCCGCGCGACTTGATGGCGAGGGCGAAGTGGACAAGGTGGCGCGACGGGCTCGGCGTCTTGTGGGCGTGCGGTGATCGATGTCGGGAGCAATAGCGCTCAGGGAAGCGGCGCTTGGCCTCGCACGGGCGACGGCGGGAGGGCGCGCTCGGGGTGCGTGAGGCGCCAGTCGTGCTTGCCGTCCTTGAGCTCCTGGATTTCCGAGTACGTGATGCTGCGCGACGGAAGAAGGTGTCAGTACGTCGCCGAGATTCACGATCCACGGCGGCGGACCGCCTGCGCGTGCCGCACGACTGGAGGAAGGAGACGGGCGAACGACGGACCGAAACTGGTCCTGGCACGCCTCCATGGCCTGGTACAGCTCGTGCACGCGGTCCATGTAGTACTTGTGCGCGATCTTGCGCACCTCGTGAGCTATTTCGGCGGGCGGTGAGAGAGCGTGAGCCGGTTGGAGAGAGCCAGGGGTGGGGGAAGGGGAGGAGAGGGACGGACACTGAGGCGGGAAGGCGGTCGCGCTGTGTGAGGGAAGGTGTCAGTGAGGGCATGAGGAGTAGATGGAGAAGGTGGGCGCACGGTTCGACGCCGACGTGCTGGAGGAGGACGCTGAAAGTCCTCGCGAGATGCTGCGGCGGGTCGAGGAGGAGGAGGGAGAGAGAGTGAGCGCCTCCTCGGCTGGGAGAGGGTCAGGAAGGGAGCTCTCGAGCGCACCTGAGCCGTGAACCACTCGTCTGTCCTCGCCCTGAGCAGGGCGTGTCCCCTCAGCAGCCGCCCGACCGCCTCCCAGTCGTCCGAGCCCTTCTCGAACACGGCCTGCGCGAGGAGGACGCGCTCGTGCGTCGTCGTCTGGTCGAGGAGGTGCGACTCGTCGGGCGACATGGCCAGCGCGGGCGTGCTCGACGTCATGGGCGAGGTCGACGCGGCGTGAGGAGGTCGGGGGGAGAGGGACGGCGATGAGGGCAAAGGCGGCGTCGGGCGGGCGTGCTCTTTGGCGTGGGCTGCTGTAAGGTGCTGCTGCGGGTGCTGGTTGCCTCGCCGAGTTCGTCGAAGAGGATGGCGAAGCGGGAGAGGAAGGTCGCCTCGAACCTCGTCCTCGAGCGACTCTCGGCGGCCTCAGCGACGGCGCATGTCTCCGTGGCTTTTTTGGCGGCTCACAGTGACGAGCACGAGAGACGAGAGACAACATGCAGATATATGACGGCGCCCTCGCTCCTCCTCGATCGACAGTCTAGCTACAACTCGCCGCTCCCGACGCCCATCCTCTCGCGGTAAGCCTCCCACTGCCCCTCGCCCCTGCCGCCGTCCCTCCCTTCCTCCTTGCCGACGACCCACCGTGCGGCGCGCACCCACGCGCGCACCGTCAGGCCCTCGTCGGCCGACAGGACGCCGTCGTACGGCGTCAGCTTGGCGCGGCGCAGGGCGCGGCGCAGGGCGTGCAGCGCGGCGGGGGAGCGCACGCGCGGCGAGGCGAGGAGGGCGCACACTCGGGCGGGGAGGGTGTCGAGCGGGAAGAGCGGGTCGTGCGCCTTGTCGTCGTGGGAGGACGGCGACGTGCGCACGAGCCGCCGCGCAAGCTCCGACGTCGACAGGGTCGTGTACTCGACCTCCCAGTGCGGCGCGACGCTGCCGTTGGCGACGCCTGGCGCCTCGAAGCTCGACAGCGGCAGGTAGTACTGCGTGTAGGCGAGCGGTGACAGGTACGTGTTGCGCCGGGCAGGAGCGTGCGGCGACGAGTGCCGAGGCGGTTTGGGCGGGCGGTCCGGGTCGGCGGGTCGGTCCTGGTGCGGCGTGAAGGCGCCGCCGGTGAGCGCTGCGGCGAGGCGCTCGAGCGTTGTGCCCGCCAGCGTCGAACCGGCCTCGTCGCCGTCCTGCTCGGCCCGGACGAGCTCGAGCGTCTGCTCGCGGGCGTGCCTCGACGTGTTGTACTCCCACACGCGCAGGCCGGGGAGGTAGGTCGGGATGACGCTCGGGTTGACGTGGACGGGCAGGTAGTCGCGCTCCTTGAGCTTGTCGAGAGCCGGGAGCGAGTCGTACAGCGCGTGCAGGTCGTCGACGAGCGACGCCGAGAAGGGCGCGACGAGACGGTCGTTCAGGGCAGGCGACGTGCCGACCCGAGGGCGAGAGGCGGCGGCGGCCGTCGACGACGTGTCGGCCTCCTGGACGAACGAGAACATGTCGACGTTCATGTGGCCGAACAGCTGCCTGCGCCCCCCAGAGATAGAGTCAGGACACGCGCGAGAGATATAGGGAGGGAGAGGAAGACGCACCCGACGACCGTGTCCTGGTATCCGAGCGCGAGCTCGGCGTACCGCGTCCAGCAACCCTCGTACCAGTTGGTCTCGGTCGCCGGCACGTGGCCCGTGAGGATGACCTGCATGCCCCTCGCGCGCGCGAGGACGAGCTGCTGCTCGAGCCACAGGAGCTGCTCGGTGCCCGGGTCCATGTCGCGCGCCGTCGTCAGGGCGGCGACATGTGCGGCGAAGAGCGCGGCGGCCTCGGGCGACGCAGGCGAGTCGACCGTCGCGAGGTAGGGCGGAACGATGTCGGCAAAGGTGCGAGACGAGGCGAGGTCCTCGTCAAACGGCGGGCAGCCGTCGACGACCGTGTTGCGCGAGTAGAAGTAGATCGTGTTGAGCGACACGAGCAGGAGGTCGCCGCCGGCCGCCTCGACCGAGTAGTAGCCGCCGCGAGCGAACGTGTGGAGGAAGTGCTCGGGGATGATGTGCTTCCAGATGTCGAGCAACCCGCTCGTCACCTTGTTGGCTGCGCGGTGCAGAGGGACAAGGTCAGGGCCGGCTCTCGCTCGCGACGACGAGGGTACGAGAGAGAGAGAGAGAGAGACGCACGCCCGGGGAACATGACGTTGTGCGGGTAGACATCGTCTGCGAGAGTGCAGGAGTCAGCTCGGGTCGCCGAGAGGAGAGAGAGAGGCGGCGACGCACTGTTGCCGACGCTCGCGACGACGGGCACGCCCTTGCCGAACGTCTTGCGGACCCGCTCGACGATGTACTGGTTCAACTCGAAGATCTCGGGGAGCGAACGCGGTAGCCGCGAGTCGATGTCTGTCAGGGTGGCGGTGCGCAAAGTCAGTGAGGGGGTCCCGCACGTGGGCTTCGGCTCGAGCGAGGTTCGACGCACCGTGTCGCGCGTTGTCGCCCGTCCAGACGACAAAGTCGACCTCGCCCTTGAAGTGCTGCTCGATCCAGTCGAACGTCGCGTTGACGTGCGCGATGGGCGAGTCGCAGTCGCTGCGCAGGAGGAGGACGACGAGGTCAGGCCCGCGTGAAAGGCTCGGCGAGGACGTGCGGGACGCAAGAGGGGCGCACCTGATGGGCAGACCCCAGTGACCAGCTGTCCGAGGCTTGTCGGACAGGAGCGCTGCGCCGTCCTCGCAGCCGTCGCCGGCCTCGCGCTCGTCCTGGCCGACTCGAGCAGCTCGATCCCGCACGCGCACGCCGCGCTCGTTGTTGTCGCCGCCAGCGCGCTTGTCGTGCTTGTGCTTGTGCTTCTTCTTGGCGGCAAAGTGGCACGCCTCGTCCTCGGACGAGCCCGGGCGGTAGAAGGGGTCGGGGTGAACGTCGGTGAGGTGGATAAAGCGGCCCTTGAGCGGTGGTCGGGCGGCTGCGACGGGGACGGCAGGGTCGACCGAGGCCAGGACGGCCTGTGCGGGGAGGTAGGCGGCGGCCGAGGTCGAGGCGAGGGCGCAAAGTGGGACGACGAGTCGGGGGAGGAGCATGGTGGTGCGACTCGCTCTGCGCGGGTCAGCTGCGCGCTGGTCGGCGAGCTCGGTGGTGCTACTGGACGGTGGCGGGGTGCTCTAGTCGGCCTGGGAGGGAGAGGCGACGTCGTGGTGCGGATGACGGCGTTTGGCGATGGCGATGAAGTCGCCCGAGTCGACGACCGCTCGCTGTCCTCTCACCCCTCGAGCGTGCTGTCGAGAAGGGGACAGAGCTGTGCAGTAGCACTCCAAGTAGATCCCGCCCAGCAGGCATGCAGCCAGAGGTTGTGGTGAGGCTGGTTCCCCACCTCGACCTCGGACTCGGAGAGTCGCCGCTCGCTCGCTCTTCTCTCTCAACGCTCGCCATGGCTACCACGAGGACCGACGACCTCACCGGCCCTGCTGCCGCAAAGTTCTTCACCAAACAGTGGCTCCCACAGGGCAAGCCCCGTGCCGCCCTCCTCTTCGTTCACGGGTCCGTCTCCCCCTCCCGCCCACCACCACCACCACGCACCCTGACTCCCTGCCGAACAGCTTCATCGAGCGCGTCGAGCGCTACGACCACGTCTTCCCAAAGTACGCCGAGCAAGGGATCGCCGTCTTTGCCTTCGACCAGCGAGGTGCGCCTCCCTTTGCCACGGCCTCCCCCTCCCCCAGCTCACCCTGTTCCCTCGCACAGGCTTCGGCAAGACGGCGACCTACACGCCCAAGCACACGCAGGGCGTCACCTCCTGGCCCGAGCAGTTTGGCGACATCGACCACTTCCTCGAGCACGCCCTCGGCCTCTTCCCCGGCGTGCCCTTCTTCCTCTACGGTGCGCCCTCCCTCCTCTCACTCAACCCCGACAGTCAAGAGCTGACGGCCTCGAGCGCACGCAGGTCACTCGATGGGCGGCGCCCTCGTCCTCGGCTACGCGACCCGCACCCCTCCTCGTCCGCTCGTCGGCCGCCTCGCCGGCATCGTCTCGTCGAGCCCGCTTCTCCGCCAGAGCAAAGGTGTCAAGGCTCCGGCCCTCATCGTTCGGGCCGGCAGCCTCATCGGCAAGCTCAGCGGCGCCCTCACGCTCAAGGCGACCGTCAAGCCCGAGGTGCGTCGCCGCGACCTCGCTCTCGACATCGGGCCAGGCGTACGAGCTCACTCTCTCCTCCTCCTCGCCCGCAGGACACGTGCCGCGACCCGGCCGTCCAGAAGGCGTACGCCGAGGACCTGCTCTGCAAGCAGGTGGGCACGTTCCGCGGCGTCGGCGACATGCTCCTCGGGGTGCGTCCCTCTCCTTCTCTCGCTCCCCTCTCGCCGCGATCCTGACAACATGCTCGAGCTTACAGGGCGAGTCGATCGTGAGCAAGGACTACCAGCGCTTCCCCAAGTCGCTCCCGCTGCTCGTCGTCCACGGCGAGGCCGACAAGGTGCGTCCCCTTCCCTTCCTCGGGGCGAGGGTCGGCGAGATGGATGCCGGCGACCTGACGTTCTGCCTCGACACGCATAGGTCACCGACTGCGACGCCTCGCGCGAGTTCGTCGACAAGGTCAAGAAGGAGGTCGGTGCGGCAGACGCGACGTTCAAGAGCTTCCCAGGCTTCTACGTACGTCCCCTGATCCCTCTTTATATCGCTCCCGAGACCTGACTCGCTCACGTGCCCTCTCGTGCAGCACGAGATGCACAACGAGGTCCGTCCCGCTCGAGTCTCAGGCCTGCCATCTCTCTGCGCTCGTGCGCGCCCTGACTGACTCGCCCATGCGCCCACGCAGCCCGGCGACGACAAGTGGGTCGAGATCAACTACGTCCTCGACTGGGTCACGTCGCACATCCCCTCGCCGACCTCATCTGCGCCTGCTCCCGCTTCAGCCTCGACCCCGGCTGCGACGACCACCTCGGCCGCCGCCGCACCCAGCTCGAGCACAGCCGTCGCCGAGGACGACGCGAGCGCGACGGCTGCTGCGCAGGCGGGCGCAGAGCGCACGAGCAAGCTTTGAGGGCAACCTCGCTCTCGTCGACAAAACCTTCTCCCTCGCCGCACCCTCTGTCTGCCCTCGCCAGTCGTATTACCACCCCTCCCACTAGTCAGGGCTAATCGTGACAATCGAGTTTGTGCCGTTCCACCGTCGAGTGTGGGCCGAACGAGCGAGAGAGAGTGAGCGAGAGCGAGAGGCTCGAGCGAGCCTGTTTTGACTTCTGGCTACGATGCTCGAGGGCCGCTGCGTCGGCGACTTTCGCGAGCCTTTGCGAGAGTGTGCAGCTTGCCCTTGAGCAAGCGCGGACGCTCGCAGCAAGTCTTCTTCGAACCCCCGGCTTCGGGTGAGCCGCAGCAACTCGGCGCGCGCCGACGCGGACCCGGGCCAACTTCTTCTCGCTCGCCTCCCTCGCTTCCTCCTCGACGAGCTGGCCTCGTGCGGCTGCCAGGCCCTGCAGCTGGCTCCTGCGACTGCGCGCCCGTGCGTGCGCGAGCACTGCGCTGCTGCCGACGCGCACAGTCCAGCGCGAGCTCCATCGTCGCTAGCGCGTCGCTGCGTCTCCCCGCTAAGCTAGCGCATCGAGAAGACGCACGGCAAGAGCTCGCCGACGCACACCGTGCTGCGTCTTCGCACCCGGTCTTGCCTGAGCGCCGGCTCGTCTGGTCTCTCTGGCTCCCGCTCCTCTCTCGCCGACCTCGTCCTTCTCGCCTCGCCTCCCCCGACCTCGACAGCCCCGACCTCGACCTGCACGCCGGTCGTGCACAGCCTCTTACGAGCCTCGCCTCGAGCGCGCCCCCGCCGTCACTCAACTTCAGCCCAGCCGCATCGACAACATGCCCCACCGCGCCCTCGCGCTTCTCGTTGCCGGCCTCGCCCTCGTCTCGCTCGCGCAAGCCGCCTCGCCGGCGACCGATACGGCCGACATCTTCTTGCCCGACGACTCGGCGCGCCAGCATGCAGGTGCGGCGCTCCCTCTCGCGCCCTCTCGCCCTCGCCCGCCAAACCTGACCCACCTCCCTCGTCCTTGTCGCAGCCCGCCCCGTCGTCTATACCGCCTCGTCCGAGCCGACCGCACCCTCCCTCCTCGACGACGACGCCGAAGCCCCGCTCGAGCCCGCCTCGGACCGCATCCCCCTCCCCTTCCGCCTGCCGCACGGGCCGCGCCGCCTCAAGCGCTCGACCGCCGCCGACCTCGTCGCGTTCCCCGAGCTCGAGCGCCGCGCAGAGCCCAACCGCGCCGCGCTCGCGTCGTCGATACGCGCGTCGCGTTCGGCCGCACAGGCTGCTGCGGCGGCGGCCGGCGGCGGGTCGCCCTCCTCGGCGGTCGCGCCCGCGCCGGCCGTGCCCGAGACGACGACGACGGCGCAGCTCCCCGGGAGCGAGGGCGTCGTGAGCACCGGCCTGCTCACGCGCGCGACGGCCTCGGCGCCTCCGTCTGCGGCAGCGTCGGCGACGTCGGCGCCGGTCGAGTCGGACGCGGCGAGCGACAGCGCCGAGGGAGGAGCAGGGGGCGCGACGGTGACGGCTTTCGAGACGGCGAGCACGGGCGTCGTCGTGACGTCGTTCGCGAGTGCGTCGGCCGGGACGCTCGAGAGCGCGCTCGAGGGCAGCTCGAGCGCCTCGTCCGAGCCGGCGACCGCGCTCGTCAACGCGGCGGCGCGCGCGAGCGCGGTGTCGCGGGCCGGCGTTGGCGTCGCTGCGGCGGGAGCGCTCGGGGCGCTCATGCTGCTGCGCTGAGCAGCGGGCGCGACGAGTCGCACAGACACTTTTGAGATTCTCCTTTTGTAGATAGGCTCGCCTTTGACCTCGCGAGATGACGGACTGCAGTGCAAGGCTCCGCTCTCTTTCTCTCCTCTCTCTTTCGCTCGACGAGAGAGGGCGCGAGGACGACGCGAGAGAGAGGCTCGAGAATCGTACAATGGCAGCCTCGACGGCATGTCTTTCACGGCTACAGCCCTCCCTCCCTGGCCGGCGCCCCTCAGCCGAGCAGGTCCATCGAGTCGCTCGCGGCAAGCGCAGCGACCATGTCGCTCTCGAGGAACTTGGCCACGTTGATCTGCGACGAGGAGCGCGAGGGAAGGACGACGACGAGGTGAGCCACGACGACGCACGAGAGAGAGAGAGAAAGAGAGGGCGCACCTGGTCGTTCAGGCCCTTGCGCCGCCTCGTCTTGAGGACAAAGTCGCGTGCGAGCGCCTGTGCCGGTGCGGGCTCGAGCGGGCGCAGCTGGATCGTCTTGTCGAGCGGGTCGCCCGGGCAGATGGACCAGTGGTCGAACGTCTGGAGGCAGAAGGCTTGGCCGAGCGTGTGCGCTGTGGGTGTAGGAGGAAGAGAGGCGAGGTGAGTCACTGGTCGAGGAGGGGAGGGCGAGGAAAAGGAGGACGCACTCCTCAAGTCGGTCTCGAAACCGTTGGCGTCGACGACAGGAATGTAGGCCTGGACGGTGTACAGCGGCGAACCAGGCTTGGGGATGTCCTTGGTGACGTGACCGCGACGACGGGCGAGGATCTCGTAGATGGCCGGGATGCAGTCTTGCGGCGTCTGAATCTCGACAAAGTAGACGGGCTGCAGGGCGTGGCACGTCAGGTCACGCTCGAGAGGGAGATGGAGAGTGAGAGAGAGGTGGAGGACGCACCTCCTGCAGTCGAGGCGTCGCCATAAGGAAGCTCGAGTAGCACACTCGCCGCGCGGTCGGGATGACCTGCCCACCGCCACGGTAGATCGGCTCTTGCGCCAAGTCGGCGCCGAGAAGGCGGAACTTGACGTTGCGTATCGCTGCACGAGAGGAAGTAGAGTCAGGGACGAGGAGAGAGAGAGAGAGGGCGAGAGAGAGAGAAAGAGAGGGGGGGACGCACGCTCGTCGCACAGCGGGCCCTCGCGGCAGCCCCACTGGAAGCCCTGCTTGATGCTCTCCTTGACCGAGTACAACAGCTTCTTGTCGACGTCGCTCGGGAGCGTGTCGTCGACGAGCAGGTTCGGCCCTTGCTCGTCGGGCCCGAACGCCCAGATCGACCGCGACGCGAGCAAGTCCCAGCCGTACTTCTGCTGGAAGTGCTGGCCGAGCTGCTTCGGCGGCAGCCGGATCGACACCTTGCCCGTCTCGATGTCCTCGGCGATACCGCGCTCGAGCGGCTCGGCGATCATCGTGATCTTGTTCCTGCGCGACGAGGACGAGGAGAGTCAGTGAGGCCGTCCACGAGCAACGGGGGCGAGGGAGAGAGACACGAGGACGCACTTCTTGTTGGGCGTGTCGGCGTAGCACTTGAGCGCGCTCGTCTCGACGACCGTCTCGCAGAAGCGCACGACCGGGTCCGACACCTTGATCTCGATCTCGGCAAACATCTTGCGCAGGTCGTGCAGGGCACAGTCGAGGTACAGCTCGCCCGTGCCGACGAGGACGTGCTCGCCCGACTCCTCGACGCGCGTCTCGACGAGCGGGTACGTCTTGTTGACCTTGCGCAGGCCGTCGAGCATCTTGGGCAGCTCGGACGGCATGAGCGGCTCGACCGAGACCTTGAGGACCGACTGGGTAAAGTGCGCCAAGGGCCGGAAGATGCGCAGCTCGGACGCGTCGTAGTCGGCCGCGATCAGGGTCGCCGTCTTGGTGATGCTCGAGTCGACGCCCGACAGGTGGACAAAGTTGCCCGCCGGCATGGCGTCCGTCTCGATGTCGTACCGCGCCTCGCCGATGACGACGGCGCCGATCTGCTGGTGCACCATGTCCTCGTCGTCCTCGGGCGAGTAGCCCTCGCCGAGCACCTTGACGTCCATGCCGACCTGCGCCGTGCCGCTCAGGACGCGCCCGAACGCGCGGAACTCGGTCGCGTCCGGCGACGGGTACAGCTTGACGACCTGGATCGCGAGCGGGCCCGCCGGGTCGCACGCGAGGAGCGCCTTGCCGAGCGGCGAGTCGAGCTCGCCCGTGTAGGTCGACTCGACCTTGGCGCGCGCCGCGTCGCGCGGGTTCGGGACGTGCTGCACGACCATGTCGACGAGGCCGCTCGCCGGGCCAAAGAAGTGGTGCAGGACGAGGCGCAGGAGCGGGCGGGCGTCCATCTTGAACGCGGCCGGCTTGAGGTGGATGCCGAGCTGCTCGAGCGTGTGCCGCAGCTTGTCCGAGTCCTCGCCGAGGACCTGCGAGTAGAGCTTGTACAGGGGCTCGAGGACAAAGTGCTCGAAGCCGCGCTTGGCGCCGGGCGCGGCGACCCTCGAGAACTTGCGAGTGTCCGGGTGGTAGTAGATGTTGCCCCACAAGCGCGCGGCGAACTGGTCGAGCTCGATCGGGCCGTACGTGTCGGCGTACATCTTTGCGAACGACTTGAGCGTGAAGCACCAGCCCATCTGGGCCGACGCGAACGCGACGTTGCCGCGCTCGGGCGACACGCGCAGGGCCGGGTCCGGGTCGAGCTCCGAGATGACCGTGTTGACCTCCTCGATCGTCTGGCGCAGCTTGAAGTAGGCGTCGCCCGGCGGGAGGCGCAGCTCGAGGATGAGGCGGTCGACCTTGTTGACGACGAGCGTGATCGGGACGCGGTTCTTGACGAGGTGCTGGATCGTCTGGGTCGCCGTCAGGAGGACGCCCTCGACGGCGTCGACGACGACGACGGCGCCGTCGGCAACGCGCACGCCCGCAGCGATCTCGTCGACAAAGTTCGAGTGGCCGGGGGTGTCGATCATGTTGACGAGGTACGACTTGCCCTTGGTGTTCTGCAGGACGAGCGACATGGGCGTCGACTTGATCGAGACCTTGCGCGCCTGCGACAGGACGTGCGTGTCGGTGTAGCGGAGCTGCGCGGAAAGAGGACGGGCGGGCGACCGAGGTCAGCTCCTGGCTCGACGACTGGCGCCGGGCCACAGGCCAAAGGAGAGAGAGGAGAGGCTCACCGGCTGCTGAGGGTCGACGTCGACCTTGTGCGTCTCGTGAACGAGCATGTCGACGAGCGACGTCTTGCCGTGGTGGAGGTGGCCGACGATGGCGATGTTGCGCACCGAGTCCGGGTTCGACGCGAGGCCCATCAGGAACCTGCGGGGCACGAAGCCTGGGTCAGCTCCTCTGTTCTTCTGCGCCGCTGCCGAGGCGAGGAGAAGAAAGGTAGCGAGACGCACTGGTCGTCCCACCGCCGCTCTGGCCCCGTCGCCGCTCCGAGGCGAAACTTGCGCGTCCGAACGGGCTCGATGATGGGCACCGAGAGCGGCTGCGCGTCCTCCTCCTGGACCATCGTCTCGACGTCGGCGCCGTAGACGGCCGACGCGCTCGGGTAGTACGTCTTGTCGTCGTGGAGCACGATCGCGTTCGAGCTCGGCACGTCTGCGAGACGGGAAACCAGAGGCCGCGTCAGTAGCCGCTCGCTCGGGTCACGACATGATGACTGAGGGGCCGCAGGAAGCTGCCGATGGGGAGCCTGCCGCCGAGGCCGGCCAGGTCGACCGAGATACGCTGCCTCGAGGAGGTGAGGCGAGCGCGACCACCACCGCCGCGTCCCGGCTGCACCGCTCGCCGCAACAGGATCTCCTCGTCGGGAGTGCCATCTCGACGCCGCTGCCGCACGAGCGCTCGTGTGGCTCAGCTCCCCCGCCCGCTTGCACGCCCCAGACCCGGCTGCTGCCGCCCTCGCCTCGCTCGCCGGCGGCAGGAAAGAGAGAGAGGCGTGGGACGCACCGTCGACCTGCATGCCATCGAGCGCAGCTGCGTGCTCTTCATCGTCGTCGTCGTAGGCGCGGAGCGGAGCCGGCGGGGGCGACGGCTCGAGGTTGTGCTGGTCCTGGTCGTCGTCGCTCTGGTCCGACAGGTCGTCGTCCGGGCCGATGTAGTTGCCGAACTCGTCGTACAAGGACGCGTCCATCGTGGCAGTCTGTGCGGTGGACGAAGTGCGAGACGAGGAGGGGGAGATGAGGCGGCGGCGACGGCTGCGGCGCAGGCGGATGAGGTGGCCGAGCGGCTGGCGGGTCGGGTGCGAGGCTAGGGAGAGCTCTGGGCCGAGTGCTGCAGTCCTGGCGAGCAGCGGCGCGGTCGTGTCGAGGTCAACCTCGTCCCTCTCTCCTTCTCTCGCCTTGTCCCTCGACCACACGCCGCCCCTCAGCGAGACTGAGCTAATCTTGGGCTCGCGGGCCTGTCCCTTGCCGTCTCTGCGCTGCGCACCCACCTGCGCCTGCACAGCGGCCGGCCCGCATCCTGCTCGCCCTGCTTCCTCCGAGTCGTCCCTCGTCGACTCGCTCAGCCGTCATCGCGCAGCTCGACCTCGAGTCTGGCCTGCTCTCCACTCTTTGCCGCCATGCGACCTCGCGCTCCCAGTCTCTCGCGCAGCTTGGCGAGCGGGTGGACCGGTGCCGGCCGTTGCGAGCTTGGCGGCTTCCGCTCTGGCTGCCTCTTCTCGCTTCTCTTTCGGCTCTGGCACAATCTCGAGGCGCACACGCCTACCTCGGCATGCGTTCTGCCCTGACACTGCCGACGCCAGCTGCACGACGTCGCCGAGTCGAGCGCAGGATCCTCTCGGCGAGGGCTGTCGCGCCAAACCTGCGGCGGCGTCGCTCTGCGTGGCTTGCGCTTGTCGCCCAAGTTCTCGTCGTCGGCCTCGCGTAGCTCGCAGCGCGGGCCGACTGTGGCTCGCTCGCGACAAGCGCTGTCGCGAGGCGCAGCTTGAGACGCACTGTGACGAGGAAGACTCGCCGCTCTAGCCGCTCTTTACGTCCGCTTCCCGCACAGGTCGGCTCGTATAGACCGCTGCATCGCTCTGAGCGATTTGCGCTTTCGAACGAGAGAGTCTTGAGAGGGAATCGCGATCGGCCACGAGCGAGACCGCTCGAGCCAGCTCAACTCGTCCTCGTACCGCTCCACCACCTCTAACCGGCACGCGAGTGAGCCCTGAGCCTTGTGTACGAGTCCGCCGAGTCGCACTGACAGCTTGGTCCCCTCCCTCGCGCGCGCTCCCTCCCCACCTCCTCATCGCGCCCCGCACCTTTCGCCGCCCGTCGCGCTCGCCTCAACTCTCGCAGTGCAAGGCGCTTACGATCTCGGAGTCCTCATTGTGCGCACACAGCTCCCGACCCTCTCGCATCATCCACAGCTGACCTCGTTCTCCCTCTCCCCCACCTGTGCCCGCTCCCGCCGCGCTCGCGTCCCCCTCCCTCGCAGGTCGCCATCAAGACGCACGGCAAGCGCAACCCGGCGAGCGGCAAGATCGAGGCGCCGTATGGCGAGATCTTCGAGCACACGCAGCACACTCGTGCGTCCTCGTCCTCCTCGTCTCCTTCGTCCGGCTTCTGCAGGGCGTCGGCTCTCCAAGGTCACGCAGGTGGTCACCGAGCTGACTACCTCTCGTACACGATACAGTCGAGGCGCTGAACGGTACGCTGCGGTCAGCCAAGCGGCAGAAGAAGGTGCGCCCCGCTCGTCCTCCTCAACTCGTCCAGTTCCGAACCTCCTTCTCGCCTCCTAACGATGCTCTTGTACCCTCGCCCGGCAACAGGTCACTTTCGAGGGCGAGCTGCTCATGATGCCCAAGGACGCCGGCGTCGCGCTCGTGCTGCTCGACGAGGGCGAGGACCAGGACGCCAAGGCCGAGGCGACCCTGCCCTGAGCCCGAGCGACTCGGTGGGGGACGTAGATGAGGAGAGTGCACAACGAGCGGACCGTCTTGTATCTTTGCAGCTCGCGAGAGACCTCGATCGAGAGAGGGAGGCGAGAGCGGCGCTCGAGAGAAGATAAATTCGCTGCTCGAGGTTGCAAAGCTCACAAGTACAGAAGGGCAAATAGCGCCGCAGCACGCACAGATAGTCAAGCGCTCCCTCCTCCCGCCGCCCCTGCTCACGCCGCCTTCTTGCCGTCGCCGTCGCCCTCGCCGCCGCCGCCGCCTCCCGCCGCCGCGAGCGGGTCTCCCTGCGCCGCGCTCGAGATGCTCGGCGTCGGCGCCGCCGTGTTGCCGCCGCCAGGGTGGTACGAGAACGAGCCAAAGCCGAAAGGGTCCGACAGATCGGACGTCGTGGACGCGAACGGGTCGAGCGACGAGGCGACCTCTCTGCGGGCGGGAGAGCGAGGGACGGTCAGGACGGCCGTTGCAAGCTCGTGACGCGAGAGAGAGAGAGAGAGAGGAGAGAGAGGGACGTACGGCCAGTCGAAGAAGCCGCTCGCGCCTCGGCCGATCAGGACCGACCCGAAAAAGTGCGTGTCGTTGAGGAAGTTGTCGACGCCGTCGACCGCGCTGTCGGTCGGCAGTTGCTGCGCCGGCAGCGGCGCGCCGTCAAACATGCCGCTCCCGATGAACGCGCTCGGCGTCTGCGCGCCGCTGAGCGTGCCCGGGCGGCGCTCGGTCGCGGCGCCGGCGTACGCGGGGACGGGCGTCGCTGCGGCGCTCGACGCCGCGAACGGGTTGCTGAACGGGTTGGTGCCGCCCGGCGTCGAGATGCCGGTGAACGGGTGCGTGTAGAGCGGGGCAGGCGAGGGCGGCATCGCGCCGGCGAGCGACACGTGCGGGAGGTGGTGGTTGCCGTTGCCGACGCCGCCGCTCGGCGCGGTCGAGCTCGACGACACGCCCGCGCTCGACGTCGAGGCGGAAAGCGTCGGGTCGAACGCGGTGCTGCCGAACCCGGCCGCGCCAGACGCTGCCGCCGTCGCGACGCCGGCGTCCTCCTCGTCGCCCCGGATGCTCGTCCCGCGACTGCGTGCGGCGCCGGCGCCCGTCTCGAGCGCCTTCCAGCTCGCACCGAGAGCACGGACGATGACGTAGCACGTCATGGCGGCGTGGCGGTGGTCGCCCTGGGCCGCCTCCTGGCAGTCCTTCATGAGCTGGAGGAGCTGCGCCTCGAGCTCGTTCGGGTCGACGAGTTGGGCGAAGCGCGAGTTCGAGACGCGGACCTTGACGAGGAAGACGGTCGAGTAGAGCATGAACAGGAAGTTGACCTGTGAGGGAGCGAGTCGGAGAGAGGGTTGAAGGACGAGGAGGAGAGGGTCAGTGCGTGCTCGCGAGGGGTGGGAGGACGAGAGGGAGGCCGAGGACGCACGTCGGGACAATGCCGCAGGACACCGAGCTCGGCGTAGGCGTGTCCGAGCGACAGGAGGCTCTTGGCCGACGAGATGGTCGACGAGACCGAGTCCGGGTCGTCGCACGCGTCGCCGTTGCGGAGCATGGTGTGGAGCGGGATCGTGTTGAGGAAGAGCTTGCTCGCGTGGTGGTACAGCTGCAGGTTGTTGGCGATCGGCTCGCCCGGGACAGGGCACCACCGCGCCTTCCACTCGTCCATGCGCGAGTTGAACAGCTGCAGGTTGGGGAGCAGGGTCAGAGACGCCGACCGAGAGAGGACTGGAAAGAGAACAGGGGCGCACCTTCATGACGACCTGGCTCGGCATGTCGTCGCTCGCGCAGCTGAGGCCGTACAGGCGGTCGCGGAACGTGTCCATGACCTGGCCGATGATCGTCTGCAGCTCGACATGGGCGATGACGCCTGAGAAGGGTGGGACGGGTGCGTCAGGAAGTCGTTTGGAGGGTTGCCGACGAGGAAGGGAGGGGAGAGAGGAGAGGACGGACCGAGGTCGAAGGGGAGGCACTGCGGGTGCAGCGGGAGCAGGTACGGCTTGGCCTCCTGGATCTGGTACGGGCGACCCATGACGGCGGACATGCTGCACGAGGCGAAAGAGACAGAGTCAGCTCACGGACGACGAACCAGAGGCGGCTCGACCGTGCGAGCTGACCCGAACCGAGTCGAGGAGAGAGAGAGAGGCGGACGCACTTGTGGTCGATGACGAAGAGCATGAGCCACGTGCGCTCCCGGTTGAGGGCGTCCCACACCTCCTGCTCGCTGACGGCCTCGGGTCCCTCGCGCGGCAGCGAGATCCACGGGTTGGCCTTGCCGAGGTTGCCCGGTTTCGACAGGTGCGCGTCGACGAACGGCGCAGGGCGGAACAGGTTGAGCTCGAGGCCCATGCGCACGGCCTGCGGCGAGGGAACGTCAGGTCGTGTGGGCAGAGTCGGTCGAGGCGGGAGGCGAAAAGAGGGACGCACCGCTCCGCCGTACAGCCACGCCCGCTTGGGCCGCTCCTCCCTGCCCGCCGCCGCACTCTCGCCCGTCGGCGGATACGTCCACACCGTGAGGATGCAGCACGCCTGGACGCTCTCGATCGACCGCTCGCCGTCGCTGACGCATTCGACGAAGCAGGCGTGCGCCTCGTCGTAGATCTTGTTGTGCAGGGTCGGGTCCTGGTGGAACCGCGACGCGACGGCGAGGATGACCGTGAAGAGGAAGGGCGAGGTGGCGCAGACCCAGGGCGCCGTGTGCTTGGCCGGGTCGAGGAGGGGAAGGTGGATGTAGGCGTAGTCGAAGAACCTGGGCGCGCGAGAGCAAAGTCAGTTTCGGCCGCCGCACGGGACTCGCTTCAGAAAGGAAGAGAGAGAGGTGAGACGCACACGGTGAAGAGCTCGACGGCGAGCTCAGGCGTGACGATGCCCTTGCTGAGGACGGCCGGCGTCCTGCTCACGTCCTCCTCGCCGTTGGACCCGCCGAGGCGGTCGTTGTTGCGCTGCAGAGCGTCCGTGACGGTGCTCAGGTTGAAGCTCGCGTCGAGGCCGGTGAGCTTCGAGCGCCCGTCGATCTGGGCGGCGAGCGAGGCGTCGGCGAGCATGGCGAGCGACGGCGCCGGCTGCTGCCCTGGCTGGCTCGACGGCGACGGGTTCGACGGCGACGGGTGCAGGTGCGACGCGACGTTGCTGACCGGGCTCGCGCTCGCGCGAGGAGGGCCGACCGTGGGCAGGGCGAGCTGCGGCAGCTGGACGCTGCCAGGCGGGTTGGTCGAGGTCGAGTGCGGCGAGACGGCGAGGTTGCCGCCCATGATCGGCGACTGGTTGAGCTGTGGGTACTGGCTGTAGCCCTCGGTGTCGTAGCGGGTGCGCTTGACGGCGGGACCGTCGACGCCGCTGCCGACGAGGTCGGGAACGTCGGACGACGGCGACGGGCTGCGGTTGTCGCCGGCGCCGATGTCGGGCGGTGGCACCGAGTACCGGGACGAGCTCATGTCGGCGGTCGAGTACCGGCGGCGGCGGTCGTGGGCCACCGCCTCGGGCGTGCCCTCGAGCCCCTCGGCGATGGACGCCTGCAGCTGCGAGAGCGCGTTCGCGTCGGGCTTCTCGCCCGAGCCGATCGAGTCGAGCACGACCGAGAGCGTGCGCTCAACCTCGCGGAACTTGTCCTGCAGCGTCGTCTCGCTGACCTTGGTCCTGCGTGCGCGAGGGAGTAGGTGAGCGTGCGCGCTCCGCACGAAACCGAGGGACGAGGTCGAGAGACGCACCTCGGGGGCCGCTTGCCGCGCTTGCTCTCGACAAAGACGCACTCGTGACCGCCTGCGCGACAGCTGAGAGGAGGGGCAAGAGGACGGTCAGCTGATGTCGGTCGACGAGCGAGGGAGGACGGCGAGGACGCACCGCTTGCAGGGCGGGTCCTCGGCGCCGTCACAGCGAGTCTGCAGGAGCAAGGGGACTGTCAGTGGACGTGCGTAGGACGTGGCTTGAGGATGGCTCGGCCGTGCCGCAAGGCTGCACCTCGCCCCTCGCGCCCGGCCGCTCGAGGCAGCGCTCGCGGTCCCTGCCACGAGCTGCGCCGCCTTGGCCGACGTCGCACCGAGGCGCGAGACTAGCGCGCAGGGAGCGCTCGCTCGCGCACTCGTGGACCGGCCTCGCCCTGGCTTCGATCGGCCCCCACTTGCTCGCCTGAGCGTCACCCGAAAGACAGGTCGCTCGACGGCGGCCGCACGAGCTCCTGGGAGAGAGAGAGCAGAGAGAGGTGGTGCGCACCTTGAGTTTCCTGCACGCGAGGCAGGCCCTGCTGGTGCGCTCGCCGCCGTTTGCCGTCTCGATGCGGATGCCGCCCTTGAACGCGTTGACGAGGGCGTTGCCCTGGAGGACCTTGCCGTCTGGGCCGACGACTGGGGGCAGGGCGGCCATGCCGTTGGTGCTGTTGCTCGGGGGAGCGCTGCTGCTCGACGACGGCGGTCCTCCTCCACCACCGCCGGGAGGAACCGAGGTGCGCGAGGTCGACGAGGCGTGTGCCGCAGACGAGGCGCGCCGCGGTTGGTGCTGGCCGGGTGCGGTGCCCGAGTCGATGTGGATGTCCGAGCTGGCCATGCTCGTGGTCGGCGACGAGTCTATGCGCCTGTGAGCGGACGGGGCGGGGCAAGAGCGAGCCGGGGTCGGGCGGCGCGAGAGACCGAGCCAGAATCCGCCTCTCTCGCGCGGGCTTGCTTAGCTGTCTGTCGAGCTTGTCGAACTTTCGTACAGTAGCTCGCGCTCGCGCACTGGCGCGTAGCGCGAGCGGGACGACGTCGAGCATTTTCGAGCGCACGCTCGCCGTCCTCGCGACACGCAGCCCGCTAGGGCTTTGTTGGCCGGCAGTTGGACGCACAGAGTAGCACTCGAGGCCTGTAGTTCACTCGCGATCCGCCCGCAGCGAGAGTTGACGAGTGCGAAGGCCGCCGTCCTCCCCAGCTCTCTCCGTCTCGCTCCTCTCGCTCACGCAGCCAACGCCACGACCACCCGGCCAAGCCGACGGCTTGCGCAGCACCCCAAGCACGCCCGCCGCTGGGCGCATGCCGAGCACTCTGCCGCGCTTCCGCTCGGAGCGGCAGGCGAGCCAGCCCCCCTCCCCGCTCTGGTCATTGGCGACTTCCTCCCACGCTCGACCTGCCTGTGCGGGTCGTCATGCGGCCTGCCGGAAGGAGCGCACGCGAAGCTGTGTGTGCGCTCCTGACGCTGTGCTCGGCGGCATCATCCTCGACGGGCAGGCTCGCCCGGTCATGGCCTTTGGCTCGCTCGGGCAGGGACACTCGAGGGAGGGACTGTCGGTGGACGCGCAGGCGATCGACACTGCTGTCCGGCGCGTGCGCTCGACGCGACGAGGCACCGTCGCCTGGTCCGGCTCCTCGTCGCCATGCTGGCGAACCTTGACCTGCTCGTTCCGGGACCGACCCTCGAGCGTCCCCTCGCTTCCGCTGCATGCTGCGAGTCCCTCGTCCTCGTCGCGCTCGACGTTCCTTGGCTTCCTTCTTCCCGCACTCGCTCTCGCTCCCTCTCGGCTGGCCGACCTTTGCCTTTCTCCCTTTCCTCGTCCTTTCGCCTCGACAAGCGCGCGCCGGTCGCCCCCTACCCTCTATCTCTCTCTCTCTCTCTCGCCGCCCGTCCGTCAAACAAGATGCTCCCCGTCCTCGCCCTCGTCGGCCTGTGCGCCGCCCTCCTTCCCTCGAGCCTCGCCCGGCCCGTCGCCGACGCCGCACCGACCGTCGACCTCGTGATCTGGCGGTCCATCCCTCCCTCCCTCGGCATGTACGACTCGACGCTCCCGCGTCATTCGAACGAGGACGGCGTCCATGCGCTGGCTGCAGCACTCGCCAAGCGCGCGCCGGCCCTCGTCATCCCCAACCCCAAGGTCGTGCCGAACCCGAAGAACCCGGCGTTCTCGAGCAGCCTGGCGGCGACGCAGTCGACGACGTCGACGAGTACGACTACGACTGCAGCCCCGACGACCTCCAAGGCGACGACGACGACCACCACCACGACGAGCGCTCCTCAGCCGACGTCGCCTGTGTACAAGGGCGGCTTTGCGACCTTTTACGTGCGTCTCGACTCTCTCATGGGCCTCTCGAGCGCGAGTATGGCCGAAACTGACGACTCGCGAGCAGTACCAGGGCGGCAACGCGGGCAACTGCGGGTGGTACCTCCAGGGTGGGTCCGGCTCTCTCGCTTTCTCTCTCGCTCGCCCGCTGACCTCGCTTTCTCCTCCTCAGACACCGACTACATCGTCGCGCTCCCGACAAAGACGTACGCCAATGGCGCCCACTGCGGCAAGTACGTCCGGGTAACGCGGCCGAGCACGGGCAAGAGCGTCGTCGCCATGGTTGCCGACTCGGTGCGCGCATTCTCTCGTCTCTCGCTCCCTCGCGTTCTCAGCAAGGGTCACTGACTCGTTGATCACGCAGTGCCCGACGTGCTACAACAACGAGAGCATCGACATGAGCTACGTCGCCTTCACGAGCATCGCGACCGAGGAAGAGGGCATGGTGCGTCGACGCTCGCTCTATATCTCCTCCTCCCTCCCGCCCGCCTGACCCTTCTCACTCGGCGCATACAGGTCGCCGTCACGTGGCAGTTCATCTAGTCGATATGGCGAGGGGAGAGAACTCTCGCCTGTAGATTTCGGAGAAGCGGCGAGGCAGGAGGACGGCCGAGGTGGACCCGCAGGACGGGCCGCCGCTCGCGCATTGTGTCACGCACACTTTAGTTCGTATCTCGAGCGTCGCCAGATCGAGCGAGAGTCGCGAGAAGCAGATCCGCTGCCGGGAAAGCGCTCGCGAGAGAGCACTCGTCCGGGGCGGTCCGAGCGCGTGCGAGAGGGCGCAAAAGCCGACAACGTGAAGCGTGCAGCATGTCTTGATACTTTGTGGGCGAGCATGAGCGCGTCGAGAGCTCGCACGGCAGCCTTGACCGGCGGTGGCGGAACTGGCTCGAGCGGCCGCGCAGACGTGCGTGCCCCCTCACCTCGTTCGAGCGGTTCAAGCACACAGCGACCGTCTCACACGTCGCCCTGGAGCGTACAGCGTTTGCGTAGGGCAGGACGTAGTAACGCAAGAGAGCGAGAGACGCGTTGGGGAACGCAAGCTGATGAGCTCCGCCGGCCTCGAGCGCGACGTTGGCACGGTCCACCGCGTCGGCCGCAGCCCGAGGGAAGCGAGTAAGGGCTCGCCAGCCAGGGACGAGCCGCCACAGTGGCGTAGACGAGCGCGAGCACGAGTCTGCGAAGGTGGCCGAGCGCCGGGCCCGAAGGGCGAGATGTGGGAGGGTCGACAAGGGACGCGGCGGCGACGAGCGGGCGAGGGAGCGGCCAACAGGCGCGAACGGCGATGACGAAACCACGGTCGGCGAGGAGAGGAGGGAGAGCTGGGGAAGTCGCCGATAAGCTCGAACGCCGAGCGCGTCCAACGCTCGAGAGAAGGCTGAAGTTGGTTCGGACGACACCGAGCGCTGGATTGCTAACGACGTCAAGTAGAACTCGAGATGCACAAAAGAGCGGTGCACGAGAGAGAGGAGAGGGAAAAAGGAAAGACACGTTGGGGAGGAAGGCCAGCTCGGCGTCTTCGCATCTCGCTCCGCCTACCTCTCTCCTCCTGCTCCCTCCCCTCCCCCTCCACACGCACTCAAAGGTCTTAACTGCCCTCTTGAAGCGACCCCCCTCTCTCACCAAACCCCCTACCGACCCACCTCATCACCAACCCCAACCCCCATCTCGTTGCCACCATGGCCGCTCCCCTCGCCGGCGCCGCCGCAACCCTCCCTCACGCCGTCGACACGGCCACGACGACCGCCAAGCCGGGCCGTGCCCCGCTGCGCATGCGCCACCCGGACTACTCGCAGGGCGACGTTGTCGAGTCGTCCGACTCGGACCGCGAGGCGAGCGACTCGGAGGGCGAGACGACCGCCGTCGACGACGGCACCTACCAGGACGACAACTTTGTCCGCAAGGTGCTCGCCAAGGAGCGTCCTCTGCCGCCCATCACGCTCAAGACGCTCCCGCAGAACATCAACGTCATCTCGACCCTCGCCCTCACCGTCGTCCCCGCCCTCGCCATCTACGGCGCGTTCACGACGCAGATCAAGTGGCAGACGGCTTTGTGGAGCGTCATCTACTACTTCTACACTGGCCTCGGTGCGTCCCATCCTCCTCTACCTCCTCCTCTCGCGTCCCGACCTTCTCCTCGCCGACCCGTGCTGACCAATTGCCTCCCCCTGCCCCAGGTATCACGGCCGGGTACCACCGCCTGTGGGCTCACCGCAGCTACACGGCGTCTTTGCCGCTCCAGTACTTCCTCGCTCTCGGAGGATCTGGCGCTGTCGAGGGTGCGTCCCGCTCCTTCTTCCTCTCCCCTGTCCTCCCTCCCCGCGTTCGCGAGCGACGACTGACGACGTCCTCGATTTCGTCGCGCAGGCTCGATCAAGTGGTGGAGCCGTGGTCACCGTGCGCACCACCGCTACACCGACACCGACCTCGACCCGTACTCGGCGCAGAAGGGCTTCTGGTGGTCGCACATCGGCTGGATGGTCGTCAAGCCCCGTCGCACGCCCGGTGTCGCCGACGTCAGCGACCTGTCGGTCAACGAGGTCGTCAAGTGGCAGCACCGGTGGTACGTGTACCTCATCGTCGGCATGGGCTTCGTCTTCCCGACCCTCGTCGCCGGCCTCGGCTGGGGCGACTACCGCGGCGGCTTCTTCTTCGCCGGCGCCGCTCGCCTCCTGTTCGTCCACCACGTGCGTCCTCGTCTCTCCTTCCCCTCTTCTGCGTCGTCCCCGAGCAGTTCCTGACTCGCCTCGACCCCTTTCTCGCGGCCTCCTCCTCATACAGTCGACCTTCTGCGTCAACTCGCTCGCCCACTGGCTCGGTGAGACGCCGTTCGACGACAAGCACTCGCCGCGCGACCACTGGATCACGGCGCTCGTCACCGTCGGCGAGGGCTACCACAACTTCCACCACGAGTTCCCCCAGGACTTCCGCAACGCGATCCAGACCTTCCAGTGTACGTCCCTCCTCAGCCTCTCAACTCTGTCATGCCCGTCTCCTGTCGAGCGTCCCTGACCCTTGCCGTCCTCGCGCCCGCAGACGACCCGACCAAGTGGTTCATCATCGTCATGCACTGGCTCGGCCTCGCGTCGCAGCTCAAGACGTTCCCCGACAACGAGATTCGCCGCGGCCAGTACGCCATGAAGCTCAAGGCCGTCGCTCGCGAGGCCGACGAGATCCGCTGGCCCAAGTCGTCCAACCACCTCCCCGTCCTCACGTGGGACGAGTTCCAGGAGGCGTGCAAGACTCGCCAGCTCATGGTCATCTCGGGCTACATCCACGACGTCTCGACCTTCATCGACGAGCACCCTGGCGGCCGTGCGCTCATCAAGACCCGCCTCGGCCGTGACGCGACCAACGCCTTCTACGGTGGCTACTGTGCGTCCCTCCTCCCCTTCTTCTCGTCCCACCTCCCCTCGAACGTCGCACTGACTCTCTCGAACCCGACCCGACCCACAGACGACCACTCGAACGGCGCCAACAACGTCCTCGCGCAGTACCGCGTCGGCGTCATCGAGGGCGGCTACGAGGTCGAGCACCTCAAGCGCTTCTCCAAGCTCATCGAGGACCTCAAGGAGTCGGGCGCCGACGGCGTCGCCGGCAAGAGCGCCGACCTCCACGGTGGCGCCAAGAGCTCGACCCGCACGACCGTCATCAAGGGCGACCCGCAGCTCAAGTCGGCGCCGCTCGCCGACGTCGCTCAGCCGCCGACGTTCAAGAACGTGCGCTTGACGGGCGGTCTTGGTCACGCTATCTACGCGTGACCCAGTCCCGTCTCGTCGTTCCACCTCGTCGTTCTTCCTCGTTACGCCCCTTCGCAGTTGCAGCAGTTGTTCCCCTTACCCCTAGCCTCCTTCCTCCTCACCTCGACTTAGTGACCCCTCTCGACGTAGATCGTCCTCGTCTCCCCTTCACGTCCTTCTTTTTGTGTAGCTCTACCCTCTTTACCCGCCCTCCTCTCCCTCTCCCCCGTCGGTCGGAGCATGGCTCGTCCTCGCTCGAGACCCGCTTAGTCGTCGTGTTTTGGATTGACACCCTTGTCAGTGCCGTTCTGCGTGTCGCGAGCAAGAGAAAGCCGGCGAAAGGGAGGGACGAGAGCGATTTGGTCCCGCTCGATGTTTCCGACGAGGAGACGGCGCTGCTCAAGCTCCCACTCTCGCGTCTCTGCGGCTCAGGTCGCCTCGTCTCGGGCTCACTGTTGCTGTCAGGACCGGCCCTCAGTCTCGGCTGGATCTTTGCGCCGGCGAGCTCGCCGAGAAGAGGAAGAGGGGAACGAGCGCGAGCGGTCGAGGAAAGGACGCCCGCTTTCGAGAGCTGCCAGTGCGTCTCACACTCTGCACGTCGAGCCATAGACTTTGGCTACCTTGCCCTCGAATGGCGACACATTTCGGCGCAGCATTCTCGGAACGAAGCCGAGCTCGCGCTTGAGAAGGTCGACCGAGACGAGATCTTTCTGCAGCGAGACAAGCCCAAGCGCTGTACAGGGTCGGCGAGTCCCTCAGTACGACGCTCGGAGGCTCCGGACGAGCAGGGCATCCGTAAGTGTCGAGACACGCGCGCTCGCACCGCAGCAACGCTGAGAGAAGAGAGAGGCAGTACCGCTGGCGTGCGGCTGGACGAGCACGCAGCAGCGAGCACAGTGCGCGACGAGTAGCAGAAGCCGACAAAGAGCGTAAACAGGCTAGACGACACGTCGTCGTGCGTCGTGCGTCAGCGCTCGTTCCTGGGGAGCGTCGAGAAAGGTCCGCGTCGGCGACGACGAAGCGCGTCGAGCGCAGCGGCGTCCGTCGAGAGTCGGTCATGAGAGTAAACGAGCGGTGACGATTCGACGGCGCTTGAGCTGGCGAGAGGTGACGAGCGACGGGAGCGCGGCGAGGAAGGACGAGGGCCCGTGCGCGGGTTTCCCGACGCTTGCAGGCGTGCTGCAGCTAACGCAGCCGCGCTCGACGAGGCACAGCGGACAGCGTCGAGTCTCCTGAGCTCATCTTCGCCCGGAAGAGCATCAAGGACGCCGCAGAGCGCGCTAGAGCGGCGGTAGAGTCGAATGAGGGAGCGAGGAAGGGAAGGCAGAGAGGGTGCGGAGCAGGCGACCGCAAGTTCTGCCCTGCTCGAGTGGGCGCACAGTCAAGAGACGCAGCGAGAGCGAGCGAGAGGACGAGAGGTATTTTGCGCGTTTGCCGCGGACATGTCGGAGGCGACCGCAAGCGAGGAGGGCGGAGTGGGGATAGACGAGCGAGGTCGGGCGGAACGAGGCTGCGCTTTGCTCTGCTCCACCTGCACCGATGCCAGACCTCTCCTGCGGCCCCTCGCCAGCCCCTCTTGACCCCTCGCCGCCGTCAACCCTCGTCTGCCTCGCCGCTCAACACCGTCGACCCAACTGCACCGCCTCGCTCCCAAATCGGCCGGCTCGACTCTGAACCAGCAGGCTCATGACAAGGTGAGCAATCCCTCCCATTTTCCTGCTGGCGAACCGGCGAGTCAGAGGGGAAGGATTGGTCGCGTCGCGCTCGGCGGTGGGAGTCGAGCGAGCTGAGGCGGGGCTCACGGCGGCTCTGTGTGCATGGCGGGGCTTGTAGCACCGAGCGACGATGCAATAGAGCCAGTCTAGCGACTCAGAGCAGCCAGGCTGGAGGGTGAGAGGTGCAAGCGCTTTCGTTGGGTTGGGCGCTGCCTCGTCGTTCGTTGTGCTCTCTCTCCCCTTCTCCTCACCCCCCCTCGGCTTCTCCAAGCCCAGCGCACCTTTCCTTCTCCCGATACCCCCTCCTCCACCACTCGCACCCCCATTATGGCCTCCAAGGTGCGTCCGCCCTCCCTCGCCCGCCCCGCCGGCACCTCGTCCTGGTCCCACCCCACCCCTCCCTCGCTGACCCTCCCTCGCCCCCTGCAGCCCATCCGCGAGTTCGACGCCAAGCTCCTCGTCGCCTACCACCTCGCCCGCGCTCCCACCGTCGGCTCCAAGGTCCAGGCGCGCGAGGGCTTTGCCTCGCCCGAAGTGAAGGTCGCCCAGGTGCGTCCCCAGCTTCTCCCTCCTCTCGTTCTTCCACGAGCGTGCCCATCTGGGAGTCTGGTCCACTTTCTCGAGCGACTGGGACGAGCGCGCATCCGCCAGGAGAGCTGCGGCGGGTTGCCGGGATTGTGCGACGAGTGCCGGACTTGGCCCTCGTTCGACGTGATCGCAACAGCGATCTACGCGGCGAGGGCGCGCACTACCTCGTACAGCCTCGCACGACCCTGCACGAGCCGGCGTCGTCGAAATCGGACGTGATTTCGCGCATCGCCCGTGCCCCGTCGACCGAGCCCAACTTCGCAGCCGGACCTTCAGCAACTCTGACTGACCCTCTTGCCTTGCCTCGTCTACAGGTCTCGTGGGACCCGGAGACGAACCAGATCACGCCCGATGCGGCGCTCCCGCACTGGGTCTTCACCGACAAGCTCGTCGTCAAGCCCGACCAGCTCATCAAGCGCCGCGGCAAGGCTGGCCTTCTGTACGCTCCCCTTTCTCCGTCCCGCCCGACGCAGCGAGCACGAGGGACCTTCACTGATCCTCTGCTCCCACGTGCAGCGCGCTGAACAAGACTTGGGACGAGGGCAAGCAGTGGATCCAGGAGCGCGCCGGCAAGCAGGTCCAGGTCCGTCCCTCTCGCCGAGTCTGCTCCTCTTTGTCCAAGCCGAGTAACCCGTCCTGACCCTTGACGTCACGCCTTGCCCCCCACCAGGTCGAGAAGACGACGGGCACCCTCACCAACTTTATCGTCGAGCCCCTGTGCCCGCACCCGTCCGACTCGGAGTACTACATCTGCATCAACTCGGTCCGCGAGGGCGACGTGATCCTCTTCACCCACGAGGGCGGTGTCGACGTCGGCGATGTCGACGCCAAGGCGCTCACGATCCTCGTTCCGGTCGGCGGCGAGCTCCCCTCGCGCGAGGAGATCAAGACCCAGCTCCTCCGCGACGTCACCGGCGCCGAGCGCCTCGACGCCCTCGTCGACTTTGTCGTCCGCCTGTACGCCGTCTACGTCGACCTGCACTTCGCCTACCTCGAGATCAACCCGCTCGTCGCCGTCGAGAACGCGTCGACCGGCAAGATCGACATCTCGTACCTCGATATGGCCGCCAAGCTCGACCAGACCGCCGAGTTCATCGTCGGCCCCAAGTGGGCCATCGCCCGCGACGCGTCCGTCATCAACCCGGGCGCCGCGTCGGCGTCGGCGAACGGCAAGATCTCGGCCGACAAGGGCCCGCCCATGTTCTGGCCGCCTCCTTTCGGTCGCGACCTGACCAAGGAGGAGTCGTACATCGCCAAGCTCGACGGCTCGACCGGCGCGTCGCTCAAGCTCACCGTCCTCAACGCCGAGGGCCGCGTCTGGACCATGGTCGCCGGCGGTGGTGCCTCGGTCGTCTACTCGTGCGTCCTCCTCTCCCTGCGTCCTCACGGCGAGTCTCCCACGTTCCACGAGTACGTCCACTGACCTTGCACGCCGTTCCACTCGCAGGGACGCCATCGCTGCTCACGGTTTCGCTCACGAGCTCGCCAACTACGGCGAGTACTCGGGCGCGCCGACCCAGACCCAGACGTACGAGTACGCCAAGACCATCCGTGCGTCCTCTTTCTCCCTCGCCTTTCCTTCCCTTCCTTGTCACAGAGCGCGACGCTGACCCTCTCTTTCGCCCCGTCCTCGTCCTCGTCCTCGTCCCCTCTCAGTCGACCTCATGACTCGCGGCGCTCCTCACCCCGAGGGCAAGGTCCTGTTCATCGGCGGCGGCATCGCCAACTTCACCAACGTCGCCGCGACTTTCAAGGGCATCATCACGGCGCTCAAGGAGTACCAGCACCGCCTCCAGGAGCACAAGGTCCGCATCTTTGTCCGCCGCGGCGGCCCCAACTACCAGGAGGGCCTCAAGGCCATGCGCCTCCTCGGCGAGACGCTCGGCGTCGAGATCCACGTCGCCGGCCCGGACGACCACATCACGTCGATCGTCCCGCTCGGCCTCGGCATCAAGAAGTCGACCCCGGCCGCGCTCCTCAAGGCGTCGTCGTCGCTCGACGGCACCCTCACGCCGGTCCAGCCGTCGTCGCCGACCCAGGCGTCCAAGCCCCTCCCGGCCGAGGTCCAGTCGGGCGACCGCGCCCAGCCGCAGGACAACATCGTCGCCTTCCAGGACAAGGTGCACGCGACCGAGGGCCGCCCGTGGTACCGCCCGTTCGACGAGAACACGCGCTCGATCGTGTACGGCCTCCAGCCGCGCGCCATCCAGGGCATGCTCGACTTCGACTTTGCGTGCGGCCGCCAGATCCCGTCGGTCGCCGCCATGGTCTACCCGTTCGGCGGCCACCACGTCCAGAAGTTCTACTGGGGCACCAAGGAGACGCTCCTCCCCGTCTTCCAGTCGATGAAGGAGGCCGTCGCCAAGTGCCCCGACGCCGACGTCGTCGTCAACTTTGCCTCGTCGCGCTCGGTGTACCAGTCGACGCTCGAGGCGCTCGAGTTCTCGCAGATCAAGGCGATCGCGCTCATCGCCGAGGGCGTCCCCGAGCGCCACGCGCGCGAGATCCTCCACGCCGCCGAGCAGAAGAAGGTCATCATCATCGGCCCGGCGACGGTCGGCGGCATCAAGCCGGGCTGCTTCCGCATCGGCAACACGGGCGGCATGATCGACAACATCCTCGCGTCCAAGCTGTACCGCGCCGGCTCGGTCGGCTACGTGTCCAAGTCGGGCGGCATGTCGAACGAGCTCAACAACATCCTCGCCAACACGACCAACGGCACGTACGAGGGCATCGCCATCGGCGGCGACCGGTACCCGGGCACGACTTTCATCGACCACCTCCTGCGGTACGAGGCCGACCCCAACTGCAAGCTCCTCGTCCTCCTCGGCGAGGTCGGCGGCATCGAGGAGTACCGCGTCATCGAGGCCGTCAAGTCGGGCCAGATCAAGAAGCCCATCGTCGCGTGGGCCATCGGCACCTGCGCCAAGATGTTCGCGACCGACGTCCAGTTCGGCCACGCCGGCTCGATGGCCAACTCGGACCTCGAGACGGCCGAGTCGAAGAACAACGCCATGCGCGCCGCCGGCTTCATCGTTCCGCCGACGTTCGAGGACCTCCCGCAGGTGCTCAAGGAGACGTACGACAAGCTCGTCGCCGACGGCAGCATCCAGCCCAAGCCCGAGGTCGCGCCGCCCCAGATCCCGATCGACTACAAGTGGGCCCAGGAGCTCGGCATGGTCCGCAAGCCGGCCGCCTTCATCTCGACCATCTCGGACGAGCGTGGCCAGGAGCTCCTGTACGCCGGCATGCCCATCTCGCAGGTGTTCGAGGAGGACATCGGCATCGGCGGCGTCCTGTCGCTCCTGTGGTTCAAGCGCCGCCTCCCGTCCTACGCGACCAAGTTCCTCGAGATGGTCCTCATGCTCACGGCCGACCACGGCCCCGCCGTCTCGGGCGCCATGACGACCGTCATCACGGCCCGTGCCGGCAAGGACCTCGTCTCGTCGCTCGTCGCCGGCCTCCTCACGATCGGCGACCGCTTCGGTGGCGCCCTCGACGGCGCCGCCGCCGAGTTCACCAAGGCGTTCGAGGCTGGCCTCACGCCTCGCGAGTTCGTCGACTCGATGCGCAAGGCGAACAAGCTCATCCCCGGTATCGGCCACAAGATCAAGTCCAAGGCCAACCCGTGCGTCCTCCTTTTCTCTCTCTCTCTCTCTCCCCCTTTCCTCTTGCCTGTTGCACACCTTCACGTGGGCCTGCGCGACCGCGTCGAGCAACACTGACCGTCGTCGTCGTCGTCAACTTGCAGGGACAAGCGTGTCGAGCTCGTCAAGAACTACGTCTTCAAGCACTTCCCCTCGACCAAGATGCTCGAGTACGCCCTCGCCGGTGCGTCCCTTCTTCCCCTTGTACTCTCTGCGAGCGCAGCGAGCTGCTCGCGAGCGAAGCGAGCCGCCACTGACCCCTCCTTGTCCCCCTCCCTCTCCCCCTCCTCCCCCCGGCCTTCTACCTTCCTCCTTCTACAGTCGAGGACGTTACGAGCGCTAAGAAGGACACGCTCATTCTCAACGTCGATGGCTGTGAGTGGCGCTTTCCGCAGACCTCGAGGAAGAGAAACTGACCTCGTGCTCGTCGAATCGCAGGCATCGCCGTCTGCTTCGTCGACCTGCTCAAGAACTCGGGCGCGTTCACGGCCGAGGAGGCCAACGAGTACGCCAAGGTGCGTCTTCCGTCTCTCTGTATTCTCGGGAACGAACCCTGTCGTCGTCGTCGTCGTCGTCGGGGAGGAAGAGACCCAGTTCCTGACTTTTGCCTCGTCTCGCAGATCGGCACGCTCAACGGTCTCTTCGTCCTCGGTCGCTCGATCGGCTTCTGCGGTCACTACCTGTGCGTCCCCTGTCACTCTCTCTTTCGAGTCCCTCGTCGTCGTCGAGCCGGCAGAAGGAGCGAAACTGACCTCGCCGCCTCGCCTCACCCTGCAGCGACCAGAAGAGGCTCAAGCAGCCGCTGTACCGCCACCCGGCCGACGACATCCACATCGAGCCGTTCAACCCTCGCATCCTCGCCACCGAGCGCAAGTAGGGTCCGGCTCGTCGTGCTCCCTTTTCCTCGTCCCCCTCTCTGGTCCGGTCTCCTGGTTTAGACGGCGACGCTCCTCTCTCTCTCTCTCTCCTCTCTCTTCTTCTTGGGTAGTACACTCTCTCGTCTCTCCCCTCTCTCGTCTAGCGCGGTCCGCGACTCTCTCTCGTTCTCTCTCGCCGCAACGGTCGTTTCAGTGCCTTTCTGCGTCGTCCCTCGAGAGACGATCTGCTGCACACGCTAGCTCCCGCCCGTGTTGATCTGTCGGTGCGGCGCAGAAAGAGAGAGAGAGAGAGAGGGTCTGTGCGTCGTCGAGGACGAGAGTGCGCTGGACCTTCTCAAATCGTCGAGCGGACGTTCTCGCTCGAGCGACAGCCTCTCGACGCCCGAGACGTCGTGCACCCTCTCAGGAACTGATGATAGCAGACGCAGTGAAGCGCACCGAGAGCGAGAGGTCGACTCTTGTGTGGGAAGGACGAGCAGGACGAGAACGAGGGCCAGGCGGTCGTCGAGCTGCCACCGCGAGAGCACGTCTCTGCGGCCGGATTGGGGACAGGCGAGAGCGACGTACAGGGAGCGAGAGTGCACCGGGGCGCGCTCGCCGACCCTGCTCCACCTCGTGCTCGTCGCCGCCTCCTGAACCGTCGTTTCCTGCGCCTCGCTCTCTCTCTCTCTCTCCTGCGAGGTTGCCGCAAGGCAGGGGGGTCGCTGGGCCGTACAGCCCTCGACGACGGGTAAGCGACGACACACGCTCACTCGACGCAGGGCCGGCGAGCGACGATGCGCGCGGCTGTGAGCGCTCGGGCCTCTGAACGGCGGTTTTCTCTCGCTCGGACGCGCCGCACGCTCTCGCTATCCGACGAGACGACGATGAACGACGGCAAGTAGGGTTTAAAGAACTGCACCCGTTTTCTAGACGGCCCCTATACATGGCGAGAAGCTCCTCCTTTCCTCCTCGCTCCTCCTGCTCCGAGTCCCTCCTCCTCCGCCTTACCACAGCAGCGACGTCATGCCAGACCGCATGCGGCTGTAGTCCATCAAGCCCTCGGTGCGACCGACCGCCGCAACCGCGATGCTGCGAGAGGGCGCGAGAGGGAAAGAGAGAGAGAGGGAGAGGAGGAGAACGTCAGGTTCCCGCCGAGCTTGTCGAGGCGCGACAACAGAGAGAGAGAGAGGACGCACTCCTTGTCCCACAGGTACTTCTTGGCGCAGCGCTGCACGTCCCCAACCGAGACGGCGTCGTGTCGAGCGGTGGACAGCGAAGGCTCGACCGGCGCGCACGCACCGCTCCTCGCGCTCTTGTGGCGCTCGCCGGCGCCAGAGCTCTTCTCTCGACGACGGACAGGGTCCTCGGTAAAGTTCCCCTGCGTGCCGAGCCTCTTCGTCAGCGCAGTCGCTCTCGAGAGACGTGTCCGCGCTCGACGCAGAGTCGAGCGAGTCACGTCGCGAGGCGGTATCGCGCCAGGCGCCATGCTCGAGGAGCCGCCTCAAGCCGTCGACCGAGAGGTACGCCGGTCGAGGAGGCACAGTATGGCGAGCTCGTGACCGACCTTCTCCTGCTGAACATCCTCCTCAGCTCAGAGTCAGGCGGCAACTCCTGAGCGCTCGTCGTTCATGGCCACCTCGCGCCTCTATCCGCTGATGATGCACGATGCTGTACAGCGTGTCTCGAGAGCGATCGAGCGAGAGCGAACGCGCCGAGTGCAGTCGAGCTACCGCGCTTTGACCTCGACTCGACGCTCGGACCGCTCGCAAAGGGCAGCGCACGGTCGCCGGACCTCTCGAACTACACTCTGCCGAGCCCTTGAGCAGAGTCTCGAACGTGCAGGAGCAGGCTCGGGAGCACAGCTCGACGAAGCAGCTCGCCTCTCGTCCTCTCGAGCTCGATTCGGCCCTCTGTTCGCTCGCTCTCTGCTCGCGAAGCCTCGCGAGGCCTCGATACTGGGCAAAAACCGTCCCAGAGCTGCCTCACACCCCAACCCGAGCTCTGTGGCAGCAGGAGGAGAGGGCAGAGGAGCGAGAATGTGGGGAAGAGGCGAGCCGAGCCGGCGCGCGCGCCCTCCTCGTCCGACGTTTTTCCTCGCTCCTCGCTCGCCATCCCGCGTAAGGGGGGTGTTGTAGGGTACCCAGATGTGCAACAGAAAATGCTCGAGACGATGGCGACCTTCCCAAGTCGAAGCGAGTCGAGGTGCGAGAATGAGAACGATCGGGAGGTGAACCGAATGCGTGTGGCGTGCGTTTGCAAAGTAGTACTTTCCTTTGTCCAACCACCCAGGTTCATTAGCTCTCTCCTAATTATCAAGCTGCGGGATTACCTCGAGACGTTGGGGCATGCATACCGGGCTGGAAATAGTAATAGTGATATCAAAGCGCGATAGCTTGACCCCCGGGGTCCGAGCGGACGCTCCGAGCTTGACCCTCGAACCTTGTGTTCGAGCGGACGCCGGGGTTTGACCCTCTGGACCCGGGCGGACGCGTCGCAGCTGCTTACGCACTCCCTTCTCTTTTGTTATTTTTTTGCTCTTGTGCCCTTTGGGCCGAGCCGGTCGCGTCGCCAGAGGACGAGGGAGCAGGGAGTCGCGCTTTTTGGCTCGAGGTGCAGGTGGACTCGCTCCTTCTTTTCCCGGCTCCGTTCTCTCGCCCGAGCTGCTCGAGTCGAGCTCAGAGAGTGCTGCTCGACAGGTCTGCTGAGCACTCGGGGCGAACCAGGGGCACGAGAGAGAGAGTTCCCCTCGGCAGCTCTCCACTTGAGAAGGCTCGCTCGGACCCTTTCCAGGGGCCGCCTCGTCCTGCTCTCTCGGCTCGACCCGTGGTTCGATCGTCGTCATACAGTGCTCAGAGTGCGGCACTGGTTCGAGCACTCGAGCGTCGCGAGCGCACAAGCGACCGCCGCCTCCTCGACCTCGCTTCTCGACGCAAAGTCGAACTGGCGTTCCCGGCGCACGTCTGCGAAGCGAGCCCATCGTCGAGCACTCGTCTCGTTCGGTCGATCGAGCGCTGCACCGTCGAGAAAGAGCGAGGTTGTACAGCGAAGAAATCGAGTCCGTCCTCCTCGACCTGCTCCTGAGCGCAGAGTCGTGCGAGCGGTACCGTTAAATGTCTGCAGATTCGGGCCCATCGTCGAGTACTTGTCTTGACATGTCGATCGAGCCATGAGTGCCCAGGAAAGAGCGAGGCCTGAGCGCGAGAAACCGATTTGACGCGAACCGGGCAGATCTGCTCGTTCCGGCTCGGTAGCGCTGTCTGCGGACGCGTCGAGACCTGCTCTCGAGCAGAAGCCGCTTTCGAAGCCGGGCACGACAGCGAGCGAGACGTGAAACTTAGCTAGACGGGCTCAAGTCGAACGTCAAAGGCGAAGGAAAGCCAGGCTCGCGAGAAAATCGCTCGCCGACTCTCAGTGTCTGTTGCACGCTCCCTCTGCCAGCTCTCGGTCTACGTCGCAGCCCTCTACTTGGCCGGCGGGAACCATTCCTCGTCTGGATGCTCGTCAAAGTAGGCCGTCGCCCACTCGCTCTCGACCTTTTTGATGACGCGAGCCGGGTTGCCGACGGCGACGACGAACGGCGGGATGCTCTGCATGAGAGGAGAGAGAATTAGTCGCGATTCTGTGTCACAGGTAGCCGCACGCCTCGCTCGGGCGGCGAAAAGGGCACGGGCAGAGAGCGAATGGGCCGACGCACCTTGGTCACGACGCTGCCTGCGCCGATCGTCGTCCCTCGCCCAATCTTGACGCCGGGCAGAACGACAACCGATGCGGCGAGCCAGCAGTCGTCGCCAATCTCGATGGGCGCGCCCATCTCGGGGCCGGCCGTGCCGTTGCGGATGGCCGGGTCGGTCGGGTGCGTGCCCGATAGGCTGCGAGAGAGCGAGAGAAGTGGACGGGCAAGGTGCACCAGGACGAGTCAGTGACGCTGTACGACGCTGTCGACGGGACGGTGGCCGCGGTCGGGCCGGGCAAGAGGAGGAGGAGGACACGAACAGCGAGACGTTGCTCCCGCAGAGCACGCGCGAGCCGATCTTGACGTCGCACGTGTTCAAGCAGACAAAGTTGAAGTTGAGGAAGACCTGCAGGACGGGCAGTGCGTGTCAGTCGCCGCTTGAAGAGCAAGAAAGAGCCGGCCCTCGTCGACGAGGCGAGGACCGGCTCGTGCGTCGCCGCAGAGTGAGGTGGACGTACGTTCTTGCCGAAGCTGCGGATGAAGATGAAGGTGTCAGACTGGCTCGTGCGAGATCACGCCCGCACACGTGGGGCGAGAGGAGGTCGAGGAGGAGGGGACGCACGAGATGCGCTCGCGGTAGTCGAGCTTCATCGGCGGCTCGACCCAGGGATAATCGCCCAGCTGCTCGTCGTCTTGTTGCTCGTCGTCCTTCTTTGGCGGCAGCTCGGGCAGGCTCAGGACACATCTGAAGGGGGGAAGGACCGGGTCAGCTCCTCGTCGTCGTGGGGGCGGCGGGGAGAGGGGAACAGAGAGAGGGAGGGGGGCGACGCACTTGCGCAGAAGCTCGACCTGCTCCCTCCTGGTGACGTCGAGAGCGTCGCGGTTGTAGGCTGTGCAGGCCTGGCTCGCCTTGCGCCGTTCGGCGGTGAGGTCCGGGACGAAGGCGGTGTAGAGCTCGCCTCGCTCTGCGGGACGAAGCGTCAGGGAGAGACGCGTGGGAGGAAAGAGAGAAGGTGCGCACCCATGCGAGCGCGGTTCTCTGCGAGGTTGATGCCGTTCCACGTCGACATTGTCGAGAGGTGATGAAGGTGGGGTCGAGGCTGGGGAAGCGCGAGGAGCGGTCGGGCGATGCGGCCAGGGCGTGTATGGATGCTGTACGCTCAGGAGAGCAGGTGTAGCAGGTGCAGGCTCGTCTGTGAGCTGATGCGGGAGGGGAAGAGAGTGCGCCGAGTTCGAGCTGCAGCACCGCCTCGCCGGCTCTCGCTTCTCTCGTGCCGAGCTGCCGGGGTGCGCAGCAGCCAGCCTCGTGCAAGTCTGGAGCAGGCGACGGCTGCGACTCGCTCGACGCTCGACGCCCTCGCCCACAAGGAACGGCTCGCTTCTTTCGCTCGCACTCGACGACGCTCGCAGCTGCCCCACAACTCGTCATGCATGGCGCAAGCGTGGTACTCGTCAAGGGAACTGCTACAGAATGTGTGAGCGTTTACTTGAAGACTGCGGGCGCGAGAGAGGGTCAGTCGGCGGACACGAGGGGGCGACGAGAGAGGGTCGAAGAGCGACGCACCCTTGCCGTCGGCGTACTCCTTGCCGTCGACGGTGTGCTCCCAGGTCCAGGCGCCAGTGATGAACTCCCGGTCCTTGACCCAGTCGAGCGGCTCGAACGAGTACGACTCGGCGTCCGGCGCGACCTCGAAGACGGCGTGGGCGTCCGAGCCGCGGAGGAGGTAGGCACCACTGCAGAGATGCACGACGCGGTCAGGATGGACGCACGACGAGGGAGAGGGAGGCAGAGGGAGAGGACGCACGTGATGAGCGAGTCGTTGGCCTTGCCGTAGACACCCATCGAGCCGAAGAGGTACTTGCGCGACCTGTTTCGGCGAGCAACGACGAGGTCAGTACGCCTGCACCGCTCGAGAAAGGCGAGAGAAGTGACGTACGCCTCGAGGCGAGCGTGGAGACCTGTCGACGAGAGGAAGGGGGAGCACAAGGTCAATACGAGGACGACGAGGATGACGGGGAAAGTCGAGAGGGACGCACCGCCGACGAGGTTGGACGACATGAAGACCTGGGTGAGCTCGTCGTTGTACTCTGCAGGCGAGGACGAGACGAGGTCAGTTCCCGTGTCGGAGGGGAGAGGAGGACGCGAGCGCGAGAGGAGGACGTACTGTAGGTCACCTTCCAGAGCGAGTAGTCCTGGGTGAAGGCCGGGTACTGGCTGTCGAGCCACTTGAGGGCGTCGACCGTCTCGAGGTTCGAGTACTGGCGCTTCCACTCGTCGAGCGGGAACGACGCGGGCTTGCCGAGGGCCTCGCACGGGTGCTTGGCCTTGGGGGCCTCAGCCGCCGGCTCGTCGTCCTCCTCCTCCTTGGCGGCCGGCTTGGCCTCCTTCTTCGGGGCGGCGGCGGCCGGGGCGTCGGCCTTGAGCTTGGCCTCCTTCTTGGGCGGCGTGTAGACGACGGCCGTCTCGACCGGGGTCGGCTCGACCTTGCCGAGGACCTCGAAGAACGGCTGCTGGTGGATGACCGTCTGCCAGTAGCGGACCGTGTTGGGGTTGGCCTTGCGCCACTCGGCGTCGAGGACGTTCTCGAAGCCGCGGAAGAGGACCGACGCGACGAAGATGTCGGCGAGGGTGACGCGCTCGCCGACGAGGAAGGTGCGCGACGCGAGCGCCTTCTCGAGGTACTCGAGGTGCTTGACGGCCTTGGCCTTGGCGGCCTCGACGGCAGGCTTCTGGTACGGCGCGGCGCCGGTCAGGGGGCGGAACCAGGCGGCGAGCGACGGGAGGAGGTCGGCGTTGGCCCACGAGGCCCAGCGGAGCGCGTCGGCGGCGTCCTCCTTCGAGGCACCGAGAACGCCCGACTTGTTGTCCTGGGCGAGGTAGGACGCGATGGCGAGCGCCTCGGTGAGCTTGTAGTCGCCCTTCTCGAGCGCCGGGACCTGCGAGGGTTTGCGATTGAGGTCAGCGCGGCTCGCCCGGACAAGAACAGGCGCACGAGAACGAGAGAGAGAGAGGGGACGCACGAGACCGAGCGGGAACTTGGCGAGGTAGTCGGCACCGACACCGCCCTCAGCGAACGGGTTGACCTTGACCCACTCGACGTCGACGCCCTCGTACTTGGCGACGACGAGCGCAGCGCGGGTGCGGGGGTTGCCCTCGAACTGCGACGGCGAGAGAGCGAGTCAGTGATCAGGTTCTCATTGGAGCGGTCGTGCTGCTCGTCGTCGTCGTCGTCGTCGGCTCGCTCCGCCGATCCCTCGCTCGCCTCGTCCCGGCTCGACGAGGCCGCTCTCGCGCGCACTCGCTGCGAGAGCCACCAGGACAGCTGCACACGCCGCCGCGGCTGCCCCAGGAGCTGTGTGGCGAGCGTGGCGCAATTCTTGCTGGCGCGGGGTGGAGCGACGGGGGAACGTGGCCTCGCCAGAGGGACGACGACAACGCTGGGGGGGTCGGGGAGGGGCGCAGAGGGAGCGTGGACGTACACCGTAGACCTTGACAGCAGACATCTTGAGCAAGGAGCAGTAGGGTGTGCGTGAGAGGAGGGGAGGGGGAGCGCGGTCGTCGTCGCCTCCTCGAGCTCGAGCGCCGGCCTTCATCTCCGTTCCAGGCCCGCTCTCGTGCTGCACGCTCTCGCTGCATGCCTTCTTTGCGACTCGGTGAACTGCGACAACGAGCTCGTCGTTGCACTCAAGCCCGCCTGCCCCCTCGTTCATCGCGCTCGCTCCTCCTTCTCACCCTCGCCGCGACGGCCGTCCCACCGCTCCGCCGCCGCTCGCGTCTTGTCCGGCGTGAACGCCCGCCGGTTGCTCCACCGCGCCTTCCTCTCGCCGCTCGCGACCCACTCGGCGAACCCGGGCGATCCCTCGACGTCGCGCAGCACGGCCGCGCACGCCGGGAACCGCTCGGCGAGCGTGCCGCGCACGTCTGCGCTCGCAGCCGCGAGCGGGTGCGCGAGCGACAACGGGAACAGGTCGCACACCATGCTGAGCGTGTAGGCGATGCTGCACGCCGCCGCGCCGAACAGGACGCCGCCGCCCTTGAGCTCGCGAGGTCGGAGCGCCGCGTCGCGCACGGGGTCGGCCTGCGCGAGCTGGTGCTCGAGGCTGCGCAGGAAGGGCAGGATGCGCTCGCGCTCAAGGTCGGCGCGCTCGTCGCCCTCGAGCCAGGTTGGCGACGCTGCGAAATGGTACAGCGCGCTCGAGTTGAAGTCGGCGGCCGAGGCGAGCATGTCGACCCGGGCTTGGTCGAGCGCGTTCAGCTGCGTAGGGTCCGAGAGTCAGTCGCTGCTACGATTGCTTCTCTGCGTTGGAAAGAGAGGCTCGGGGCGCACCTGCTTGACGTGGTCTACCGCGAGCTCCTCCTCGACGACCCGTTCGAGGTACCGCAGGATGGCGCCCGTCTCGGCAAGAACCGCCTCGCCCTCGTCGCCCTTGACCTTGAGAACAGGAAGCGCGCTGAACGGCCACTCGTCCGGGTCGATGTCGCCACGCGCCTTGGCGGCGAAGTGGGCCTCGTCCTGTGGGGGGAGCAGCGTCATTCGCGGCCCCTGCTGCTTGGGAGAGGGCGGGACGTACATCGTAGGGGATCTCGGTGTAGGTGAACGGCACACGCGCAGCCTTGAGGAGGAGGAGGACCGGGTACGCTCGCCCTTTTCGTGACGACGAAGGGGGAGTGGGCGGGGTCAGCTCGGGCGCTGCGGGCGTGGAGAGAACGTGGAGCGCACCTCTGATGGGCCAGTAGACGAGCTCGAGCGTCGGCAGCATGTCGAGTGCGGTTGTCGAGACGAGAGAGCGAGGAGAATGGGTCCACGCTGCCCCACTTTGGCGTCGGCCGAGAATCGCAAGCTCTCTTTGCGGCCTCTCGACGAGACGAGCCGGCATACAGACGCGTCTAGGATTACCAGAGAGAGAAAAGAAGGTCAAGTAGAACAAATGGGGGTCGACAGGACGGCGGGCGCAAAAAGGGGAGGAAACTAGAAACAGGGCCGTGCGACGACCACGACGACCGCGACGACGGCCCGCTCAAGACGTCGCGAGCTCGTACACCGTCTCGGGCGTGAGCGACTTGAGGACGAGGCCCGGCTCGTCGGCCTCTGGCCCCCACACGCGCTTGAACACGTCCTCGCCCTCGACGTGCAGCTCGCGCTCGAGGCCCTCGAGGTGACCGGCGCGGCACTCGTCGGCCCAGATCATCTTGAGCGCGGCGCACAGGCTGCGCAACCCGAGCGCGAACCCGCGGTCGGGCTGGTCCGGGTGCGTCGGCGGGAAGCGCGCGACGATGCGGCCGTCGGGCGCAAACTCGCCCGGCTCGAGGTCGAGCGACAACGAGTCGGCCTCGACCGGGTCGACAAAGTCGTCGCCCGTCGTGCAGTGCGCAAAGTCGATGAGGCGGATCGTGACGGCGCCGGCCACCTTGCTCTTCTTGCTCTTGGACCGGCGGTGCGAGTGCTCGCCCTTGGGCCTCGAGCCATGGCGATGCCCGCCGTGACGACCGTGACCGCCGCCGTGGTGGCTGCTCGAGTGCGGCTGGCGCGAGTGATGGTGCGGGCCCGACGACGGGTGGATCGTACGCTCGTCCGAGCCGTCGTCCTCGTCGTCCTCGTTGCCGCCGACCGAGAGCGCTCGGGCACGACGCTGCCCGGGAGCGAGGCCGCGGCCGTTGGAGACGTCGACGTCTGGCGGCGAGTCGCGAGCCGAGGCGAGGCGGGCCCAGTCGCTCGCCGGCGAGTGGTTGGGCAGGCTCGACGACAGGGCCTTGAGGTTGACGGCGGGCGCGGTCGGCTCGGCCATCTGCTCGAGGACGCTCTTGCGGTACGCCGCCTGCACGTCCGGGTCGCCGTCGTAGATGAACAGGAGCGACGCGGCGTAGAACCGGAACCGGTCGAGGCCAAAGACGATCGACGCGAGGCGGTACAGCTGGCGCAGGATGTGCGGGATGTGGTACGCGAGGACGCGCTCGCCGTCGTGCAGGAACGAGGCGAGGACCGACGGGAAGTCGCCGATCGTGACCTTGCGGCCAAAGTACTTGTCCTGGAACACGTAGCGCTCCTCGGGCGCCTTGTAGACCTGTCGACGACGACGAGAGACACACGGTCAGGGACGGCGAACCCGAGAAGGAGAGGGAGGGGCAAGAGAGGAAGGGAGAGCGCACCTGCATGCCGCAGATCCGGACGCCGAGGTCGTGGCTCGTCGTCTTGGAGCACTTTTTGGTCTGGCTCTTCTTCTTCTCGGGCGTCGCGAGGATGCCGTACTGGCGCGTGCCCATCTTGAGGTCGAGCACACACGGCTTCTTGAGCGTGCCCGTCAGGTCCTCCATGAGGATGAACTGCTCCTGACGGGACGGCGTCGCCGGCTGCGGCGGCGAGGGTGCACGGCCGGCTGGCGACGACGGGTCGGGCGTCGGGTAGGCGGGTGCGAGCGACGACGGCGAGCCGGCGACGTCGCGACGAGCCATGGGCGTGTCGTCGGCGGCGAGAGGAGGAGGGCGAGTCGCCGTCGTCGGTGTGGTCGGCGCCTCGCCGACGTCGTCCATGGCGAACATGCCCTCGTCGCCGAGGCTCGACTTGCGGCCTCGGAATGACGCCGCCGCCGCTGCTGCGCGGTCGCTGCTCGTGCTGCGCCGCACCTCGTCGCCGTCGCCGTCTCCCTCGCACTCGCCGTCGGCCGCCTCGCCCGGGTCCTCGACCTCGACGTCCTCGCCACGCTCGACGACGTGCTTCTCGCGCTCGAGAGGCGAGCGAGGCGCAAAGACGGCGCTCTGCGACGCGCGCAAGCTCGGGCGCATCGACGCCTCGGCCGGGCTCCCGCCGAGCGGCGTCGTCTCGGGCGACGCCGACGCTCCTCGGTCCGACGCCGTCTCGCGCTCTTCTGCCGCCGCCGCCTCGCGCAGCGCCGCAGCGACGTCGCCCGTGCTGTGGAGGCTGCGCATCTTGCGGCGCTTGCCCTCCTTCCACCCTCGCCGGCCCTCGCGCAGCTTGGGCGAGCTGAACACCTCGCGCAGGACCTGCTCGCACAGCTTGGTGTTGACCTTGGTCGATCCGGTGCCGGCGATGCTCGGGCTGGCGCGGTGCGACGTCCACGAGGCGGGCGAGGGAGGGCAGAGGGTGGTCGGGCGAGCGGGCGAGAACCGCCGGGCAAAGGCGGACGGGAAGCCGGAAAAGTCGGACGAGTGAGCGCGACCGCGAGCCGAGCCGCCGAACAGGGCACCGTCGACCGGGGTCGAGTTTGGCGTCGGCGGGACGGCGACCGGGGTCGAGGGCGACTCGGCGAGGGGAGGGAACGATGGGACGTGCGCGAGCTGCGCCTTCTCGCACACGCTGCCGGCGATCGAGTACGACGACGGCAGAAAGTCGGGCGACGAGAGGAGCCCACCTCCCGGCGAGTCGTTGGCGGCCGTCTCGGGGTCGGTCGAGCGCTCGCCGGCCCGACGCGCACGGCGGCGGCCGGTCGACTTGCGCAGCCCTTTGACGGCGTCCCACACCATGCTGTCGGGGATGATGTGGCGGTTGCGCTCGAGCGTCACCTCGGGCACCTCCTCGTCGCGCTCGTCGAGCTGACCGCTCTTCTGGCGGAACACCCTCCTCGCCGGCGAGTTGGCGCCGGTCCCGGCGGGCGACGAGTGCCGACGGGACAGGCGAGCGCCGGCCTTGTCGTCGGGCTCGGCAGGCGAGGCGGGCCGAGGAAGGGCGGTCGACGGCGCGCGGCGGTAGGTGACGTTGAGGACGCCGAGGTACTGCGGCACGAAGCCGAGCAGGCGAGGGCTCGTGCGCTCGACGGCCTCGTAGAACTGATTCTCGCGCGACGTGAGAGGCTGCAAGAGGAGAGAGGAGTGAGCTGGCCAGTCCGGCGTGGAGGAAGGGAGAGAAAGGGAGCGACGCACCTTGCAGACGGCCTTTTTCGAGAAGCGAAAGATGTGCGAGTGCCCGCCGACCTGGTGGCGGAACGGCTCGAGCGGCACCGTCGCGCTCGTGCGGCCGTCGCCGCCGACGAGCCGGCTCTTGAAGTCGCTCGCGCGGCCCATGTCCCGCCGCATGCTGACCTCGCCGCCGCCGCCCTGGGCAAGCTTGTCCTGCAGCGCGCCCATGTCCACCTCGTACTCCTCCTCGCCGCCGTCGTGCGCGTCGTCGAACGCGTCATCGCCGTCGTCGCCGTCGTCGACGTCGACCTCGGACCCGGACCGCTCGGTGCCCTCCTCGCCCGTCAGGTAGTCGTCGCCCGTCCAGTCCGACACGCTCGACGAGTACTCGCTCGTGCTGCCCGTCCACGAGTCGTACTCGCTGCGCTCCTCCTCGGCGTCCGAGACGGGCCGAGTCGGCGCGGCCGAGTGCTGCTCGAGGCGCTCGGCGAACCCGACGCGGCTGCTGCTGCTGCTGCTGCCGCCGCCGCCGACGGCGTGAGGCGGAATCCTCAGCGCCGCGGGCGTCGAGGTGAGTGGAGGAGGAGAGGTCGGCAAGGATGGGGCAGGGGTGGATGCGGGCGCGGGCGCAGGGACGGCGGCAGGCTCGAGCGACCGTGGCGCCGTGACGGACGACTCGCGCGGCCGTTCCGAGCGCCGGCGCTCGCCGACGACGAGGGCTTGCGGCGGCGAGTGGTGCGGCGTCGCGTGCCGGCTCGGGTCGAGCGATAGGCGAGGCGAGTACAGGAGCTTGAGCCCGCTCGAGACGGGCGGGTGACCCTCGTCGTCGTCGCCGTCCAGGTCCTCGGTCGGCGACTGCGACAAGGGGCGCACATCGTCGTCCTCGTCGTCCTCGACGAGCGCCGACTCGGGCAGGCGGCTGCTCGTCAGGCCCGTGCCGAGCGCCGACGCCGGGAGCGGCAGCGCAGGCTCGCCGAGTCCGAGCCCGCGACCCTCGGCGGCGGACAAGTCCGGGATCGGGCTCGAGGTGCCGACGCTGCGCGGGCTGTAGTGCGAGTGCTGAGGCGTGAGGTGCGGGCTGGCGGGGCGCGAGGTCGACAGGCCGCTCGGGAACGGGTGCTGGTGGAGGGGGAACGAGGCCGAGAGGGATTGTGCGAGGAGGAGATCG